TGGAACCAAAAATTATGTGCAACATCTTTACAGGACCGACATCTGCATATATCATTCGAATTTGCAGTTCCCAAGTGTCACTATCTGGTGCGTTCAATCTGTAAAATGCCCAAGCCTTATCACAGCGAAACAGATACGGACAAACTCACATAGAGCGAGAGTGAGAGGGGGAGAGAGAGAGAGGGACATTGTCATGGTAATCACAGAGCTTTGGTCTATTTGTGCGTCATTTGCAGCGACTGCTAAGCTTCAAGTGGTCATCAGAAGTTTTAGCCCGGGCATTTGACTTTAACTTGGGTGTCCCATTGACCTTAGCTAGGCTTTTATACACGTGCTCATCTTGGCATTCGGGGCCTATTTTATGATTGTTTTCATTCGATGCGATGCGATTCGATTCGTTTCGTTTCGTTTGGTTTGCGCTTCGATTGTCTGTTTTGCTTAGCGCCCACAATTGATGCCTGCCAATTTTTGCCCATTGACTTTGGCCTTGCTTTACGAGCCTTTTTGTTCTAATGGGTCAACTAAGCGCTTTGCTTTGCCAACTAACATTACTGGTCACACAGGCACACACACACGCACTTTGTGGCAAGTTGGACAGGAGACGTGTATGCCTGTGTGTTGTTTGCCATGCGAGGCTAATGAAGTTGTTTGTTTGCTTACTTGTTTCTAACACAGACAGCCAAGCATTACTGGACCTAGGTCGATGCTAACTTTAACTAGTTATATATTTTCTGTATTTTAGTAAATGAATGCTTCACTAAATCCAGCTATCGAAGTATATTAAATAACATTAAATGATAATAAACTTAGTCTATTTTTATATTTATCAATATTTTTTATACTTATTTCCTAATCAGTCTATCAATTATACCAGGAAGTCAGCACATTTCTGAGATCTCAAAAGATAAGGTCTGTCGAGTAGGCTTCTTAATTTTTCATACTTACCTTTAGAATAAAAAAAAGAGGCAATTCTTAAAGACTTAAGAACATAGAGCAGCCAGCACTCCACTCCATCAATTGAATGGCAATCAAACCATCGATCTTCATCGTCTGTGGCGGAGGCATTTTTGACTGCGACACGGACGCTAACTATTTTTGCGCAAGACACCTGCCACTGTAGCCAGCAGGTGGATGTCTTGGCCCAGAAAACTGTTGTAGGCAATTCAATTAAACTGCAGCACCTGCCACAGCCTCTAAATGAATGTGTCTGTGTTTGCCTTGGTGTGTGGTCTGTCTGTGCCGTGTTTATTGTAAACGTGACTGCGACTTCGACTGCGACTGTGTCTGCTGTTGTTGCTGTTGCTGTTGCTGTTGGCACTGCAAAGAGACGCTGCAGTTGCATTTCGACACTAACTGTCGATTGGCACATTTGCACTTTGGCAATTTGTTTGGCAACGATTGTTCACCTTTTGTCGTTGGCGTTGCAAGCGTCTTGTGGCAGTTGCATTCAGCGCTTCAAACGGTGTGGCACGTAGCAGGCCATGATTTACGCGCGTTTCGTATTGTTTAATTATCGTTTAATTGTTGCAAACTTTTTGATTTACGATTTAATTGCGACGACAAGTGCTGCAAATGCGGCCACTTCGCTGCTAGCCGTTTTCATGAGTCATAAAACTGATGCGCCACTTGGAAGCGTCAACGCTTCCAATGATTTATTGCCGCCGCCAACGCCGCCACCGCCGCTGCCAGCATTGATGACTATGATGGAACGTGCAAAGACAACGTTGGCGTCATCTGCTCCCTACGCCCAACCGCCGCCAGCCAAATCCATGCGCTTACTGAGCCGACCCAAGCGCTATCTCAGCTTTCCCGAAGGCTCCTCTTTTACCGTATGTGTCACTGTCACATTGGATATGGACTCTTGTGCCCCGAACCCATTCATACTCAGCATGTTGAATATCATCTCTGATTTCTTGCACTTTTCAATGCTCAGGTTGCTGTTTGCTTCACTGTCGGCATCATTGGCAATCCCTACTATGCCCACAATAGTTTCGGTCTTAATTGGGGCGTGGCCTACGATCTGCCCAACAATACGTGGGTACTCCAGAGCCTGCACGGGCTGACACGGCGCCCAACACTTTCGCCAACATTGCGTCGTCGCACCAGAAGTGCAATCTATCAGGATATTGAAGCAATCGTTGATAAGTAATGCAATACACATAGCTACATATGATTTACTATAGACCTGCAGAGAAACTTATATATAGGGCAGGTATATACTATATCTGCCTTTTAGATGTATTATTCAAATTATATTTTTAATATTTATGAATTAGAACAAACCATTTAAATTCATTTAGACACTAACTAACTCGAGACATTTTCGATTTCAGCATGGGCTACAATGGACGTGATTGTGTCCTGCGCACGCTCTGCGAGAGTCGTCAGTATTTTCAGCGCAACAAGATGAACATGATTGGTGAGATGATGCGCATTATCTTCAGGTAAGTTCACCTATAAAGTAATATGTGTGTATATTAACTTCTCTCCATTTCTCGCTTGCAGTTTGCCCAAGCAGCGAATTTTCACGCGAGAGTTGCAGGAGAACTCGGACATTGTGCACTACGACAATGCCTATCGACACGCTCATAATTTTGATTGTGAAAAGCAGTACGCTTGCCAGTTCTCGCTACTGGAATTGGCTTTCGGTAAATACTCGAGGCCACCGAAAAATTATTATGCCCAATAAATTGCAATACAAAAATTGTCTTATGAAATCGTTTTAATGGCTCCGCATGTCCCAATCCCAATCACTTGTTGCCATCGGGTTATAAATGGCAATTCATTTTTCTCGACTATCCTCAGTGCAGCCCATTGTGGCCAATCGAAGCCATGTCGAGATACGTTGTCTGCCTCCGAGAGTGGAATTGAGAGAGAGAGTGTGTGGGTGGGTGTGTGTCATCATTTGTTGGCGTCTGGCGCCTCGCTCGACACAAAAGCCCGAAAATTATTTAATTGAACTGAAACATAAAAAAGACAACAGCAACAGCAGCGCGATGAGCACCAAATATATTTGGCAAAGTTTTTGGAAATTTAATTTAATCAACAAGCTCGCAAAATTGTCTGACATGACAGTTGAGTGAAAATTGAATGGAACATTCAAGCGCTGGCCACATAGACAACTGCCACAAAGGCTGTCCAGGGTAAGTTCTCTTTAGGTACTGTTATATGAACTAAGATAAATCGTCTAACAAACTCGGCAGCTGAGTCATGACATTTTAATGATGTGTGCCTTAATGTAGCCCAAATACAGAAGGACATTAAATCATTCACTTTAACTAGAATATTCAAAATGTCAAAAACGTGCTTTGGAAAGCAACTGCTCGCAATAATTTTCCATATGACTTTGGTATTTACTGCTGTGTATAAATAATGCGCATTTATATAACTATATTGCAATTGTAAGCTTAGCAGCATATATAGTTAGAAACTCTCAAGATTAAACTAAGTTTTAAAATGGGAACGCTGCTTGCATACACAATCATGGGACTGGGGACATGGGACTGAATCCCATTCTGTTGTATGCATATATGTATATCTGTGTATGTATATGCGTAGATGTATGTATGTGTATGTAAATTTAGTTTTTATTCATTACAGCGATATATGCAAATGTAATAAATATTTAAATCTATATGGAATGTGCATTGGAATTTATATACAATTAATAGTTACTATATGTCTGCAGGTGCCACGGCTTTCCTTGCTAAGTCACTGCTTTGGAAGTACACATTGTAACATATAAGCTGCATTAAATTAGCATAAGTGGGACCGCTCGACTAGGAAATAAACCCTGAACTCTGGCACGCACTGATATACCGATCACTCTAAGATTCTCTTAAACGTATTATTATTATTAATAATTAAATTTTTTTCTTAATATAGTTTCTTAATATAGTTCCTTAATAATATTCTCAAACCATAATTATCCCACTTTCAGATGCTTGCTAAAGCTCAAGTCTCTTTTACTTGAAATACGTTTTTTGTAAATTTGAGCGGAAGGGGAAGGTATCCAGGTATCTACGCAGACGGACTGGGCTAGATCCACTCAGCTCATCATTCTTAACTAGAATATATATAATTTCTCGAGTCTGCCATTCCTCCTCCTGCGTGTTACATATATTTTCCCTAAGCCATTATTCTCTGTGTTCCCATTTTCAATAGGTTCAGTTTATAATGAGTTGCCTCAGACATTGTATTTGTTAAAGGTGGCACGCTTGGTTGCAACTTAGAGATCAATTGATACTTCGTCTGTCTTTCGACGCTCTATGGAATCCCCCTGTTTCAGACATCACGACTGATTTGGTCATCTAACCTGGTCAGCTGCATAGACTACATTTGAATCTAAGTTTAAAATTCACGATTTCACATTTTATTTATAGAAATTAGCAATCTTGAAAACCTTTTCATTAGAATAATTTGGGCGTGTAAATTAACGAATGCAAAGCATCACCCAGATCCCACTCTTCACACCTCTCGCATTAATGCGTTCACAGTTCGCGTGGTAAATTCTTCATGTCAACACGAATCAGCACGAAGATTAGCGTCGTGAAAGATAGAGAGAAAAAGTGTTAACAAGTGGATGTCATGTCCGGCTCTCTTCTGAAGACAGTCAGCAAATGGCCAGCGGGAGAGAAATAGAAACGAAAAAGCAAATGTAGAAATAGTACAAGTGGAAACAGAGACATGCGATGTCACAACAACACACAAAGCGATAAATAAGTAAATAAGCAACGCCAACAATAACAGACAGCAACACAAAGCAGAGTACAACGACTTTTCAGTTGTTGTTGGCTGTTTGTTTGTCTGCTGCTTGGGCTCTCGGTGTGGGGCTGCGTCTCAGGCTGGGGAGCTCTATGCCGGTATTTATGTCAAACAGATTAAGTATACCGGGCATATCAGTCACCTGGAAAAACTGGACCGAAGCGCGTCGCACCTACGAGCAGACAATGCACCCGAAGAAACCCAAAAGAAAAAGCTAATGATAAATTAAAAAGAAGTGAAACAATTCGGCTGAGTATTTTGATCAATAATGTCGTCATCTGGTAGTGTATTAATTAGTGCCACAATTAACAAACGCAAACGGCCAAGCAGCTGCTCCTTGATTTGCCTGTCAACACGGCCATCAGCAACAGCGTTGATGCTGTTGATGCTGCTGTTTGGAATGTGCTCGGCTGTCGTTCAAAGTGCTGACAATTTCGATGCATTGTCCGCCCTCGGCGGCAGTCATATCCACAGGCATCACAACAACAGCGACAGCTTTGACATGCATTATGACAACTTCAGCTCCAACGAGCCGGCAGCTAACAATGACACACGGATACTGCGACGTGGCAAACGCTACCTAGAGTTCACAAAGGGCTCGCGTATGTCGGTGAGTTGCACATCTTAATGCGTTTATAATCGTCTATACTTTCTGACTACCCCCTTTGTCTACTCCATGCCTGCAGTGGCGTACCAATGGCAAGAACAATTTACTCGCAATCAATACACTCTTCGCCTATGGCTATGGCTTTCGTACCAACTATCCGTTTCCTGACGCCAAGGAGCAGCGCCAGAAGAGCGCCATTCTTTTCAAGCGCGACTTATTTTCAAGACTCGAATCTGCCCTGGATGGGTAAGTGTTGACTGCAATCATCATGCAACTCTCAAATACTTCAATCGAACATCATTTTTGCTCAGCCACGGCTTTGATGGACGTGCCTGCTTGCTGAAATCATTCTGCACGGCAATTTTCGACGTTGATAAGCCCCATCAAAAGAGTGGAATGTTGTTCAAGCTGCTCAAGCTAATATTTAGGTAAGTCAAGAAAGGGCCAGTTGTGCTCAGTTCGCATCTACAAATTAGTTTTCTAAGAAATGAAAATGAAGAACACAGAAGTTGTTTACTCATTTGCCGTATCCACTTCACACTGTTATGACAAATTGCCACCTAACCAAGCAACAATTAAATAGCACAGGAAGACGATATGAATAAGTCAACTGAATCTTCGAATTGGGTCAGTTAGAGCACTTAGCAGCCTAGTAGTAATCAATATTATAGTCGGACCCAGTTTGGGCTTTCGACGAGAGCCTGGTGTACTCGTCAGATTTGTAACTGTCCGTTGCCCAGTCACGCACCGTTTAGTTCAGTTCCATGACTGCAACCGCAACAATGAGATTTGTTAAAGTTTCTCTGCTGCTTGCAGCTGCTTTGGTCACTTTGACTGTGGCATCGCAGCAGAATGCGACTACTCCGCATAGGCGAGCCAAACGCTTTCTGGACATAATAGAGACATCTCGTATATTTGTGGGTAACAGCTGCACAGCACTTCACTTGTCATTGACTTTAGTTAACAGATGCATCTCTTAATTTGAAGTTTCGCATAAATGTGAAAAACAATGTGATACCACAGCCAGCTATTTGGGCCCAGGGCTACGGATTTCGAGCTAACACGCCGATCTTAGTGAAGCGTGAGAATCGACCCTTCAGAAGGGATACATACGAGCTGGTCCACGAGCTAATGGACCGCAGTGGCCTCGACGGTAAAGCCTGTGCCCTTAAAGCATATTGTACTGCATTAGCTGGGCACAACAGTCAGGGTTTCCTATTTAAACTATTCAAATATATGTTTACGTAAGTGAATATCCCTTTCTCATCGCAAATCTAAATTTATATGTATTTTGTTGTACTTTTTATTAGCCTTGAGGATCAGGAGAAACATCACATTCCGTATCTGCGCGAAGAGAACTGCCAGCAGATTCTACATAGCCACTGCCCGCTTAGCTTTGACAGCATATCACCATACACAGATGATGTCTAGCAAAATGACTTTGTATTCTTCTGGCAAACTGCTAAAGTTCTACAACTAAAAACTGAATAAATAAAACAAATGCAAGAGTATTATAATGTGTCTATTTTGGGAGTATAAACTGTAGACTTAACAAAACTAGCATAGAGTGCCGTCATCTCTTTTACATCTGTTGAACTCAGGTTCTATATATATTTATATATATATATAAACTATAATCAGCCTAAGATAATTAATTTAATTTTCAGAACTCGCAGCATAAAATATATATTTGAACTTATTCATTTAATTAATATCAAAACTAAATTCTTCTAAATTCTTCAACAAAAAATTAAATATATTTTAATTACATATCATGTTTTTTTATAAAACGAAATATTTAAGGATTAGTTAATTAGATTAAATAATAATCAAATATATTTATTATAGACTTTTTCAATTGATTTTTTGAAAATTCGATTTGAAAGTCGATTAGTCAAAGCACTACGAGAGTTCATATATTAAAAGCCAAATTTTTAATGCATATAAAAACTAATTTTATATAATTATTCAGTTTTATAAATTAGTTTTAACTAATTTTATTTGTAACATTTTATTTTTCCAAATTAAAATAGTCTTGTAAGCTATTTTCTCTTGCAGAACTATTATCAATTCATAAGCAATAAAGAAGGCCATGCCAATAGACGCGACTCAATATAAGTTGTTTTTTATACGTCTCTCAAGCGCTTCAAGCAATTCATTAATTCTTAATTAATTATTGATAGTTGTTTTGCGCAGCAGTTTGTGTCTGCGCGATGTTATTTATAATTACGCTGTGCCATTTCCAGGTGACCTTTTTTATTGCAGCAAGCAACATGCATTTAATTGGCATTTTTATTAAACAGCCGAGGCGAACGGAGCAGAGCAAAGCAGAGAAGCGAGTTGAAAAAATATAGCATACTTTTCTGCGGCGCTCATTGTTGACCTCATTGCATGACAAAAGTTGCAGTTGCTGCTGTAGCTGCTGATGCTGATGCTGTTTAATGTCACCAGCATGAAATGCCAAGTGTTGTTAAAATGTTTGCAAGCGCCTTTGAGCCAGTTGACACGCCCATGCCCGCAGACCTGTCGACCACGCCCGGCATTAAAAATTAACTTTAATTAAGTTGAAAACATAAATTACATGCACGCATACGACGGCATTAAAATGCACACACTCTCACACATACGCACACATGCATGCTTGCACATGCAGGCATTTTGTTGCACAATTGCTCTGCGTTTGTTGTATTTGTTGCCAGCACTCTTCAAGTTTGTTTCGCACACAAAGAACTTCCGCTTTTGGCAGTAGGACCCGAACACAACTGCACATGAGCTAAGCTGATCTAATCAAGCTTGTCCGACTAGCACATACCCTATACTCATCAAGCACTTCTGATGCTTAAGCTCAAGACATTTTTTATAGAATATGCGAATTTGAAGAGCTACTCTTATTCACTCACTCACACACACCGTGATACAATTAAATAATAATGATTTATGAGAAATTGCAGTGGAGCTCAAAATGTCCAATTCCCACTCCAAATTTCATATTTAACTCACTGCAAACAGCTTGAGTTTTATGATATTTTATGCATGTTTCGTTTTTTCTCCTTGACAAAATGTGAAATAAATTACGTGTCAGGCGTTCAGGTCTCTTCACTTGTTGAGAACATGCTTCGCATCACTAATTCAGGTTTCAATTTGCGTATGAATATAGTTCTACGATTTCAGCAAATATATTGTGTATAGAGTATGGAATATTCAGTTATCTAATCGATTCATACGATTAGATTGCTTTCGTAATTTACTGTCATGAAAATATTTTTAAGCACTTTAATTGCAATAAATTTACATTGTCAAGTGTTGTTTTTATGACCAAAACTCATGCCAAATTGTAATATCAAAAGTGCCAAGCAACGATAATGGAGCTTCAACACACATAATATTGTTAATTGCAGTGCCATGATAGTCGTCCGAAATGTGACAAAATTATTTTGGATAATTCGCAAGAGTTCTAATAACACATCAAAATTCACTTCACTCAGTAAAAGCAATTTAGTGTAGCAGTAATTAATAATTAACAATTGCAAGAAATATATAAACTCATTCATTGAACAGAGCTAGACTACAATAGATATTAGATATTTATGCCAAGGCAAATAAAAGTGATTCAAAATATTGTAGAATTGTATAACAAGTATCAAAGAGGTAGCAGAAACTATGAATAAATAATAATGATATTAAATAATATTTAATACAAATACTATAAGAGTATCTAAAAATAATCCTCCTACATGTTTTAAGCTACATAAAAACCATGGAATTTCTCTTTCGCACCTCCTAAATTGACAATTAATTAAAATACTATTTCAACAATTTTGAAATATTCACGCTGACAAATTCGGTGCTAAATTCTACAATTCCATTGATGCTAATCATAGGTTGACCTATTCAAAGTTATGGAATTTGGCCACGTGGGTGTTAATGGTTATTTGGTGCGGCCCACGGGTCAATTTGTAGGCAGCCAAACAGTTAATATGCAAGGCTAATGCGCACACCGGCGCACACCTGGCATAATTTATTGGCATTCAACGGCTCAACTATGTTAAATGCACAACCAAGAGCATCGGCTCGAGCTCATTATGCATGCAGGCAAAAGGCTGGGCGAGTGGCAAACAGACCTCGATCTGGTTGCATTTGAACATCAATCGCCGTCTGGGAGGCAAATTGATTTGATGCGTTGTCAATTAAAATGTGCAATTAATTTAATTTGCTTTGCCTCGCATTATCGGCCACTGACGCCCGTCTGCATGCCGTACAGGCAGAGAGCTCGGGGGCGGAGCCACAGGCGGGCTCTGCTAATGAGCTCAGTTAGCCAATTGAGTTGGCGGCAATGAATGCCAGGATTTGCGTCTGTGTGTAGCTAAATTAAGCTGGCTATAATATCACACTGTGTATATTTGCAATTTGTCAAATGTCGATTTCCGCCCCACAATGCTGGCCGCTTAAATAGCGCCAGCCGTATGGGTATGCAAACTGAAACATTTTCTTTTAAATTTACTTAATTTCTATTTAAGTTACAAAAGAATTTTGCAATGAATGAAAATACTTAAGCAGCTGTTCTTAAATTGAAGTCAGTCCTATAAGCTTTTCCAGCATTGCTTGACTTTAATTATAAAATGCTCGACTGAGATGCAGCAGTGGTGCGTTCTATAAATTAGTTCAAGGATTAGTGTAATAAAACTAACATGCTAAGGATTCACTCAGCCCTTTTGTTGATGTTGTGTGGGTGGTCAGGGGGCTGACGGCATGAGCATGGGCTTGAGCATGGCCATGGACGGGGGGCATGTCGCAATTTCCCAATTAGCTACTCATTGAGATAAATTTCTTATGCAAATGATGACAAGGCCAAGCAGCAGAAGCAGTGGCAATTTTTAAGGCAAGCACTGAAGTAGCATCGACGACCAACTCAGCACATCCCTCGCTAGGGAGCCGGGGACCTTAGCAACCTGTGAACAGCGACTGAGACAATGCCCAGGCAGAGTGACATTGAGTGACTCGCGCCACGCCGCTGGCTCACTCTCTCTAATTAGCTGCTGACGTTTGCCTGCTGCCAACAGCATAAGAAAAACTACAACAACAGCAGCAGCAGCAGCACTGAAGAGCATAAGAATTTGACATAATTAAAATACTGACAACTGACAGAAACAGCAAAATGAAATGCGAATCGAGCTTACAGTCCCAATCTCAGTCCCATTCTCCATTTCAGTCAGTTGCGTTAACTCGCTCCATATAATAAGAGTAAAAATATAAAACGAAAACATTTTATTTATTTTGAATGCTTAACTCAGAACACTAATCCGTTCCGTCAACTGTGCCATATTTCATTATTCTCGAAATTATGCCGAAATACCGTTAAGATACTTGAAACTGGCTCAGTTCATTGAACGCCCAGTTCACAGTACAGGCCCCAGTTCACGCCTAGGTGTTAATCTGCGGCGCTTTCAAATTTAATCAGGTTCATTGGACTTGAAACTGGAGCTGCCAATTGATAGCGCATGGCTCTCAAATAGTTCCGCGATTCGAATGCTCTGAATTATGCCTGATTTGTTTTGAGAGCTCTTGGCTTTCTTTATGGATAATCTCTGTCATGCTAGACCCAGACATTACTGTTCAAAATACAATAAGTAAACAAATTGACAAAAATATTCGCTAGCGCAAAAGTATTGAAATTAAAAAGAAAAATATACAAATACAAAAGCTAAGCTCGAAAATATTGCAATAATAAATAATGAGAAATTAATTTTTAATCAAATAATTTCATAATTAGACTACTAAATTAACAATTGTATTTGCTTTCTGTTTTGACTTTTTAAAACATCATGTTAATTTATGGTGAGTTAATTATGCTATAATTCGGTTGTTTCAACTGGCACAACTTCAACTAAATATACAGAAATATTTAACTTACATTCAAAACAAAAATGAAAACTTTTTAATTGCTTGACATCAAATTAACAGATAATTTGGCATGATATTAAAAGTATAATTTAATCATTTTCAAAATGTTGCTGAGCGCACTATACAACAACGACTTTCTGTATATAATTAAAATAAAAATAAATATTTTAGTAAATTAAAAAAATTCATAGTATTTTTTTATACACTCAATGCGATTGAAGTTGCTGACTGCATCGAAACTGCCACAAAAATGTTATTTAATTAATTTAACTATGGTTATGCACAGAAATACAGATACGAAAGTTTGTTTCGGAAAATTTGAAATTTGAATTTTGTTATCAGCGCGTGAGTTGCGCTTGAGAGAGCACAGAGAAGTTTGTTGATACAACACACACACACGCAGAGGGAGAACGAGTCACAGCTGATACTCGACATGTAAATTGCTCATACGCAACGTGGGCAGCACCCGTTTCAACAAGCAGCAATGACAACAACAATAACAACAATGGAAATGGCGCTTATTAAAGTTTGACTTGTACTTCTGGGTGGCTGTCTAGCTCTAGGTGCGGCACGTTGCATGTTTCGTACAGAAGTTGCTGCAACAAAAATTAAACATTGCTTTTGCATGGCGTCTGCGATAATTGGGAACAATAGAAGAAACAAGTTGCAAATTGGAAATGAGCGGGCCGCACTTGCCTGCAGCCCTGCATATACATATATATATTTGTTGTAGTGTGACTGTATATATGTATAGAGCCCCCTCTTAATGGCTTCGCCTGGCAATGGGCTGCCACAACCCATTTCTCTACACATGTAGACGTTTGTTTGCCGGCGACATTCACGTCTCGCTGCGCTTTTGCTTTTGCATGCAGCCGCTGCCTGCGGGCATTAAGTGTGATTTTATGCGATTTGCACCGCGCAAAGCCTCTGTCCGCGCCCCAATGCCAAGCGAAAGAACCGCAGCAATCATTCCCTCCCATCTCGCTGCTAACACCAGTCCCACTGCTAATTTACATTTGACAAATGTTTTGCATGCTACGAGAATTTTTGCGACGGCTGCAGCGACTGTGTTGGCAACTGCAACTGCTGTTCGTTAGGTACCCAGCACTGAGCAACTAATACAATCATTTGCCACGCTCTTCCCAACACTCTCTAGGCACACACACATACACATACACTTACAGACACACACACAGCAACTGCCACCCGCAGCAGCGCAATGTGTTTTGTTTGGTGCATTTGTTTTCATTTGGTTACAATGCTGACATTGTTTACAGTTCAACTTGGTAAAAATTAGCAAAAATCTCACATGAGCAACCAAAAAGAGGAGCAAACTAAAAAACAAACAGAAGCCAGCTGGAAATTTGCTTTAATTTAAATTTATGTTGGTTTCTGTTCAGCGTGTTTGTTATATGAACTGGGAGTGGGGAAGCCTGCATGTGCGATAATTGCTGTGGGGTTGCAACTTAAACGGAGGTGATGATTGTAAGTGTCTGTCCGTGTATATGTGTGGGTGTGTTAAAGACCCAATGAGGGAATAAAAATTACAGTTTGCACAGGTCCTCACTTTGCGTGCTCCAACTAAAGGTTTTTTTTGTTTAAGGAAGCTGTAATTACATTTGTTTTTTTTTTTTCAAAATATTTAGTTTTTAGATAGTAACTTTCACAAGTGACGCCAGTTTACAGAACTATCTCAATAATTGAGTGAGAAAATTGTATTAGTAAAATAATGGTCGAAAAAATTTAAAATGATTCTCACAAGTAAATGAATTTAAAATGCTTTAAGAATTGTTAGTTAAAACTGTCGGAACTATGAAGGGACTTAAACGTAAGTAAAGAAAACAAAAAATAAAATTCTAATTAACAATAAATTAATAGCTTTCAACATTATATATGAGAACAAATGGAAATATTAAAAATTGTCATTAAATTTTGTGTTTTTATAATAATACAAATTGTTGTAAAGCATATTTTTTGAGTTGAGTCTAAAACACGATGCCAATTATTTATTGTTATTAATAGCATTCATTACATGCCTCCTCTTCGGCATGTTCACATAAACAGATTAAACGTAATTTAAAAATCAATTATCTACCAAGATAATTTATTACAAATTGCAGCGATATTTTCACATTGGCAATTTTCTACAGCTTCCTCTGATGCTGGGAAGGTTCATCTCAATATAAAGAGATGTCTGAGTTTGGCTGAGAGTTTTGGGCGGCCAGATAGATTAACAGAAGACTTTGGATTGGTAAAATTTGACTATAGATAATTTATTAAAATGTTTGTAGTAAACAAATTTATTAATAAAACTTATATAAAATATAAATTGACAGTTCACAAGATTTTCTTTATTTTTTATATAATAAAATTTGTTTTATTGAAAGCATTGGAGAAAAAACAAACCTATTCAGTTGAGCTGCACTGTATATTATATATATATATATATATATATATATATATATATATATATATATAATTATATAACCAACAAATGAGTTTATTGATTTTGTGCAATGTCCGTCTCACTATGCATTGGTATTTTTCCATGAGCACAAAGCTTTGTTAAAACTAAACTGCTGGCCAAATAGTCTTGACCACGTCTAAAGCAGCAGTACGATTTTGTTATATGAAATATCCATATTCGTATGGACTAACGGCAAATAAACATATCAATTATATTTAGCTTCACAGGGGTCATAAAAATCTGTAACCAATATTCAGTTTTTGTGGAACTACATATCTTAGCATCACATTGTCCACTCATCGGCGGCAAATAAACCCAAAAATAACTACAGTTACCTTTTATAGGCTATAAACGAGTATTCTGCAGTCAGTAGCGCCCGACTGCAACGTTCTAAATTGTTTCATGTTAAAGTGGACAAGTAGACGTCTAATCAATTGATTTCTTATTTCAATTTGCTTAGCTCGCCAGCTTTTAAAAGCATAAACTTGTATGTGACATCAACGACATGAGAGAATCACTGAGAGCAACTAATTGCAATATTGAATTGCAAAACTTATGTCGAAAATGATACTTAATAATTGCATTTAATTTTGAATATGCAACAAAGCAGTACAAAGCGCTGCAAATATATAAATATAAATATATATTTATATATGTATAGATATGCGATGTATATGTATTATGTTGCTGGAGCACATGCCCACGGGGTATGGAACAATTATCGAACAGTTGGAGGCCGACAGTTCGCACCTTTAAAGACCTCTGTAAGCGGCAATAAAACGAGTTAACGACACTCAATTGGGTGCTAATTGTACAATTAAACGATGCTGACCATCCAAACCACCAACCGAAGAGCCAACCGAATGCCGAACGCCATGTCCATCGCATCAGTTCAGCTCTGACAGCTAATGGCTTCAATATTCAGAAGGAAAAATTAGGTGAATGAATTTCGTTCCCTGCGCAGCTTGTCGCTCCTCTAATCGTAATTATCTGCATCATAAATTTGTGCTCAATCGCCCTCGAGGCATTGAAAATGGACGCGTTTTAATTGTGGACACGAAGCCAGCCTCGAAGTTCTGCAACAATTTTAGCTGCTGAAAACTGCATTAATTTAACGCATGATTGGCATTGCCGCCAAATGGAACTGTCGCATCGCAGCCAAAGTGAAATTATGCAAATTTTAAGTGAGTCTGTGTGAGTGTTTGCTATGTGTGTGTGTGTTTGTTAATACCATGGCAAGCCCGAACAATTGACAGCTTAATTGTCCACAAGTCCGAACGGCGGCTATTCAGCTGCTCAATTACACAAAAGTAAAAAAATTAAAAAATCAAATTAAATTAAAACAATTCATTCGTTTAACAAAGTATAACATTTTTGCTGTTCACGTATATTGAACGTAACAATTTGAAAAGTTTAGTATGAAAGTTCAGTTGCTTGATTAAAATACTTGAATTAAAATTGTGGCTTGTTCCCTTGTAGCCTTTTGATCAGATATAACTTGTAAAGTAAAATACTTTAAAAATGATTTAGTGAGTTTTATATATGGCTTATGAAACATTCAATATTTTTAAAAATATTTTATAATTTTGAATATTTGTTTGTATTCAGCAAACAATTTTTTAGCTCTCCATTATATTACATTAAACAACAACAACAAGAATGTTTCAGGGCAAACAAAATCTAATATTTTACTGTGATTTTTTGTGAATAATATTTGTTTTTTTTCCAGAGACGTAACTCAAGTGCACTTATCATTATTCAAAACTACGTCAGAGAATGGCTAGAGACATCATAATTGTAATTGGATGTGCATTATGCATTGCCTTTGTGCTGCTGCTGGGCCAGAGTAGAAGGCTACTGAATAACCAAGTAAACGTTAATGAATCAAACGAGTTAGCGATATCGACCGCCAATTATACACATGAATCTAATAGCGTTGGCAGGTTCTTTGAGCGTCCTTTGTATTCATCTCGTCAGCAGCTTTTGTTGCTGCATCGTCAGAAGCGGTATCTGCTGTTTCCCGAGGGCAGCTCATTTCAGCTGGTCTTTGATTTAATCATACCCATAGTGGACTACACCAATTTCGCAATTCTCGGCATAACATGCGCCGTTGCCTGGGAGTTGCCCAGCAAGCCGCCCAGCGAGCTGCTGGAGAACTTGCGCACCCGCCTGAACGATGGTACCCTGGGCACTGTGCGACGCAACGACACCATCCAGGACCAGACGGCCGCCGCAGAGCAGACCAGCAATATTCGAACCGCCATTAATTGGCAGGCCATGCACGCGCAGCCAACCTCGGTGTCTGCAGCCAGTGCTGCATCAGCTGCAGCGTCCACATATGCATCCAATGTCCACAGCTATCCGTACTATACGAATGTCCACAGCGGCGCTGGCACTTCCGCTTATGCAAATTCGCCTAATGGACAACAGAATGCTGGGAGGCCGACTAATTGGCATGCGCGACAGTCAATACCAAAGTGGCGACAGTGGGCAGCCGCCCCAACCCCCTACACGATACGTGGCAACGCTGACCGCTGGTCAGACAATTGGTGGCAGCGCAACAAAGAGAGGGTGCAGCAAAATTGGCGCAAAAAGCAGCAACAGTGGAGCTCCTATGAGCGACCAACGCAAAGGTATTTATGTCGACAAAAGTCTGAAAACAAAAATGCCAGGGAATGGGAGGAATAGCAAATGATTTTTTGGAATACATAAAATATATGAAAATATCATAAATTTATGCACAAAAAAATTTCTCTCCTCTTTTTGTAGACAAGACTACAGCTACAGCTATGCACAGCGTCCACGTCAGGTGTTGCAGCAACCACCTGAACATCACATTTATCCCGTATTCGGCAGACGGCGGCGACGACGACGAGATGTGCAGCATCAGCTAGCAAACGATGACATCATGGACCGAGTGCACTTGCAGCAGCAATTGAGTTCGCGTGGACTGCTCTTTAGCAAGATCGAACGACTGTACAAAACGTAAGTGTGCTGTGCACGCTGCTGTGACCCACTGTACTAATCCACATCCAACAGGCGACAGCTGAATGGGACAGCTTGCATTCAGCGAGCACTTTGCGAATCGGCGCAACGACTGGCACATGCGACTACAGCTTCAGCTGAGCCTCAGAGCTTCATTATGGAGCTGGTGTCTGCCATCTTTCAATTACCGGGCGACAATGATGGCGGCGAAGTGCTGAGGCACATCCCGCAGCATTATCTGGAAGCGCACCAGCAGCAAGGAAACTGCCAACAGATTTATGCCGATTGCCGTCACACATTTTGGATGCAATAATGAAAGACATATCATATATTTTCATGCTTTTTATTTATTTATTTTTCGTAAGCTTAGCGAGTTGCGTATTAAAAATACATTATTTATAAACATACAGATTTTGAGACTACTTTCCCCTTTATCTTTTTCTGTTCTATTCAGTCATTTCAATTTGACCGAGTCAGAACTCGATTGAGTTAGTCGCAATCCAAATATTATTAATGGCTGCTTAACTTTCTTGGCTTAGCTTAAGAATCTGTCAGTTCTGACCAGAAAAGTTGGTAGCGTGATAAAGTAATTTGAGCCTTTAAATAGACCAACGAGCATACGAAGCAAACACAACTCGAAAGACAAGCGGCAGAAACAGAAACAAGAAAAAATGTTTTGAAAATACTGGAGTTGGGTATAGCCGACTTGTGAGTTACCCTGTAGATGGCTAAAGAGAGTAAATATATATAAATAGCTCAATTTAAATACAGCTCAAAGATTATAAATTCCAAATTGTAAATTATGGATTAAATAGATATAAAAAATTTTGATTTAACGATTTCAAATTTTAAAATAAAATTTCTTATTAATTCTGGAAATTCGATTCTCTTACTCGTTTAGTTATAACATAGTATCTCTGATATGCTTAATGTTTTCTGGTATATTTCGAAATTGGATATACCCCAAAGAACTCAAGTTTATGCGGCCAAAGCAAAAGACGAAAAGTGTGAAAACTAATAAGAACAAAAAGAAAAAAGTAGCACTCCAACGTTACAGCAAAGATGCCCAGACCAACTTGAAAGTTCTGAACGGGCACTAGATGAAGCATTGGAGGGGTAACTGGCTGCAATTAACAGCCCAACCAAGAGCTAGGCACAAGTTTACGTCAGTGCCATTGAAGCAGGTTGGCTGGCGCACCATTTTGGAACTTTGGCTGGCAGTTGGCGTATGAACAACACGTTGACCGCAAGTGTCGGAAATGTGTATCAACAACAGAGCATGGCCCAAGCCTCCAGCTGCTTCTTTGCTGCTGCCAATCGTATTGCTCTCGGCCAGCTTGGGTGCTTGCCAGGCCGACGGAATGAAAGTCGGCGATGGCATTAGCTTGCCAACGGCGGGGCCATCGCTGACTGTAGAGAATGCAAGCAGCTCGGATTTTGAGCAACTCATCGAGGCGACGCTTAACGAATCAGCCAACAGTCGAACAATGCAGACACAGGAGCTGCTCTCGCGGAAGCGACGCTATTTGGTATTTCCGGAGGGCAGTTCCTTTCAAATGGGTAAGTCTCTGCCCTCTTCAGTCACCCTAAACAATGCAATTTACATGCTTCATTTATTTCATGCCATCCGTAGTGTTCGACGAAATCATCTGCGTTGTGGACTACACCAACTATCTGGTGCTGGGTATTACCGTTGCTTTGGCTTGGGAATTGCCGAGCAAGCCGCCCAGCGAAGCCCTTGAAGATATATTGAACAAGCTCGAAGATGGCACAATAGATGTTAGTCGCAATGACACTGTCTCCAACATAACCTACGTGGACGATGCCCAAAAGGCAACACAACAAACTAATAACAACAACGAAAGCTACAAGCCCAACTACATCAACTTATCGCATGGGTCAGGTGGGAGCAGCGGTCAGAATTCTTACTATAGCAACACACCTGTGTTTCGCACACCTATGCATCCAACCTATCAATATGCGGACAGCTATTACCGACGACCCACTGCACCGGCCAGACGAAAGGATAATCACTACTACTACAGCCGTCCAATGAGCAGCATACGCAATCCCTTTCATACCGACTCCTATCCCTACAGCCCGGCACCGACAACACGCTATCCCTATTGGGCATTGACATCGCAGTAAGTAAATGCCTCAGCAGTCCACACTCTCAGTTAATCTCTTGCTATAAGTCTAAAGGAATCGCTGCAACGCCGGAATAACTACTATGGTTCAGCTAATAGTCAGCACCAGCGAAATAGCTACTATGCACCAAAGGTAAACCGACAACGGGAACACAAAATCTATCCGGTGTATGGCAAACGCAGCTTGCCAGATGCCTCTAATCCGCATCATCGTCACAGACGTAGTGGAGTTGCCAGTGTGCCCGATGCTGATCTAACTCGATTGGAAAGCATTCAGATCAAATATCATCGCAACAGTCGGCAGACCTTGTACGGCAGAATTGAAAAGTATCTGGATAAGTAAGTAAAAGTTATTCGAAATCAACAAAATCTCTGAAGTTTCTTGCATCTAATTTCTTGTCTGATTTGCCTTTCAGACGCGGTCACAACGGACATCAGTGCGTGTTGCGCACGCTCTGCGAAACAGGTCAGAAGTCCACTGAACAGGAGCCCGGCAGCTTTGTTAGCGAACTGCTACGTGCAATATTTACCATACCAGAGGCATTGGACCACGAACCTGTGGCCTATCGAGATACACGCTATGACAAAGCCCATGCCCATGACGGTGACTGCGCTGCTCTCTACCCCGAGTGCAAGCTGTCCATCTGGGAAGCACCCTTTGTCCAATAAAGAGCACACAACTTCGTTTCAATTTTGTTTTATTCAATGACCCCATTTGCCATCTAGCAGCCAACCTAAAAGATTCAGTTTACAGCGACTCCTGAAGATGCGGTCACAATCCTCTGGATTCATGCGCATAATGCGGCTGTAGTCATCCTCCACGCCTGATATTGTGGGCAGTCTAAATGCAATTCTTCATAAGATATTTTCTATATAATGCCAAAGACATCTACTTACGTAAAGATCAAGCGCACTATGTCCTGCAACATGGAATAACCAGGTGGCAGCAGCAAGCGCTTGCTATCGCAAATGGCGCGCAGTATGCAGGACTTGGTTTCAATACCTAAACTACAAGTTTATGGATATTAGGAAGTATTCTATAACTGATTGCAAAAGAGATCTCTCTCTATCTCTTACAGCTTGCCAAAAGCGCTAAAGTTCTCGAACAGCTGCCGACGATCCCGATGGCCATGAAAATGCTGCGAATCTCTGGCGTGCTCCAGATCGGGATATATATCAGCTTTGTAGGGCGCTGAATCGGGATACTGGTCAAGATCTTCTACGACTGGATCCTGCTCCTCTTGTAGCTGCGATTCAGCCGATCTGTGCCAGCGCTTGCCATATTTGTTCCAATTCGGCGATTGAGTTGTCCACTTACTCCACTTTGCTGGCTGGCTATATTTCTTATAATACGGTTTTGCTGGCGTCCAATTTTTGTAATACTCTCCATACTTGGACCACTGCTTCCATTTTGCTGGATCAACATAGCTCGGCGCTTGGGGCCTGTAGTCAATGCGTTGATGAAGCCTTATTGGTGTCGGCTTCTTAACTGGCGTTGCCTTAAATCTCCAATCGGTACCTGCGATCCAAACATATGTCGGCTCTGTGCTTTTTGGCGCTGGCGTTGTTGTTGTCCGCGGGCGAAAGCGTTTTGGATAGACATCCTCACGACTCGATGGTACCGGAAAGTAACAGGCCTGCTCAATGGTCATTGAGATGCCCTTGGGGAAACGCGAGAGCAAACCTTTGCTCATAGAGCCCGTAAATTTCAAATTCGAGCCCTTTGGAAATAATACGAAACGTTTTTGACGCGAAAAAACTCGGTCGACAACATGATTCAACTCCGTTCTATTTGGCTCGCCAAAGACCAACAGTCCAAGCGCCAGCTGCCCGAGCAATGGAATCCAGAGACCGTATTGCATGACTGACATGTACTGATTGAGATGTAAACGAGAGGAAGCTGAGGCACAATGTTAGAATCAATCAATTTACCCAAAAATTAATATAATCAGCTCTGATTTAGTGTCAATTCTTAAGCAAACACCAGTAACAATAGCTCAACCCAAAAAACTTGTAGAACCTTTCAGAGCTGGAAGAAGATGCTGGGTAAACAGAATAACGACATAGAAGTTGCGCTATAATATTTACGACACATTCATGGCTTTGATATATATTAATATAGTTTCTATAAAACATTTATAATGTCAAAACTAATTTAACTGTTAGACATCAACTTTAATTCTCAATGAAAATGTATTTTTACTGTTGTTTTTTTTGGTGTCGTTTACGTTCAGTTGTATGTTTCAAAAGTCGATCTTTGATAACAAAATAAATTTAAAAAAAATATTAAATATCCAATAAAATTATATAAAAATAAAATAGTATTAAAAAAAACAGTAAAATTAAAATAGTATTAAATTATAAATATAGGATAAAACATTTACTATTTATTGAGGTATCGGAAATGGGCTCTGGTGGCTGCTTTAAAGCCATGGGCAGCTGACCATTTCAGATGCTGGCCAAAGACAAAGTCTGAAGGAAGAGTGACTGCAAAACAATGACTCGAACTCAGCAGACGCGAGTCCAGTGGATTACATACTAGCCTCGAGAAACTAAAGCCATTATCCCTGACTGGACCCAGAAACTAGCGAGTGACCATGTTGAACCAAGCTGAATTAAATTTAATTAATTTCTAACCCAAATTTCCTTTTTTTGAATAGCTTAGACTTGAAGTGCCTGATAAAATTGGTATATATCACATTGCCTGATCTAAGATTTATATTACTAGCTCTTGTATCCATCTATATCTATGAAAATATAATATTGTTGGATTTTATTATTATTATAGAAAAGATAAAGATTATAAAATAGTTTTTAATAATTTAAAAATGTTTTTAGAAGGCTTTCAGTTACCAAAAGACCTTTTCGAAAAACATATTTGACTTAAAGTAACAGATTGAAAAAATCAACACTTTTAAATTATCTCAAAATACTGGATTCGAATTCAACAAGGGTTCATTTTGATTGTAAGTAAATAAAATTAATAAGCCTAATGGATATTAGTCTAATAAATATTTTCCCAAACAGTCAAGGCAAATAGATATGAAATTTGTGTTATAGAAATTCTTTATTTTCCTAATAAAACAAATAAAATACTTTTTAATGAAGAAACCCATTTATTTTATCCATTCTACCGCTAAGCAGCCAAATCAAGAAGCTCATATTGCACTTAGTTTTCAACTCCTGCGCGCAAGCATTGGCATCCTTTCTCATGATGCGTGTGTAATCATCGTCCTGTCCATCTAGTCGGGGCATACTATAAGCAAGTGAATCAATAATCAAAAGTAATAATGACAGCTTCCGTGACACTCACGTGAACACCAAGCGCAGCATATCCTGCAGCATGGAATAGCCTGGTGGCAACAGGAGGCGCTTAGAGTCGCATATGGTGCGTAATATGCAGGACTTGACATCGAAGCCAAAGCTGAAAATTTCATTTTACTGTTAAGGGAAAGTTCTTAACTCTTGGCTAGCATACGCACCGTGCACTGAGGCCACTGAAGTGATCGAAGAGCTGCCTTCGATCGCGATGACCATGAAAGTGTCGAGATTCGGCAATAGCTCTTCGAGTGGGTCTACGCCAATGATTGGTCCATGCAGCTGTCCACCTGGGAGCAGGTGTGGTCCACTTTGTCCACTTGGGCTTGTTGCTCATTTGCCAGCGTTGCATATCGGCACTGCTTTGCCACTTTTGATTATGGCTTGAGCCATACTTGGCCCATTGCTGCCATTTGTGAGGATTGGTATTGCCGCCGAGATCGATGCGCTGCGTCTTTGGAGTTTTTGTTGTCGGCCTAAACTTTGGCTTTGGCAATGCCTGAGCCTTGAAGCGCCAGTCAGTGCCGGGTATGTAAACATAGGTCGCAGTGGTGCTTGTCAGCGGTTGCGGTGTGGTTGTCTTCTTTGGCAGAAGACGCTTTGGGTAGAGATCGTCTCTGGTGCCAGGAATGGGAAAATAGACAGCCTCCTCCAATGTGAAGCTAACACCTCGCGGATAGGCCGAGAGCAGATTTTTGCTAAAATTACAAGTGAACTTAAAAAACGAACCTGGCGGAAAGATAATTGCACGCTTTCTGCGGCCAAACACCCGCTCGTAGGTCGATCGCAGCTGTGTCTGTTGAGGCCTGAGCGCCGCTTGGCAACAACTGATCAGCACCAGAATCACGAAGACCTGAGCGAACAGCATTTGAAGCTCATCGAGCGCACAGAACGAAATGGCTGCAGAATATCACTTACATATGGAATAAGTACTCGTTGTGAACAGATTAACTCAATATTTGCTTTGTGTTGATTGATGACTTTATTTGTAGATCATATCCATAAGTAGATGCCAACAGCCCAGAGACCCAATTCTGGGTTGACTGATTCAGTTAAAGTGTCTGATTCAAGCCGAACAGTTCGATCAGTGATGCAGTACAATCGGTTGCTTTACCAAGTGCTAGGCCTGCTTATTGGCTGCACGTCTACGAACAGCTTGCTATATCCGACATCATCTTCATTGGGTGTAAGGAGCTGTAATAACATTTTCCAAGAATCACTTCAATTTGAAGAAATCCAACTTTTTAGCTCACCTCTTCAGTTTCGATACCGGTCGCTGAGTACTATCCTGAACGCCGTATACTCGTCGATTGGTGCTTTGCCATAGCATATGACTTGCCCTTCAACTTAAGCTCATTCTATAGCGTGCCCATTTGGCCGGGCTTTGCCAACTACCACACCAAGCGCGAAGTTCCACGCATCAGTCACAATGATATTGGACTCTATGAAAAATACGGTTACAATGCCTTGGCCCAGATGCACCCCAAGGATTTATCAGCTGGAGAACTATATGCCAGCATCGAGGATGCCCTAACTTCATATGGATTCCACGAGACCTGCCTGTTGCGCAGCGTTTGTGAGATGGCCAAACATCCTTTTGACGACGAGCATCGGCACATACTGACCGATATCTTGACATTTGTCTTGAGGTAAAGCTTCAACTTCCATATTTCGGTCATCAAAGAATCTCTTAAAATTTATTTTTGGCAGTCCGTCGCAGCATGAGGCATTTCTGGAGAGCGAACATGTCTATAGGCGCGTCTATGAACAGGCTGAACTTGATGGATTCATGGGCAACGATTGCGCCCGTGTCTATGGGCACTGTAAACACGATATCTTAAGACTTATTAGCAATGTCATTTTTCATAATAATTGAATAAGAAAACACGTGATGTAAACTGTAACGTCTATGCGTTTCATTAGCAACTTCTCTAGATGTCAGCTTAAGCCTCTCTCTCTCTTCTTTGTCGCTTCACAACGAAATGGATCTTTATACTGTGAACTTCATATTCGCACTGCTGACAACACTATTCGAATGTCAGGCTAAATTGTCTCTATTCTTTCCGGGCGCTTCAGTGTATCAGATAACGGCTGCTCTATCAGTTCCGATCGTACTACCGCCACGCAAGATATTTTGGGACTGGGGCTTGCAAGTCAACTATGCACTGCCTAGCAACCCGGCCAGCTTCTATGCAGCTGCCATCTGGGAGGATCAGTTTGCCCGTCGAGATAGGCGACACCTGCACAATGAGACCCAAAAGTATATGCCAGTCGATCTGAAGGACATACACCCCAACGATCTGACCGCCGGCGAGCTCTATGAGAGTATCGAAAATATGCTGATGCGCTATGGCTTCGACGAGACCTGCTTGCTCCGCAGTGTGTGTGAACTGGCTCGACATCCCTTCCATGATGATGAGCAGAATATGTTGACGGCTCTGCTTACCTTCACGCTAACGTACGTAATCTCTGCACACCTGTTCTGTAGCCATGCCTAACAAAATTCCTCTAAATATTCCTTCAGGCCCTCTGTGCATGAGGCTTTTGCGCCCAGCGAAACGATATACCGCGAGACCTATGAACATGCCGAGCAGCAGGGATTTATGGGCGCAGATTGCGCCCAACTCTATGCCCAGTGTCCAGTTGATTTCCTAAGTGCTGTCAGCAAACTGATTCACTACAACGAACTCTTCGATTTGAATGTATAAAAACGCTTTTCATATCTCCACATTATAATAAAATATTAATGCTCTTTCACATTTTTATAGCATTTCTAGGCACTAAGTTATTCAAAAGGCTTTTACTCTGTTTGCAATAAAAAAATGGAATAATTAAATTTGTGCAAGAATGTGAGCAAGTCGCCTTCGATTTAATCAAGTGTATTAATTTATTATTGGGCAGCAGTCGTTTTTTTTATGCCCGAAAAGTACTGAAATGGGTAGCTCAGGATATAATGATATTGGTCAGTTATATGTAACAGTCAGTAAGAGATATGACTCATCCCACAAACTATATATATATTGATGATCAAGAGCAATAGACCCGTCGGGCTTAGCCCTGTTCGGCTGTAAGTTTAAATGAACATGTCGACGTGGAAGACTACTAGACTTATAGATTTTAATTTATTTTATACTATTTATACTTCGACTTTTCTATTGCTGTCATACATTGGTGTTATATCTCAAAGCATAACATCTTCCCCAAGTTCTTAAATATCAAATTCAAACAAAACTCTAAAGACACAGAACAACTGCCCCAGACTCCATTACTTCTACTTTAAATACAAGTATACGATAAGAAATATCAAATTAATTTGACTTTAGACATTTAGTTAATTAATTAAGATGTAAAAAAACATTTTTAGCATTAAAAGTTTCTGACTTCAACAAGAACTGATCGAAGACACTATTAACTTTTCTAATATATATTTTTTAATTCTAAATAATTCTTATATAATTCTATCTTAGCTGAAATATATTTTTGGCTGGAATCCTTTTGATTTCGGTTCATCCGTAATCCATAATCCTCTCAGTCCCACACAAGCACCAAATTGACACTTCCAAATCCATTTATATTCTTTTAATTATAGATTTCGTTTAATTTTATTTCATCTAACTAGCTTGGTAACTATGCTCAGCACATCCAATTCACATTTGGGATACGCTTTTTGGCAATCGCCGCCCATGAAGCCTAATCTCTCAGCGCGTTCATATCGATGTTGATATAACTTTTCGTGGGGACCGAAGCCTTCATGCTGCGACGGCCTATTAAATGAAACAAATAAATGTAATTAATTTATGTATATAAATACATGAATGCATATATATATGTTCACTTACGTTAGCATAAGGTTGATAATCTGAACGACCAGACTCTGGCTATAGCCGTGATCATCTGCTAAGGGATGTAGAGCCAATTCGCAGACGCTGCGGAGCAAGCAGGATCTGTGGAAGCCGTAGTCCGGCAGAAGGTTTTCAATGCCCGCATACAGCTCGCCGGCAGTGAAGTCCCTTGGATGGATGCCACTCTCAGTAACGAGCAGCTCATTGGTTGAGCCAGTGAAGTTATACAATTCGCGCTTACCACGTCGCTCATACGGATTGGACCAGAAGGCTGGATTGTAGAATGCGGCAAGATTAAAGGGCAGATTATAGTTCATTTGAAAGCCCAAATCCATGAACACCTTTCGCTTGTTCAAATCAAAAGGCACGGACATCGACGTCGTCAGCTGCAGCACCGAGCCTGAGGGATAAAGCAGCATGCCACATGTCCCAGTGATTAAAAACAAAGTGATGCTGATCGGAACGAGGATCGAGTTCAAGTTGTGTTGTCTTGGCCGACGCATTTCGATGTGATTAATATGCTCGCCACAACCGGGAGCGCATGATATATGTGAACTGGGTTTTGGGTTACCCGATCTGTTTATCTGGGTCTTCAATTAACCAAACTGTTAATGAGTAAAACATTTGCCATGCGTGCGTGCCAATTAGAACGGTAAAACCTGCAGAAACCGGGCCGTAGTATAATGCGTCAACGCCTAAGAACTCCAAAACGAAAGACAATACAGAGTGTGCATAGTGAATCTGAGGCTTATTCGAACCTATGCACACTGAGCTGTGAATACCCTTCACCGAAAGATAGTTGGAGAGGTGGCATGAAATTGAAAGTAAACTGAAACTAAGAGGCATTTGAAGTTGAAGTGACCTTTGTGACTTCTTCGAAGACCTTACCTAATCTAATAAGCTGAATTTTCCATATTTTCTTCTTACAACCGATTACTATCATGTCTTAACCTATATATATATATATATATATGCTCAGTATTCAATCGTAGCTCAGAATTGGTACACTTCAAGCGGACACCACCTGCTGCCTGTTACATAGGCTTTAACTAAAGCATTATACTCTAAACTCCCATTTTCAATGGGATCAGAGTATAAAACAAAACCTCACGTATTTTTTTTTAATTTTCTGTTCTGCTCAACTGTCAATTGCTTAAGCAAATAAATGTTGCATGCCCTTTGGTGCTCCACACAGAGGCTTCACATAGTATGTCGAACGCATTAGTAAGCCAAACGTCTCAATGGCAGCAAGATGAGTCTAAGCCAAGATCAGACAATTCTTAGCCTGCTGCTGCTGTTGGCTATTTGCGGACTCGTAGCTGCTTATACGAGCAGCTTCGAGCCAAACCTAAGTCCGGCTGTCAGTGCTGCAAATCTGAGTCAAATAAGTTCAGAAGTCAGACTAAGTCGAGCCAAGCGTATTGCTATCTACAACGGTCAGGGCGTAGTCAAGGTATTTTATTTTAGCAGCTAAATTTAGTTAAGTATGGAATGCCACAATATGGATTCTTGCAGTTCGTCGTCAGCATTGCGCATCCTATCAAGCTGATCGAGAAAGAACATTCCTTCTGGTTCTTCTATAACTTACAAAGCCAATACATACCCACAACAATACCCCTCTACTGGTGGAGCTTTTGGAACACAACCACCTTTGTCTCCACGGCCCGTCAGCTGCGCAAGGGTATGCATGCCACGCTGCATCGAGATGATACGCGCCGTTGGGTCTACGATACCATTGAGGCTGGCATGGCAATGTAAGTATGCTCAAACTGAACTATTCGATAATTACAACCGACGTGCCGTTGCAGACTGGCTGGCAACGAACGTGGCGCCAACTGCTTGCTGCGCAGCATCTGCGAGATCTCTCAATTGCCCTTTGAGAACAGCAATATCTACAGCGAAATACTCAACGCAGTGCTTATGTAAGTAGATCAAAATTCTACTCTTGTAGTACCCCACAGCTCATCTAATCTCACTTTGCAGACCAACAGCCGACAATGTTGCTGAGAAGTATATTAATGCCAGAGATGCAGGACGTGCCGGGGCCGATTGCCTCAAAACCTATGACAATTGCAGCGAAAAAACTTGGAATTTGTTAACGAACATCAATAAGTTGAATCTTTGAATAAATACAATTTAGTGAATTCTAATAGTATTGACAGGTTTTAATGGCAGAATCGGCGACATTAGCGCAAGTTAATTCAATTGACAGATTTAATTTAAATAATTAGACCATGTAAGCATTTTGTATTAATCTTGGCTCATAACTTCATGGTGACACCTTAACTTTGCCTGAATTTATCCGGGTCGATAGAAATTGAATAAGAACCAAGTCAATTGTGCAGCTGACTATGATCAATTCTTTGTGTACATCCTGGCTTAACAGATCGGTGACTTGCCAGTTGTAAAAATAAGGTGAACCATTTTAAAATAAGCAGCGACTTGATGTTTAGCTTCCCGTTGAGCAGTCGAGTAATATATTTTGGCCTCAATGCAACTTACAATAATTAACCATTAAAATAAATTTCGTTGGGCAATTAGCCGAATACTACGTGTCGAACCAGGAACTTGTCAAAAGGCCGAAGCTACTGGCAATCATCAAATTTTGTTATTTATATAGCACGTTTTTGTTGAGCTCGCTTCCTATCTCATTGTCTTCCTCATGCTGCGGCGTCTCCACTCAGCCCAAGCCTCGCAGAGCATCGGCTTCTGCCAACAAATGCACTCGCTCAGAGGCAAAGCACCGGGTTTGATACGCTTGCACTCAGAAAATGCCGGATACGGTGTTAATGGCTTGGTGCAGTCGAGGGGACGCTTGAACGGCGTGCAATCGGGTGGAATACGGCCGGCCCTATGACAGCGACGTTTCACACGCGGACAGTCCAGATTAAGACGCTTATCACAGCGGGCTGGCTGTGGGCATGCGGTCTTCGGTTTTTTACTCGTGCGACGGCGCAACGGCGCCGCCTTTATATCTTTAAAGCAACAGATCTTCTTTGGCTTTATAGCGACGGGTGGACATGCAACCCAGGTTTGCCAATACTTGCGATTCGCCTTGTCAGATTCAATGTAGTAGATATCATCGAATCGTGGATTGTATGGACAGTGCGAGTCATCTTGGTCACAAAACGGATTCAGCCAAACGGAGGGCTGCCTAGTGATTTTCTTTTCATTTACCTTCGGCTTTTTCTTTAGCTGACCTTCTGGTGTACCGCAGGGAGAAGGCTTTTTACTTTTTTTAATCTTACCCCCTGCACACTTATCCCCACATTCATTCGACCTCATACGCAGCACAGGAACATAGGGCAATTTTGCCAAGCTGCATAAATTGCCACGATTGACAAATGATCTGAGCGAGAACATTTTGAATTTTTCCTATGAAATTTTAATTTTACTTGAAACAGTTCTAAAATATACTATATATAATTTTGTGAGAATTTAAAAAACCAAGCGACCAAAATAACCGAAACGGAGAACTGTTCATGAGTCTTTCAAGTTGCACAATGAATACACAACCCAAACGATTTACTTTTACCCAATTTCAAGTTGCCCTCAATTCCACTGCCTACTTCGTTTTTCAGCTAGACCCCACGTTCATCGTTAGGAAATCGAGCACTCTATACGGGCAGGAAACCGCATAGAAACGGGCACAGTCACGCATATTGACTTGATGCTTGTACTTCTCGTCAGTAACTTCTTCAGGCAGACTGAAAAAGATTAACGGGATGGAATGAGAATATCATCTTGTGGTCACTCACCTACGTCAGTATAATGCGCAGTAGATCCTCCATGAGTAAGCCGCTGCCATGGTTTTCATTAAATCTGGCCTTAAGCTCGCAAATTGACCGCTTTATGCAGGACCTTAGATCTAGGCGAAAGCTGAAATGAATTACGTTCGAGTATGAGAATATAAAGATTATAAAATATATTTTCTTACTAATTTCCCATTGCCTCTAACTGGTCAAAGATTGCGCGTCGTTCTCTGTAATCACGATTTAGCTTCCAGCTGGGGACATCTGCCCAGGATTTGTATACCTCGTCCTCCGCTTTGTGCCGGCGATGTCCTTGCCAAGGCTCTTCAGTCAGTTGCCAAGGACTTTTATAGAAATAATCCTTGTGCGTTTGCGATTTCACATAGCTGCAAAACAATATTTAATTTATCTGCATAATAATTTTCTCTTCAACATGAAATTACTTGGCATAATATTCGGGCTGGTAAGGTACTCTATAGTACAAATTGGGGTTACCAAGCGGATAGCTATAACGCGTGCCATTCCGCCTGTAATCCTGAAATGGCCAATCCCAGCGACGTTTTGGTTTTGGGGCTGTAGGATTCTTATGCTTTGCATGATCGAGAAGTATGTTTGGTCGCCAACCTTCCACAGTATCCGGCAGAGCTACATACATATCAAACTCCAAGCTATATTGCAATCCACCTGGTCGACCGCCCACAATTATTTTGGTCATCGCTGCCGTTATCAGCACTGACGACGTTTTGGGAAATAACACAGCTCGAACGCGTCTCGAAAGTAAGCCATCCTGACCAACAAGCAGCTCTGTCTGATTGCCAAAGGTCGCAGCGGCAACATATCCAAAAAGCGAAACAAGCACAACAACTGCTGTACACCTCATACTGAAGCGCTCAACATACAAATTCAAACTGCGCCAATGTGTCAATCCCAAGAACCATATCACTGCGCACTAGAGAAGAGTAAGCATTGGACTACCTAAACGCCAACGACACGTTAAATATCAGCTGGACTTAAATGTAGTATTTTTCCCTCATATTCCACAGAGAGAAGTGGATATGAGTAATTGTAAATCCTTCATTGAGTATAATAAAATAATATAATAAAGAGAATAGTAATTATAATGATAAAATATAATATAGAAAGATATAGAGTTAGTCTATACTATATTCAAATAAAATAAAGTCGTATTCGAATTACTGCTAGCTTAAGTAATTTTCTATCGAGAAATAGCTCAACGTGGTTTCATCTCAAACGCCATTTGTCACAGGTGCGCTAATTGTCTTAGCTGAAGAGACAGGTGCCAGACACCACTGCACCAATTACGAGCTATTGTATTTGTAATCTAGGTAGTACAAATAGAACAAAATGTGTGCATCAAGTTATCCATGATATAGAGTTTGTTTTGGCTGTCAATAAACTGAGAGCTTTGTTTTGGACTCAGTTACATTTATAGTTCTGTTAAAGACAGTAAAATTTTCGGCAAATTCGTAGCGAGTACAAATCATAAAAAAAATATATGTGTATAAAAATCATAAATAAATTGGTTAATTAGTTAAAGCTTACTTAACATTCGAAATGGTGAACTTTAACAATAGTACTAAGATTGTGGTAAATCGTTGCATGGAGCTTCTAAATGCCAAAATAGCTCATGCTCAGACCCGACATATTGCGAAACGTGTACCCGTTAATTGTATGCGACCCCAAAAAGTGGACAGCGAGGCAATCCTAAGGGAACGTGAAAAGGTAGATAATTACAAAGCCAGTAAGCAGCTTTCCATGTGGCAACAGAAGAAGAGTGTTACCGAGGATATGCCAGAGATCATGCGAATGGACGATTCGCACTACAAGCATTGTGACTTTATGAAACGCGACTATGAATGCACGTGGGCCAATTTTCCTTGTGACCCCGAGCCGAAGGTGCGAAGAACACAATGTGATGAGACCGTGCAAATCACTCGCCGCGAAGCTGGAAATCGTCCAGCAACAGCCAAGCCCTGGGATGCAGAAGCCAACAACTTCATTAAGAATTGGGGCAACAACTATGACATCGATCGTAATGCAAATGGAAAGTTAATTCAACCGGTTATGCGTGAACCCAGCAAATGTAAACTTTACAGGAAGAAAAAGTTCTTTTAGTAGTCATGCACCATGTAGTTTACTTTCGTAATCGTTTTTTTTAAATATAATGTATATGCATTAAATTTATAAGTACCTTACAAATAAAGCCGTCCCTTACAAAAGATTTTATTGTTTGCTGATTAAGCCATGCCCATGGACGGGAAGTTCTTGACCGAGAGACCTCGTCCCCGGGACAACGTTTTTCGGTTCCTATTGCAAGAATATTTTTAACTTCAGTTTATCTCCAGCGTAAGATATAGAAATATAGAAAAAACCAAACCAGTATCGCCTTTTCTAGTAGACTTTTCGGTTGCAGCGATGACGATAAGCCCATGATTTAGGTTTTATTATACATATACAAATTGAAACAAAATTTATATATATCATATATCATATATTATTCATATATATCACAATGAATATATAGAAATGTATGTCATACCAAATTTATAAAATTTAAAAATGTTTAAAATTTTAGCCGAATAACATTGTGAATGAAAAATTGTTTAAAGTTATTCAGAAGTTGGTTTGATAACGATGGCGTTAGGAGTTTTTACCAAACAACTGATAGTTATGTCAGTGCGCTTCCTGGGCACCCGAAAGAAAGGTTTTTTTCGGAAAGGGGTTAGGTTGCCAAAGCTACCGATCAAGGGGCCGAGAGACTTCGATTACTGGCGTCGTTTGCAGCGAAAACCCAAAAACCCCAAGGACAAGATTACAAGAGATAACAAGTGCCTAACTCGAAAGCAACCAGTTCGTAAGCCAAAGAAAAAGAGGGAAAATCCAACAGAGAGAGATGAAAAGGCAGCCAAATAAAGTGAATAATATTAAATCTATTAAATTTCGGAAGGAAATATATTTGAATAAAGTACAATGCATTTGGCAATTTAAGCATTAACTGAATTACTACTCGTTTTATTGGTCTGGTAGGCGCCCTTGAATAGAGAATATGCTGCAATGCATGTGACAACTCTAACTACAGCTGAGCTGCAAATGTACTATTGTACTCGATACCGAAAAAGTATTGTTTGGAAAAATCATCTGGTTTTTGTGTTAATTGGTATTTGCCTGGCATGGCGTTGTTGAGAAGCGTTTCGAATGGCTTTTCAGCTGTATTTCGGCACTTTGCCAGTTCGAGTGGTTGCACCATATACAGCCTCAGTTCGGGGCACGTCAAGTGCGGCGTCTCCGTTATCCGTGTTTCCGGTCCACAAACAAAACAGGCGCTGCGCGCTATTGTGGGCAACAGTGAATACGAGCCAAAACAACGACAGGCATATCTGAAATCATTTTATCATCCCACCAGCAAAGAGATCATCGACAAGGGTCTTCTATTGTGGTTTCCTGGTCCAGCCTCCTTCACAGGCGAAGATGCTTGTGAATTTCAAGTGCACGGGTCGTTGGCTGTAATTGCGGCCATGCTGGATGCCCTGGGCCAATTACCAGGCTTAAGGCCTGCACAGCCGGGTGAATTTACAAAGCGAGCATTTTTTGGTGGCAAGCTGGACTTAACCGCAGTGGAAGGCCTATCCGATTTGATACATGCTGAAACTGAGGCACAGCGCAAACAGGTTAATAAATAAAACGACCGTATACGTAAAGGCAATTCTTATAAAAAAAATTCCATTTCAGGCTCTGTTGCAGAGCACCGGCACTTTGGGTCGCCTCTATGACAACTGGCGCAAACGGCTCATTCGATGTGCCGCCCATCTGGAGGCCTATATTGACTTCGCCGAGGACGAACAAATCGAAGGCGGCGTCATATTAAATTTGACCAAGGAACTAAGAGCTGTGCAACGCGAAATTCGTGCTCATCTGAACGATCAACGACAGGGCGAACTGCTGCGAGATGGTGTACGCACTGTCATAATCGGTGCTCCAAATGTAGGCAAGAGCAGCCTACTAAATCTGCTTTGCCAGCGTGCTGTGTCCATTGTGACCGAACAGGCGGGCACCACACGGGATATAATCGAGACAACGCACAGCTTTGGCGGATATCCCGTGATCTTTGCGGACACTGCAGGACTTCGTAAGCACACAACGGATGCAATTGAGGTGGAGGGTATGGCTCGTGCAAAACAATGCCTAGCCCAATCTGATCTTATATTGCTGCTGACAGAAGCCAAAGCTCTGCGAGATGTGGACAGCAATGAATCCCTAAATGACCACATCGAAAGCTACTTGCAAGAACTGGACATACCGAAAGACCTGTGCAGTGGCAAATACTTGCAGTTGGTTGCAAACAAAACAGATACGCTGCCAAAGGAGGAAAGTCAACGTCTTAGCAAGCTGAACAATGTGCTGACCATATCGTGTCACAAGCAGGACAACCTGCCACAGTTTCTGGGCTATTTGGAACAGCTGCTGGTACAACTATGTGGAACTCCGCAGGCGGAACATCCACGCATCACGCAAAGTCGCTATAGACAACAATTGGAACGTTGCATTGAGCACATTAATATATTCCTAAGAGATTACAAGCCCGATGTGTACCCGGACATGGCAATAGCAGCACAGCAGCTGCGGAAATCTGTGCGCTGTATCGAGCGCATCACTGGACATGTCAGCTGCGAAGATATACTCGATGTGGTATTTAAAGACTTTTGCATTGGAAAGTAGTTCATATTCCTATTTATTAAGTACAAAGATTGTATAGACTGCAAACAAAGAAACGAAAAGTATGGCATGACAAATGCATTATACTATCAGCTAATCATTGACATATATTAAAGCAGTCAAAAATAATGGTATTTTTCAAAGTAAAAGGTTCAAAATATGTTCAGAGAATTTTATGTCTTTAATTAAAAATAAGTATTAAAATGTAAATAAGTAAAATAACAGTTCATTCATTAAATTTATTCAAAAAAAATGAATTTCATCTTTTAAAGAGAATACCCCTATTTAAAGTAGAATCTATTAATTTTCGGTATCGATAAGATTGTTCATATAAAATACTTATCGGTACATCGATTACTCAGTGCCCACTTACATCACTAGAAAAAATGAAAAACATTAGTTGAAGTAATAGAAATACAACGTGCAAATTGGCATTTTGAGCACCAAGTTTGTCGATAAGGACATAACACACATTGGGTGCTGGTTGTTCGGGGCAGTCTTCGAAGCTAGAGAGTTGCGTCAGCAGGTAACAAAATGCCAGGAAAGGTGGGCGTCAAAATAAAAGCTGCGCGTAATCTGCCAGTGATGGACAAGAGCAGCGAGACAACCGATGCCTTTGTGGAAATCAAGTTGGCTAACAAAGAACACAAAACAGAGGTGTTCCGCAAAAGTCTAAATCCTACATGGAATACTGATTGGTAGGTACATGCAGCACCAGCTGCTTGCTTGCCACCATACATCATCTTTCGTGCATCTACAGGTTTCGCTTTGAAGTTGACGACGCAGAGCTGCAAGACGAGCCGCTGCAAATACGCCTAATGGACTATGACACATACTCTGCAAATGATGCGATTGGCAAGGTTAACATAAGTCTTAATCCCCTATGTCTGGAGAGCTCTAGTCAGTCGGCTCATGGCAAGGGCATTGTGCTCTCAGGCTGGATACCTGTCTTCGACACAATGCACGGTATACGCGGTGAAATAAACATAATCGTCAAAGTGGATTTGTTCTCCGATGTCAACAAGTTTCGACAGAGCTCTTGTGGCATCCCCTTTTTTCATTGTGCGTAGCGAATTTATATGTAAAGCAAATCTAATAGTTCTATTCACTAATTTCAGCTCAATGTGTTCCCTTTGGTTATCGTGCTCAAGTCATTCATGGATTTGTCGAGGAGCTGGTGGTTAATGATGATCCAGAGTACCAATGGATTGACAAGATACGCACACCACGTGCTTCCAACGAGGCAAGGCAGGTTGTCTTCCTCAAGCTCTCCGGCCAAGTGCAGCGCAAAATGGGCCTGAAAGCCATCAATATGGGTGCCAATGCAGTCATTGGCTATACACAATGCTTTGATCTAGAAGGTGATGTAGGAGTTGTGGCACGAGGCGTCGGCACAGCTGTCACTCTGATCAAGGACACCAGCAGCAGTCAACCAAACAGCGCGGATGTAGCCCTTATCGAAGAGTGAGTATTGATGGGAATATTAAAATAAATACATTTATTATGGATATGTCTTACAAAGATGGTGAAAATGCAAAATAGTTTAATTTTATTCAACTTCCAAAAAGTACCTCAAGTAAATATTAGGGCAAAATATCCTATAAAAAATTCAAACAGGTTCAATTATAATTGACTAATATAAAGTTATAGAATCAGAATACATTTTATGTTTTGAGCGCATATAAAATAAATACTTCAAGCGCACATTTCTAAGACAATTCCATGATAAATATAAAGTGTAAAATAAGTTCCAAGCAATATTAGTTGCTTTCCTATCAGTAGGTCTGCTTGTAGATCCACGTGGCTAAAGCTCAAAATATGTTCTAAAATGTTATATTCTCTTTTTTTTTTTTGAATGTTTTTCCCTCTATCCAACGATCACGAATTAAAAATGAAAACTCAATCGTCGTTTAACGCTCATTTTTGTATACAATTATAAACTCTGTACTGTGCTCCTTGTCGTTTTTCGTTGTTGTATTGCGCATCTTCAATCGTTGTTGTTTTCGTGTCGTATCTATAACATTAAAAACAAAAACAAAAACAAAATCCTACACTTACCCAACCGTCCATCGGCCCTTGACCCCTTATAGAGTCCAAAAATATTTAGATTTTCTCAACTGCACCGCTGGCAGTAGCGCTAGTCTGCCACTGTCCGGCAGATCACCTCAATATCGTCTTAATATATATAAGCAGCCCAGTTTTAGTTCGCCCAGTTCGGCGGCAGCAGCAGCAGCAGCGGCAGCAACGTTGTTCTACTTGGAAAGCGGCAGTAGCGATACGGAGGACGCGGATGTTATGCAGAATCTCTTGAGGCAAGAGGATGAGCGGGGCGAGAGAACACGCGAGAAGAAGTTGCGTCATCGCATGCATCGCTTGACTTTGTCCTCGCGAAATGTGTTCAGCGAGAAGTACGCAACACTTTTGCGGCGCATTGAGCCCAAGATACCGGAGAACGCCACGCAATCTCTAAGCAACCTGCTCAGTGGAGTCGGATCAAGCACAAAGCGTCGTCGTAAATCGCGCCATTCGATGGGTAAGCGGACATCGCAGTCCATAACACGTTCGATTAGCGATGATACTGGCGCTGGGCCATCTATGTGTCAGCTGGCGGTGCCACGACTGCCCGTGTATCAGGAAAGTACACGCTCAGCCCCGGATCTGGAGATGGATGTATTTCAGCGTAAGTCCATGTGCTCCTCGGACTCATCGGACTCGTTGTCAATAATTGAAATGCTTGCCCCAGGCATCGACAGTGCAGCAGCAGAAGCTGCAGCCGAGTCTAGCGATGAGGAGCTGGAACAGCTTCAAACGTTCAGAGATGACGATTTACAGGATAATTGGATTAAGCCCGGCGAGACGCGCAGCTGTGAGAACAGCCAGCTGGATTTGACGCCCAAGCGACACACGCTCCTCGAGGACTTGAAGGGTTTCTCCCGTCGACTGCAACAGCTGATGCATCTGACACCCAAGCAACCAATTAAACCAAAACGCTGCCTTCTACTGGCCGCTGCTGCACTAGAGCCTTCTTTGGAACGCAAATCATATTACAGCTCACAACCGGAGCTGCCCACCAGCAGCGCATTCGATTTTCCTTGCGCTAATCTGAGTGCTTTTGCATCCATGTTGCAGCTGAATCGTTTGCCCAGCTATGAATCCAATTTGCAACGCTGCGCTTCGCTTAGTCATTTCGCAAGCGTTAGTTGTCTAGATGCTGCACCATTAGAAAAGTTTGATTCCCGAGCACTACCAACGTCACCGTCACTGCTACCGCCACCACAACCACAACCACAGCCACCAGTAGCCCAACAAATAATAAAGGAATATCCGAACACGTTGCTGCCAGTTGCGCCCGTTCTGTGCATTTGCCCATCGACCCCAACCCCAACAGAATCCGAAAATAGCGCACAACTATCGCCTACACAGGCGCGTGCTTTTGATTATTATGACCCACCCGTTTTCAAACTAGACCATGTTGTAAATATCTCGTATAGTACTAACCATAGTAACAACAATAATGAATCATCATTGCTTGCTCCATGCTATTCTGTTTCGCCATCTGCCATATCAAACCAACAACAACGCTCTACTAGGTCCAGTAGCGAACTTCAGCAACAGCAGCAGCAACAGCCACAGCAGCTACAGCCACAGCAGCAGCTACAGCCACAGCAGCAGCTACAGCCACAGCAGCAGCTACAGCCACAGCAACAGCAGCAACAGTCGACACCACAAGGGGTGCTCATACCCACGACCATTGCGACGATCGAGAATAGTGCAAATCTGAAAAGGTTAGCATCGCCGGTTAGCAACAATCGCTTGAAGCTAACGCCGAGCCCATCGAAGAGTGGAATTTCGGGTGGCACGAATGCGGACAGCGCATCTACATCCACCACCTCAACAGCCACAACGATGGTGCAGGTCAAGGAACTGGGTGAGATCTGCCGTCGTTCGTCCGACTCCGATCTGAGTGTCACACCAAAAGGTATGTCTAGCTGTCTAGCTCTCATTTGATAAATAGCCATAGGAACTAAGCATAGGCTAAGTAGGGGTATAAATACTTATATATAATAGGTTAACAGTATTTCTCCCGATCCTCAACCTTGTGACTGTGTGTATGTGTTTGTGTGTCTCGTGTCTCTCATGAGTAACTCACAAGCTCTTCTAATGTTCTCTCTTTGCGCCCGCTGCTGCATCAAACACCATACAGGCATAGCCTACGCATTGCATCGTAAGCGTAAGTAGTTGTCTTTCTCTCGCTCTCTCTCTCTCTCTCTCTCTCTCTCTCTCTGTCACTCTGTAACTCTGTTTATTTATCAGTTTCGATGTCCATTATCGATGTAATTGTGTGTTAAACCTGTTACCCCATTTGTGTTAAGGTGTGTGTGTATTTGTGTGTGTGTGTGTATTGGTGGATGGATAGGGGTGTATAGCTGACATTCAAGCTATGCTCTATATATGTTGTAAAACGCCTCTCTCTAGCCTCGTCTGAGCTGCTTGTCATGTATAGATGTTACTCTCTGTCTAACTCTCTTTTAATTCCTATTAATTATAATATTAAAAACAAAAAAAAATATATATATATATATATATATACTTGTATAAAACCACTATCATCTTGCCTATATACATATCTCTAATATAACAATTTGAAGAAAATTGTTTTCAATTTATTACTGTCAATCAACTTATTTTGTCATCGAATCCATTCAGCATCAACGTTAAATGCCATATCGTAAAAATCTAGGATTTCAGAACTATAAGAAAGTCATTAGGGCCATATATCTATCTACATATTTATATATATTAACGCAGGACCACAGACTTACTTACTTCCTTAATATACTAAATGGAACTTTAAAGTAAATCTTAATTTTTTTTAAATATCTAACGATTCTAAGGACTTATCCCAATGCAATAAGCAAACCATTTAATCAATGTGTAAAATAGATCTATTTATCTAGTATATCTTTAAATATCAAGTTTAAATTATAAACTAACACCAATTAGGCATGGCCCTACGAAACATGAGTATGTTATCTTTAGCCCAATCTATAGAGAAAAACGTAATTTGGAGATTTTAAGAAAAAAAAATTCATTTGATGAAAATGCATAGATTTAATCTTTATAAGTTATAGTTAAAGTAAAATCAAATGTTTTTCAACTGATTTGAATAAATCAGATTCTGGCTAGAATCTGAGTCAAATGTGTTTATTTATTAAAGTGTCGTGCTCTATGCATATGGGATACAAAATCATTGTGTTTAATAAGGCAGCAGTTATGTAACTCATTGGAATTTTAATTGCGCCGCTCGATCACACATATCTATCCCGTACTGTGTTTTCGCCTGCCTAAAATAAACGTTGTAAACCTGTGGACCTATCATTCAAGTTCATTTTATATTGTGTCCGAATGTAACGATCTTTCCCATTGGCAGGTAACTCCATCTGCGTGGCTAGCGAGCGGCTGGTGGCGGCAACTGCTATGATGCGTCTGACCACGCCCACGGTGGGCAGCAAGGCAACGGACAGTCTAGATATGCTGGAGTATCCCTTTCTAACTATGACCAAGTATCCCAATGGGTTTATTCTGCACCTGGGTGCCACTGTAGCAGCACGGTCGGTCAAACTTCTGGAACGTGTGCCCAATCCCGATGAACCAGAGGTTCGCGACAGCTGGTGGACGGAGTTGCGAATGGAGATTCGCTCCCATGCCCGTTCTTTGGGTTGTAATGTGGTGCTGGGCTACGCGGAGTGCACAACCATATCGTAGGTCTAAAACATTAACTAACTCACACTACTTTTATCTTAATCTGAATTGGATAATCAAAAGTTGGCTTCTGCAGTGACGATGTGTGCGTTTTGTCTGCAACTGGGACCGCTGCAGTCATCAACATGGTCTTCAATCGCTCAGTCTCGCAAACGGACATCTTCACTATATCAAAGGCAAGCAATATTATGACCGCTATGAGCAATTCGATGGAGGATCGTGAGGCAAATGGCAGCGTTGGTGAAACTGCAGCCTCGGGAAAGGACGGCATCTCGCTGGGCACAGCCAACGGCTCGGGCAGTAAACGCTTCGGCATGCCTAATCAAAACTCCCAACGTAACACCTGTGCCATCTGCCATGTGCCATACAATCTGAGCGTACCCTTTAATGTCAAAATGAAGAAGTGCGCTATCTGCCGCAAAGGTCGAGTGCCGGATGTTCTGTTGGCCACATTAGAGGTTCCAGAATATATGCAGGTGACTGGACGTGGGTGTTTCATGCAGGCACAGGTGGTGCGTGCCAAGAGGGACCTGCGCGCCGAATCGAATGCCAAAGAGATTTCCGATGGCTTGCCATTTCTAGAGTACGAGTTGCATCGTGTACTGATCAATAAGCTGAAGGCTAAGGGCATGAATGCCATCTTTGGACTACGCACCCAGGTGGCCATTGGTGAACGCATGATAGCTTTAATTGCCACGGGCACGGCTCTATTTTTGACTGCATTGCCCGTTCCGATGGTCCCTAAAATTGTAGCCGGCAACTCGTGGACAGACAAGCAAAAGCTGAATGAACTGCAAAAAAAACTGCAGGAGACATTTGAACGCAATCAAGAGATCTATCAGCTAAAGAGTATGGATCCCGATTTGGCCAGCATCAGTGGCGGAGCAGGCGGCGATAAGCAATCCGATACAGATGACTCCGATGATGAGGAGATGAATGAAATCGATTTGAATTGCGGTAATAAAGAGCTATGCGTACTTGAGGTAGATGATATTGAGGATTTGGAAATCATTTCACTACTCATGGAACCATATCCACCCGAGGGCTTCCATGTGGTTAACACACAACAGGTGCCGGGCATGTTGGAGCTGGATGCTGTCAAAAATCTTCAAATGTTTACGCAAGTGTGGCGAGCTCGCCTCGAGGTGGGACAGAATGTAAATGGATTCCCCAAACATTTTCAGCGGTGAGTTTTAGAACTCATCACAAAAAAATTACATGCAAAATAATGTTTACAATTGAATTGAAATCAAATTTAAACTCTCTTGGAAATACCTGGTCTTCACACAGATCGAGCCAAATCAATTGACTTTATATTATTCCAGACTATTCCCAAAATGCTTAACATATTAACTTTTTTCCATAGACTTCTGCAGACCATTTATTTTAAGTTACGCACAATGATTCCCTGTGCAATATGCGATCTTCGCTTCAGACTGGATTTGCCTGAAACGGTAAGAACTTGAAATATTTTTTAGAAATACTTACGAAATTTCCATACACACACTTTTAGGACCAAATCCAGTTGCTGGTCACCGGAATGGCCATGGGTCTGAGCGATGGCAACAAAATGAAATACCGTCGTCGGGGGCCGCCGGCCGCTCAAGTGCAAAATGGTTTGAGTGATGCAGCAACGCTGTCGGCACCTACTGTTCACGAAACTCAATCCCAGCCAGAGTTGAATGGCAAGCGAATACTGCAAGAAGAGGATTACATATTTCCACTAGACGAGGATCAAATGGTTGATACACCCACGCCCACCAGCTCGGCCATACCTCCCTTTGGCATGAATTCTTTCAAAGTGCGAAAGACTTCGCCATCACAACTCTGTAATCTAGCTACACCCTTACCCGCACCTAAGCCAATAAATATAGGTCCACCGCCACGCAACCGCTACGTAAGTTAAAAGTCTATCTCTGCTGCTCTGAACTAAGCTTCGATTATTTCTGTATAGTTCCCACTTCGTGATCGTTATGGCGTAGACTTGACGCCACTTAGCTTCATACCCGGTGCACGTATTGACAAGTATTTGGGAAATCTTAACTTTTTCTTCATTAGGGAGAGCACCTCGATACGCGAAAACGGCGGTATTAGCGGATTCGTGCATGGATTCATTACCGAATTACTGGCCGTTGTGCGCGCTCATATTGCTTCGCTGGGCGGAAACGCAATGGTCTCTTTCTATTTGACCGAACTCATATTGTTTGACAATCAGCACAAGAATCAGGTAAAATTTAAATTGATATTTATGTAACTGTGTATTGTTATGCAACTCATATTGTATGTTGCAGGGTCAGTGCCTGATTAGCATTGGCGGCGATGCGGTGTATGTCAGCTACTATGCCGACGACTGATATAAACGTTTGCGGGGCATATAGCGTCTATTCTACGCGAATCGTCCCAAAAGTGTATACTACTGATGAAGTCGATCAACTCTAATCTTTTGCTCTCTGACTTTCTCTCTCTCTCTGGATGCCAACAGCTCATACTTTATGGCTCTCTAACTCTGCGCTGTATGGGTCAATCGGGTCAGGCAACCGTATAGAAACGCCTGTTTACTTAAATATAATACACATATAGTAGTTAATTTTACTTACAACTGTATCGTCTAAATACTTGAAATCAGCATGCAATAATTGAACTGTGACTTGGCGTTCGGGAAGTAGGATGAATTTTTCATGTATTGTTATTTGTTTGCTTAATGTTTAAAGCTTAGCTATTTGCAATTTTCGTGACCGTAGTATGTACATAGCCGAGATGTTTATTGAATATACATTTTGATAGATAATTTTATTCTCTTTGCTCGGAGGCATAGCTCTTAGCAATTATACATTATACACAGCAAAGTGTAATCAATTTTGGCAACAGAAGTCAGCCATTAACTTATGTAACATATAAATTTATATATATAATACTAATTAATATGCAATCTTTGAAATTAGAATCCAAAAAATATCTAACAGGTGTCCATTTGTCTATTCAATTGGGAGTCGTGGAGAGCAGCACAAACATAACCCAAAGATGGAGCAACGCAACGTAAACTATCATGCAGATACGCATCATTGGATAGCGTCGTAGAAAGGCTCCAACGCGTATGCCCACGGAATCCGCTTGGCGCAGAGCACGCTTAAAGCGGCGCGCAACGCGGTTGTCAAATGGACTAGGATACATGAGCAGTGGAAATTGTGCCTTGGCTAAAAGAGACAAATATCAAAATGCATAGTTATATGTCAAACTATACCCATGTTGTAAATCTTTCACCCACCGTCATCTGTGCTATTTGAAATCAGCGTATTGCGCGAACTCGAGCCTCCACGTTGATGGCCCAACTCTAGCGAATGCATGTTTTGCTGCAGCTGCGCCTGTATGTTTTCATGCTGCAAACGCAGTGCATTGCGCTCCACTGTGACGCGTTCCAGCAAACCCTGACGCTCCACCAGCGATTGCGTGAGCGCTTTTAAACGATTCTCATAGTCATTTTTGACACTTGTGAAGCCAGCTTCGCTAACAAGCTGTCGCTGCTGTTGCAACTGTTTCTCCATTTCATGCAATCGAGTGGCACCGGCGGCCATTTGATTGCTCATCTGTTGACGCAGCGAAGACAACTCTTGTGTCAGCATGCGTTGCTCCGATTCGATGGCCAAACTGTGCTCGCGAGCTGTACGAAGCTCTTTGTTGAGTGCATTTTCACGCTGACGAGCGACGCCGAGCTCCAACTCGTGTTGACGCTCCAATGCCATATAGTCATCCAGCTGCAAGCGCAGTTGCTGCTGCTCCTCGCTGGCATGTTGCAACTCCTGCTTTAGAGAGTCAAGTTCGATTTGCAAGAAACGCGTTTCACTGTCCTTGGCAGCCAGTTCGCCACCTTCTGCAATCGGATTTTGCTTCAGCTCAGCAATAAGCGCATCTTTCCCTTGGAGTGCCCGCTGAGCTTTCGCCCGATACTCTTGTAGCTCGAGACGCTGTTGATCCGTCTCCTTGGTTTGCATTTGTAACTTATGTGCTGTGCTCACGTATTCCTGCTGCAGCTTAGCGAGATTCGTTTCTAATTCAGATATGGAGTGTACGTAAGCCATTTGGGCTGCTTGCGCCTCGCTCAGCTCTTGTACAGCCTTGTCGCGTTCTTCGGATAAAGTTTGTGTTACACTTTCTAATTCCTGAGCTCGCTGTTTCAGGCCAAGATTCTCGCTATCATGATTGAGTCCATCAAGTCGCATACGCAACTCATCACGCTCACTGGTGATATCATTAAGGGCTATCTTGAAAGCTGCCAATTCATGTGTGTCCATACCATTCCCGTCTGGATTGACTGAAAAACTTGACGATGTAGGTAACTTTTGCCGTAGCTCTGTGGTCAGCACTTGGGAGCCGTCGCTTTTGCTGCTAGAGGCACTATTACCGACCATGGACAAAGACATGGGTGTACTACTGTTGCTGGTGGGACGCTTAATTGGAGAGAGTGTTGTTTTCAAAGATTGTGTGCTGCTGGTTAGACTGCTTTTCATAGCATCTAACGCTGGACCAGCTTCCGTATGCAAAGCTGTAGCAGCATTCTGGTCTATTTTATTTAATATATTCTCTGCCTTATCCGCTAATCCCGTTATCCACGAAGACATATCAAAATCCCAGAATTGTAGCTTAGAAAATGCTGAATACGTGGAAAAGTAGTTTGTTTATGTCAGTACCAGTGGTTTTATAGTCGTTAACGCAATATTTTGCAACACTGAAACAATCGATATACTACATGTCCGTCGCTAACCATCATATCGATAGCTCGTAACACTGCACACACACAAAAATCAATAGTCGCCGCCATATTTTTTCACTTCTACTCGGACGCGTTTTTATGTTTAGGTAACTGCAAAAATAATTTAGACGCATATAAAATTTGTGAAAAAGTGACTAAATAGCGGCGTATAATACTAAATTATCATTCGTGCATTAATTGGTATATAACCCTTGCAATTAAAAACGACAAACGTCTGTGCGCGTCCGAGTTGTGTCTGTATGAGTGTATGTGTGTCAGTGTAGCGGGCGGTATAAAATAGCTAAAAGTAGAGTTGGTATTGTTACTATAACCCCGACTAGAACATGGAAGGAGCTACACAAGTAGCGTCCCCACCTGTAGGTGGGCCACGTGGCGGTGGCTACAGAGGTCGGGGTGGAGGCCCTCCGATGCGTGGTGGCTTCGAGCGCGGACGTGGTCGGGGCATGGGTCGTGGTCATTTTATGGGTGGCATGCGTGGTGGCGGCATGGGCGGCAGTGGTCCACCAATGCAGGGTATGATGCAGGGTCCGCCACGCGGCATGCGCCCCCGAGGCGGATTGGGCTATCAGGGTCGTGGTGGCGGCGGCGGCTTTCAACCACGCGGTGCTCCTATGGGCATGCGAGGCGGACGCCCACCTTTATATCAGCAGCGTAAGTACAAACAAAACACGAGCAATAGTTGCTTAGATCAGCTACATAACCAAACCGATACAGCGCCTAAGCAGCACACGGGTGCCGACAACAACAAGACGGTGTCGCCGGTTCCCACATCAGCAGCATCTGGTGAGCAAACCGGCGAAACATCAGGTGAAGATGGCACAGATTCAGCAACGGCAGCACCTGGAACAGCCACAACAGTGGTAAACACGCACGGGGCAAGCGGTGCACCTGGTAGCAACAACAGCAACGGTGGAGGACCACCTCCATATTTAGGTCGGGGACGAGGACGTGGTGGACCCTTCGGTGGTCGTGGACGAGGTGGCGGCTACAACCCACATATGAACGGCAATGGCGGCAATGGAATGTACCCACACTCACATCATAACAGTTCCATGGGCGGACCGGGGGGCGACCATGGAGGAATGCCTCGCCGTGGCTCGATGCGCGGACGTGGCGGTGGTTACAATCAAGGTATGAGTCGGCCACCCATGCAACATCACCAACAGGCTCATAATGTCAATACACAAATTGCACCGGTACCAGCTCTCAAACGTGGCGCACCCGGAGGACCAGGTCCCAAGCGTGGACGATACGAGGGCGGACCCTATGGCCAGCGCCCCATCACACCAAAGTATCATGCGGCATCCCAGCATATGTCACAAACAACATATGGCTCCCCGCCTAGCCATCATGCTCCAGCACCAAGGTAAGACCAATCAATTTTGGAGACAACAGCTATAATTTTCTGTTGACTGAAGGCTATGTATTTTGTTTTACAAATGGAAACGATCAAGTTGTGACCAGCGAAATATATTTATAAATTGAATATATTTTTCATTGTCCATTGCCAAGCGGAAACTTATAGTTGTTAATATATATTGTTTAAACAAATTGAGCTTAATATTAATGCCAACGTTCACTGCAGCCATCATGGTGGCTATCAGACGCACGACCAAACCCAACAGGTCGATCCATATTCTCAAAGCAGCTACAGTACTTCAACAGCTGCTCAGCAGGGGTATAATGGCTATGGTCAGAGCAGCGGCTATGGAGCACACACAACTCAGCCAAATACGGCGGCCAGCAACAGCTATGCGCCACATCACGGCAGCGAATACGATCAGAGCCAATACCAGGGCTACAAGTAAGTTGACTGCAAATCTTTGCACAATTTATGTTGGACGTTTATTAATGATAACCATGTTTATTGACAGCTCCACAGGCTATGCTACCCAGCCAGACACGCGATACCAGTCATATAGCCAAGACTATAGCCAGCAGTATGGCTCGACTGCAGTTGATTATAATGCAACCGGCCAAGCGGACTACAGTCAGCAAAGCGCCAGCTATGATGAACGCGCCTATGCTGGTTATGGTAAGTAAATGTTAACTAATCATATTCTATTACACCTGCATCACCGAACTTTGCGACATCCCCCACCAATAGATTCGCAGGCATATTCGCAGAACTATTCAAATGCAGCTGCCTATTACTAAACAACAACAGTTTGCCGCATCCCTCGAATGGCGATATACATTTTAGTGAAGAACGCTGCGCGTGCTCCAACACGTATGCCAAATACCAAAACAAGGGATTAGGGCCAACGAGCAAAATAATATGTTTAATGCAGAAATTTGATTGCTATATAAATTAATACATACACGTAGACTCACATACACACATACACTCAAAACACACAATTAGTTTAAGAATAAAGTTCTCTTTTCCTAGCGTTTAAGTTGAAACGTGTTGCTACGTCTTGATTTTCCCCTCCCTTCCCCTCAACCTATCCAATTATCCGAAACCTTTGTGTTTGTTCGTCTTTGCTTAATCAATACCCGATCCATGTGACTGGCAAGAAGATTGTATTGCCTGTTGTTAAATGTTTGTTAGTGGACAACTGGAGCCTTACATCGCTTTAAATGCTCCGGCCTATAAAAACGGATTATGTATATTTCTTATTATTTTAAAATTACAATTACACTTTTTCAATTTATCTATTTTTGATGAATGCGAGCCAAAACTATAACAAATCAATATTGTGAATCATGTCATATTGTATACAAAAATTGCAATGTATAAATTTTAGCTTATAAGCAAACTGCTAATATGCAAAACATCTCTTTACAAATGGAACTTTTGTTTATTTCGACCTTTTTTTACATCTGAAATATCTGAGAACATAGCTAAGACTTTTCAAATATTTTTTGTTTCTATAAACCATTGACGTGAAAAAAGAACACAGCTATAATTTCTTTACTTATTAATAGCAACAATTTAAGCAACAAAATCGTAATTATGTAATTCTTATTCATTAAGCTGAGCAAAACAAAAAAAAAAAACAAAGAAATACACAATTTATTAGCAAAACAAAGCAAAAATCTTAAAATTTATCAAAGTCAATAAAATAATGTTTCAAAATGTGTGTAATGCATTAAACTTTATTTAAACTTAAATATTATTATTTTGAATGTTTTGTTTAATCAAAAAGTTATAGTACAAATTCAACTAATTAAGCCAATGAAAAAAGTGCAACAACACAAATTACATAAACGAAAACGAAAAAGAAAAACAAATACGAAACTGTTTTTTTATCAAGAAGCAGCAAACTACATACTCAAAAATTAAAGACCAATTCAAGCCAAAGCATATTGAAGTAAAATTCAAAATGAAAAACAAAAAAGAGAAAGCAATAAAAACAAAATTAACAATGAGAATCCCAAATGAACCTGAAGAAAAAAAGAATCTTTCGCATTCAAATCGATATTAAAAGTTCATCGAAACAAATATTTAAATAGATATACACAAATCTTCGTCTAAAATATTTAAACTGATGATTAAAAAAAATACAAATTTAAGAAAGAGAAAGACCAAAAATATACCATACGAGACAAATCTGAAAAGTTCAAAGGCTCTTAAAAAATTAAATAAAAAAAAAAACAATTACACACATATTTGGTAAGTTAAGTTGCAAGCCTTTTAAAGGCTAACATCCTATAATAGTTATAAATACTTTGAACTATGTGATAACTCAACACTCAATACTCAATACTTTAAATGTAACAAAAAAAAAATCAATTTTAAACATTATAGATAAAAATTAATACAAGCAAGCTATCTAAAGTTACTTTATGTCTGTCCATTTCTGTGAGAATGGAGAATCTAGTCGATTGATCTCATCTAAACCCAAAGTCTCTAATCTATAGGTCTAGTTTGTATATATAAAGACTTACAGATGTTGAGTTTTACCACGTTAAATGCGGCCCTTGTCGCGTTTCTATCAAATTCATGTAGCTTTAGTTTTCTTTTTACAGGAATGAGAAAACTAAAAACAAAAAAAAACAAAAAGCAAATAAAAATAAACTAAACGAAAGGCGTTTTAAAACGTTTTTGAAGTGCGAAGCAAGCAAATCAGAGGAAAAGGTGACAAAAATCGTAAACAAAAAACATAAAAAAAATACAGGAATGAAATATTTTGACGAGCTTTGTTTTAATTATTGCACTTTTATGTTATTTACACTTTTGTTATGTGAAGACACATTTTATTAGTTTATAATTTGAAAATTTAAAAAACCGTAAAAATTGTTTTGAAGGCTAAAAAGTATAAAGTAGTAGAAAATAAATATAAAAACCTCAATGAAAAGTGATATATGAAATTAGAAAAGACTGAATAATACAAAAATCTATTTTAAAAATATAAACTAAGGCATTTACATGTTTTTATTATTTTATTTTCCCAATGCCCATAAATAAGATATAAATATCTTGGGAACTAAACCATATTAAAAGTAAAGAAAATATATTAAATATAAATAGTATCACAAATTGAAAACAAAGACTTAAAAATATTCTCAAAGAGGCAATACAACAATTAAAAACATAACGAAAAAAATATTACTCCAGGTACTTAAAATATTTAATTCTTATTTTTTTTTTCAAACATACATTTGAATTAATTTGATGCCTTTAGCTGAATTTGTTGGTCTTGTCTAGGTAATCCAAGCAATTATGAAATAAACTGAATATTATCAGTAAAGTTAACTGAGCCAAAGTGCGAAGATTTAAATAACAATTCAAGCCAAATCGAAAATCTGCATATAAATCGTTTGTTAAGATTTTTTATACAACAAAAAGAGAATTTTACAAACAGTATTTATTTCACAATTTAATGTGAAAGTCTTTATTTACGTTTTGCTCTATTATTTGTTTAATTTTTGTTTATTTAAATGATTTACTTAATAAAAACAGCGAACATTGCAAATGAAAACCAAAAAATGCAAGTGAACAAAATTTTATGAACTCTGCAGAATTTTTAATACATTTCTATTACAGCAAGCAAAAGCAAATTTAAAATGAACGGCAAAGTCCAATTGGAGCGATTAAACAAACAAATCACAGCGCTTTAAATTGTCGCACAATTGTTGATCTGCGGCGCCATCAAAACTCGACAAATGAAATTTCATTTACTGATTTATGTGAAGTATACTATATGCTAACGTATTGTTTAACATATGCATTTATATAGAAATTGGAAGTAGCCTGGATCGCCTGTGATTGATATCTGTGATATAATTCTATATAAAATTTAAATTTTATTTAAAATATCTTAAATATTAAATATAAACTAATGTTCCATTCGATAAACTCTAACTCTTTATCCTATATTCTTCATAGAAAAGATTACTTGATAATGATTTTTAGCAATAAAAAAAGAAACAGGAATAGTATAACAAATCTTTAAAAGTATTAAGAAAAATTTTGAATTCGAAATTCGAAAGCAATATAAACTAATGTTCCATTCGTTAAACTCTAACTCTTTATCCTATATTCTTCATAGAAGAGATTACTTGACAATGATTTTTAGCAATAAAAAAAGAAACAGGAATAGTATAACAAATCTTTAAAAGTATTAAGAAAAATTTTGAATTCGAAATTCGAAAGCAATATAACCTAATGTTCCATTCGTTAAACTCTAACTCTTTATCCTATATTCTTCATAGAAGAGATTACTTGACAATGATTTTTAGCAATAAAAAAAAGAAACAGGAATGGTATAACAAATCTTTAAAAGTATAAAGAAAAATTTTGAATTCGAAAGCAGCAGAAGTTAAAGATAATGTTGACTACGAAAATTGTAAGTTCTGTATGAAAGTGTAAAGTTTAAGTGCCAAAGGCTGATCCCGATGGAAATCGCTTCCAAATTAGTTGATATCAGTGTTAAACAGTATAAAAGAAGTGAAGTAGTTTTGCGGTTCTGTGTTTTTTTTTTAATATCTCAGTTTTAGGGTCTGAATTTAATTTCAAAACAATCTTGATTTATCATAGAGATGTCTGAAAAGTTTACCGAACTGCTGCCCTATTTCTTCGACCTATTTATTCTAGCGGATGCCTCTTTTTCAGCAAGTTTTTTTACAACAAATAAAGATTTCTTAAAAATGTTAAATGGTCTTTAGAGGAAAATTCTGTTGACCTATGCTAATATTTCGTGCTACCACTAAAATCTATAATAATATACATTTGTTTGAGTCCCATATATAGTTCTGTCTAAATGATTAGTTTCAAAAATTATCCTATCCAATAAAATGGCTTCGAGGCAGATACTGAATAAATATATAAAAAATTCAACTGCGTTTTTCACGGATTTCGCTTGAGAATAAAAAGAGAATTTATTGAAGAAAAAGAAATGGATAACAATTAGGTTCAGGAATTAGAATTACATATTAGTTAATTTTCGCAAGTGCTTTATGTGCGGGAAATATCTACTATTTATTATTAGTGAATATTAAGTGGAATAAAATATAATTTATACAATTTTTATTTGTATTTGATGACTATAAAGTGATCCGAAATAAAAAGCTATTACAAAACAATCAAATATTTCAACATGTACAATACGTTTTCGGGGGTCCTTGACGAATATATACAAGTATGAGATATTCGCAATTAAATATTTTGAATACATTCATTTGATTATTGAACTAGAGAGCTTCCAAGTTGATTAATTCACAATTAAACGCCATTGTGCCGAGAGTACATTACACATATAAGGAGAAGACGCCATTTTGTTGTATGCCATTGAGAAAACAAACTTTTATCGAGGTCGTGTCGTAGAATCGATTGAGGTTGGAATTGAACCGTGCGGAGCGCCCTAACGACGTTTGCCAAACCGCAAGAAAACATGATCGACATCCGTGCGTTTATTATAGTTCTTCAGCAAATCATCTGAGTTCGCCACGAGAGCTGTAAATTGAAAGAAATTATGTATTACACTGCATGGATATAGAAATTCTTTCTGCTAACCCGATGCCTCGTTGTTGATGTAGGACTTCAGTGCAGATGTCAGTTGATCCGAGTTCTCCAGTGCCATGCAAACCTTTTTGATATGTTGCGGCATCTCGTCGACTATGCCAGGCTGGCATAGGGGTGCCTGTGTGGCCGCCTCTGCACTGTGCACGCACACAGCCAGCAGGACGATGGCAAGGAAGCAGATCGCAAACAACTGTACGTGGGACATCCTGCAAGTAGAGCTCAACAGTTGATAAATATGTCTTCAACTTTCCTTTAGATAATGACTCGTAAGCCAACGCCTCAGGCTAAGTGCTCAACTAATTTTGATTAACGGCTATAATCAAAATGCTACGTGCCTGATTATCGTTGGCAAGGCAATGAGTGCTTCATGATGCTTATAAGGAGTTATGCCTGCTTTCCTGCCCACCTGCAGGCATTTCAATTTGCCTGCTGCAATATTTTATATTTATTTTTGTTTTAAATCCAAATCCCAGCAAAACTTGATGACAACAGCCAGAGGACGGCGCTAATGTGTTTACGTGCCAGACAATTTGTTTCTATTACCCGCCTCAGGTGGAGTAGAGCCGCTGCCTGTCTCTCAGCCTGACGAAGATGTATATGTATGCAAACGCACATATATATATAAGCCAAATGCAGTCATACGCCCCGTCGAACACACACATATACGAGGTGCCTGTGTCTATGTATATTGTATCAACAATCCTGTGGACCTACTAACATGCATCTAATGTCATTTACGTGTCGCTCGTCCATTTACTTAGCTTAGAAACAGTTGCAACGTTATTTACCAATGATCTATTGAAATACTATATTGCATGACTGTTTTTGGACAATTGTCTATGTATTTGTGTGTGTGTGTGGGTGGGTGTTTGTATGCATATACTATAGACAAGCGCAAATACTAAATTTTGCTTGTCTGTAGGCAAAGTATGTCAAGCACTACCGGAAAATGCTCCGATTGTACGCATTAAATAATTAAATAACCAAATATACAACACTTTAAGTTTGTATTATGTGTTATAAATATGCAGAAGCAAGCTAGGAAACAGATAAATAAATGAATGAATGAATGAATGCCTTTGCAACCTAGTATTCATTATTCTGTCTACAATCCTTAAATACAATCAAAGTCTTACAATCCTATAGTTCTAGGTAGAAGAGAGATGAGTGAATTAATTCATTGATTCATTTGTCTCATTCATTCATTCATGGAATCATGAATACTATGAGAGAGATGCATTCATTCACCCAATCCAAAGCTTTAAAGTCATCTAATTCTAGGCAGAAGAAATATGAATGAATGAATGAATGCATCAATGGATAGGTGCATTCATTCATTGATTCATTTATCTCATTCATTCATGAATGCTCGGATGCGAATGTATTCATTCGTGCAATCATGAATCCTTGGAGACAGTTGCATTCATTCATTCATTCAAAAGTCTAACACTCATCTAGTTCTGGCTAGGAGACAGATGAATGAGTGAATATGGACACAGATGCATTCATTCTTTAATTCATTCGATTTTGAATGCTAGGAGACAGTCTGTCTCATTCATTCATGAATGTAGGACACAGATACATTCATTCATTCATTCATTCATTCATTCATGCGATTACGAATGCTAGGAGACAGATTTATTTACTCATCTGTTCCTTTCATTCATTGCTGCATTCATTTATCTTCTAGTTAAAACTATATATGTGAAAGACTTTGGTTGTATTCACAGTTTGTAATTGTTTTACCTCACAAAGAACCTTTACTTTCCAAACTACTATTGCAGCTAAATGGTGTTTCGAACTGTTTGTTGGTTTTTGAATCCATTCGATTGGTGCAAGATTGGGTTCCACATAAGAAATAAATAGTTAAAACAAGTTAAGCCTAACTAAGTCTAACTAATTCACATAAGTTCTTTTTTACTTCACATAAAAAATATTACAAGTTGACAGTTGAAGACAGATATCTCACTTGCACCTTACAATATTATAATTTGTAATAATTCGTAAAAAACGTTTAATTGATAATATATATATATATATATATATATATATATATATATATATATATATATATATATATATATATATATATATATATATATATATATATGTATAAAGTATAAAGGCTATTCGAAATGATAGTATATTTAGTTGACTCCCTCAACGAAATCACTTTAATAGTTTTGTGGCATGTTTTATGAGTATATCTAAAATCCAAAGCTGATAAACTAGACTTTTAAGCTTCCTAATAAAATATTATAACTTTTCAATTACCTGTTGATTTTCTTTGTTGTTGTTTAGTTTAAAGATCACTTAGAATATCTGACGACTTTCGAGAGTTGTGATGGAAATGTGTGTTTTCACTGCTTGCTTGGAACGAACTTGTTGAACGCAGGCACTCGAATGATGGTCTGCCTTGGCAGGACATCGGCTTTTATTTACTTCCGCTGAGTTCGCATACGGAGGAATTGCAAGCACGCCATTGGTTGGCACACAGATACACTCACACGCACTTAGACACTTACGACCACATGTTGAGCTTAAAACGACAGATACAGTAGCACGCCGGTTGGTGGGCGTGCACAAATATTGCGTATACGTCACCGACGCCAAGCTGTAATGTTGGGTACTTTTGCAACTTTAGACAATAGCGAAAAACGGAGATACAAACAGAAGCGATGCTATGCCGCTCAATATGTTATTATATAAGTTTTATCAGCTTTTAATTATGTTATAAAAGCGCATTTTTTATGAGCGTCGGCCACTTATAGGTAGTTAATATTGCACTTACGAGCCATCGCAATTGATAGACTTTTGTTGAAGCATCTGTCGTTTATCTTTAAATGAATCTATGAATGTCTTTGCCTACACCTTGGCTGCATTGTACTCTCACAGACTTTTTTGAAGTAAAGTAAAATGAAGTAAACTAAAAGGAAGCCAAGTAAAGTAATCTTCAGTTTATGAGGTTGGGATTTGCAGGCGAAACGTTGCAATTAATTTGCCATGGCGCGTGTTTGGCATGCAAACTTTTTGACAAGCTAGACTCTGACTATTTACATATTATAGTAACTGACTAACTGACTAACTGACTAACTGACTGACTGACTGACTGACAAAGGGGGGAAATATATACATATACATATATTTATGCATGAGAAAGTGAAAAACTTAAATTACAGTCAAGAAGTTACAAAAGCAAATTAAATTTGTCGCATTTTATTCCATAGCCATTTAATAATTAAAGCGAAAAGAGTTTTCATGGTAAATAATCATCCGATTTATAATTTTATTACTTATAATTATAATATATAATATAATAATATATAATATAATATATAATATAATAATATATATATTTATTAATTATAATATATTTCGAATCCAACATTTAATTCAATTCAATACAAAACTCAATTTTGTGACTATCTGTAGAGCACTCCTAGAATTAGGTTTAGTCTATTTTCTAACTGTTATAGTAGCTATATAAAAGACATAATTTTAGACGCCGATGTACTGTGTACTATATAATGTATAACATATAATATAAATATAATTAAAGAGAAGCATCCGCCATTTGCTCCGGATATATAGTAAGATGGACATTGCAAAAAGAAAACAACGTCCTTTCTTAACTCTCTAAACATAAACTAAGCAAGCAAGGCAGCTCTAGTTGGGAGTGAGTGACTTGGAGATACCCTGAAACCTGCGCAACTATTTCAAACATGCACACACACGTAGGCACACGCTCCGCTTTACCATGTTTTTTGATATGAAATTTCTTAACACCCTTTTTGAGGTCGTAATAAGACTTTAATCTCTACTAATAGAAATACGTTGTCTTTTTAAGTTTCGAAATCTGTGTAATCAGCAATGGAATTTACACAGTAAATTTGAAGTCCCAGCTTTTGCGGTACTCAATGGGATGGGTTATCGTAAGCTCGTACTCTGTTTGCTATGCCGAAATATATATTTAATAATATATAGTTAAAATAAAATAAAATATGTATTTAAAAGTCATCACTGGTCCTATTCAAGAATTTATACATATATACTTTTTATATAACTCTTTAAAGAGTCTTTCACACATCCTTCTGCCTGTAATGTATAATTGTACAAAACTAATATACCCTGCACTCGCATTTGCCTTTAGATCCCGGTAATATTTAGAAAATTAAACTAAATGTTAAAAGCAAGTTAGTCTTCAGCATATATTATGGAATTTAGATATACAGTCTAATAAATACAACTCACACATACATGTGTTCTCAGGCTGCATCCAAGTTCGTTTGGGCCACAAACAAATATCTTTATATCATGTGATCCATGGTAGGGTCATAGGTCACACAGTAGCCCGCTAATAAGGTTACCATAAACACATTTGTGGTCTTTGATGCTGAGTGCAGAAATCAGGCTAGCAGCATAGCTGCTGCCATATGTGCACATAATGTGACAGAGGCCAGAATGGAAGTGGGCAAAGAAATGGAAATGGCAATTGGAATGGGAATGGGAATGGGAATGGGTGGCTTACACGCGCTTCACCCGCTGCTATTCATGGGAATGAAAGCGAACAATGTTGCACGAAATTTGCACACAATTTGAATAAATTGATTGAGTTATAGTTGAGCGCATATTGTGCGAATAGTTCGAGCGATTTGGGGGCACAGTTCGCCAACACGGGCATTAACATTTAAATTATTTTCGCAAAATCACATATGGGTCCGTGTACTTTCGACGGAATTATATAAATAATTTTTAAATATCTTATTGTAGTACGCTAAACTGACTTTAGCTGGCTAAATATATGAACTGTTTGGGTTGATATTTTATTTGATTTATTTGAACATTTACGAAAGACTAAAATAATTGCACAGATAACCTTCGTTCCTTGCGTGACTCTCGATGTCAGTCAAGGATCAGTCCAAAAGCTTAGCCACTATGGGATCGGGCGCAGACATCGCATAGCCCAGATGCTGTAGAGCGCGCCGAATCTCGCTGAAGACGCTGGCATCGTCAATGGTAGCCGGCAGCACGACACGCTCATTCCGGGCAAAGTCGGCCATGGCCTTGCGCATCGTTTTGCCGGAACGCGTGCGTGGCAAGCTGTTGACCGAGGTGATGAGGCGAAAGGCAGCTATGGGACCGACAATATCGCGTATGAGCTTGATAATCTCCGCAGAGAGCTTCGCATCGGTTTTCTTGCAGGTCTCGACGGGTATGTAGAGACACAGCGGCACCTGGCCCTTAGTGGGCTCCGGCACACCAAATACAGCGACGTCGACAACGTCCGGATGCCTTAGCACAGCATCTTCTAGGCTGGAGGTGGACAAACGATGACCGGCCACATTAATGACATCATCGTCACGTGCCGTAACAAAAACATAGCCACGCCCATCCTTATAGCCAGCGTCCATGGTGTCATAGTAGCCCTGTAAGCAGCATATGTAATGTTAGAAAATCAAGAATCTTTATAATCAGGCTGCGACTTGCCGGAAACTTTTGGAAGTAGAGTTTGCGAAAGAGCTCATCGTTTCTATAGAGCGTGGCCATGTTGCCAGGGGGCAGCGGGAGCTTCAAGACAATGCGACCCAGCTCCGAGGGAAGAGCCTCAGTGCCATCCTTCTTCAAAATCTTAACTGTTCAGATAACAGTATTAAGGAAATAGTTAGATAACTTAAACGATTATTGATGCCTACCATCGTATCCCACTAGGGGCAAGCCGGTAGAGTACATTGGCGGACTGAGGTTGTGCTTCAGGCCCAAGCAAGTCGCCGTTATGGCCGAGCCGGTTTCCGTTTGCCACCAGTGATTCAGCACCGGCACCTTGAATGTCTTCTCTATCCAAGCCTTCGTCTCGTAATCACAATGCTCGCCAGCTATGAATATGGCACGCAGCGACTTCATGCAGTACTGCCGGCCATAGCTTATTTCCGGATCGGCGCGACGTATCACACGGAAAGAGGTTGGCACTGAGAAGATGCCGCACACCTTGTACTGGTCAATGATTCTGTAAGTTAAGCCGTTATGTCCAAGCTACCAACAGATGTGGACCAGTTTTGTTTATATTACCTAAAGTACTGTCCTGGATCCGGTGTGCGATCCGGCTTGCCCTCGTACATGACGCTCGTGGCGCCCAGGCAGAGCGGACCGTAGCATATGTAAGAGTGTCCCACCACCCAGCCCATGTCGGAGGCAGCCCACCACGTATCGCCAGGCTTAATGCCATAAATCACTTTCAAGGTGTACATCAAAGCCACCAGATGACCGCCAATTGTGCGTAGCACACCTTTCGGCTTGTCCGTGGTGCCCGATGTGTAGAGTATGTAGAGTGGATCGTTCGCTTCGATGGGTACGCAGGTCACTGGGTGATTAGCGTCGGCCATGCCCTGCACAGTTGACCAGAGCACATCCAGCTTATCGTCTAAAATATCGGATGCGACTTGTTCGCGCATGAAAATAATGTTGCGTTGCGGTGGCTTCCAGCGGGACATATTGATGGCGGAGTGAAGTATGTCCAGATATGGCACTACCTTTCCTGGCTCTACGCCCGCATTGGCGGCAATCACTAGCTTCGGCTCGACGTGCTCAATACGAGAGCAGAGCTCACGGGCAGCAAAGCCGCCAAATACCACAGAGTGTACGGCTCCGAGGCGAACAATAGCCAGCATTGCGATTATAGTCTCCGGTATCAGTGGCATATATATAACCACACGATCGCCCTTGCTTACGCCCAGCTTGGCAAGTCCGCCTGCGAGCAGCACAACCTGATCGTATAGCTCCTGGTAGGTGACCTTGCGTACAGTCTCCGTTAACGGACTGTCGTGGATGAGGGCCACTTGATCGCCCCGGCCTGCCAGTATGTGCCTGTCTACGGCATTGTAGCAGGCATTCAAATAGCCACCAACATACCATTTAGTGAATGGCGAATTGCTGTTGTCCAGCACCTGCTCCCAGGGCCTGTCCCAGTCCAGCAAATGTCCCAACTCCTCCCAGAAGGCGACGGGATTCTGCACAGACTTGCGATACAAATCCAAATAGAACGGATTATGCGCATCCACCGGCATGCCGTAAATGGATGAAGCACCTTGATAGAAAGAGCATTAGTCCATTAGTAGTTTCGAGTTCATTGCACTGTCTAGTTGGATTTTCAGGGGCTCATTAGGTGCTGCATAAATTTGGGCGCTCGATAGCGCTAAAGCAAATCTAATTACACTTTCACGACGTACGATTTTGGATAATTCAATTGTATATATAACCTATAGAATCTACGTCGCACATTGACTATGTATATATATACATATATATGTATATGTATATGTATATGGATGTTTGTATCAGAAGCAATCGGTAGACGGCACAGCATAATTAGTGCGCCATTGGCATGATAATACCATTGTATATGTATATATAGCTATCTATTGAGATACCTATATGAACATTTATATATATGTATATATATTCATGTATATATATTCATATGTGTGTGGGATTTCGCTGATTTGATAGGTTGAGTTCAATTTTGCGACTTCACATAAATTATTCTAAAATTTAAATAATTTTTTTTTGAATTTTCTAGTCGCCATTTCTCTGATATATATATGTATATAATATATGTAATTAAGTATATGATTATTGTATATATATGTATTAATATATATATATTTATTTTTTAATTTTTTCCTTTATGCATTCATATATCTAAGTTTTTCGCATACAAAACCATGTTCGACTATATAATTATTTTTTTTCGTGTTATTTTTTGTATATCGTCTAATTTTTCTATTTAAAGTATTAGCTTCATCTACGTTTTTCGACATTTCTGTCTTTAGCCTTCAGTCTTTTCTTTGCTTTCATGTTCTTCGTCGCTTTAAAGGTTAGTTTTTGACACTTACTGCCGTCGATATTGGATTTTCTCACTGCATCGGTAACCAGCTCCATTAAATCGCAAGTTTTGGAAAGTATGTCACTTGAACAATGAGTTTCTTGGATATATATTTATAGGCACTAAATATATATATATTTATATATGTATACGTATATCCTCTATACAGTTTATCGTGAAACGCAGCTCTAGCTTAGGCACGACCGTCGCTTTAAAGTCGAAACGTTACAATGATATTGAAATGCTCGCACAGCAAGTGAAACCCAGAACTCAAAAGTATGGGATCAAAGGTGTAACGCAACTCTCGAATTGAATAATGCTCTCACCACAAATTTCAGCCCAACACAAGGTTCCTATGAGTGTAAAGAACATTTGATTTGTATATGCAGAACTAAATCAACACTCGATTCCCACTCAACTCAAAATATGTAGAATTGCCTAAAAGAAAGGCTAAAAAAGTTCTTAAAAGTTGGATAACTAAAAATTTCCTTTAAGCCTAGAATTACGATTACAGAAAGCGATGTAAGAATTGTTAATGTTGGTATATTTATAAACAGGAAAGTGTATTCCGAAACTTATTATTAAAAGTTAAGAAACTTACTCTTAAGCTCAACTCAATGACGTTCAATTTTTGTTGAGTATCTCTTTTTTAGTCTTTCTCTTCAATTCTTGATCGATTTAAGCATTTGTTGTAAGGTTAATATACCTTTGATTGTCTTCTGACATACCTTAATATTTTCAATGAGTACGCTTTTAAATTAAAATGCTTTTACAGTATAAGGTATTTAATGTTTTCTTTTACTTTTTCTGTATCAAACTATCTGTAATAAATGTTAATATTTCTCAAACAAATAAAAATATTCATCGTTTATTTCTTCTTTTTATCTTTTTTAGATTTCTTGGCTGGTGGCTGTGCATTAGCTGAGGTAACCGCTTCCGTTGTGGTTTCTACACTGAAACCCTTGATGTATGGTTTCACCAGCTTGAACACCAGTTTCTCATGCTGCACGTTGGTCGAGTCTAAACTCAATCTAACTGTGAGGGGATCAAAGGAGTGGAATATCACATTGCCACATCGTTGCGTGTGGTCTTCCTCATTGAATGTGAATATAATTTCGCTCTTGGCACGCTCCAAGCCGTCTTTGCCATCCTTATCGCTTTTCAGATACAGTGTACCCTCCAATCCGTATTTGGGTATAAGCACCTGCAAAGCATTCTTCCGCACGAACAATACGTAACTGAAAAAAGAGTATTAGAATTCAGGTTAAACACTATTTGTTATTTATAACATACCCTTCCTCATCCTCCTCCTTGTCACGGAAGAACAGATGTGTATTAAGAGCAACAGACGCGCGCCCAGCGTATTGCGCCATTTTATGGCGGTAATTCAAATTGTTGCAAATCTCTTCATTGGACTTGCGCTCTAGCAACTGGGCATAAGTGCTGTCTGCACCTATAGAAGCTGCCAACAAGCGATGAACCATTATATCCGAATACCGACGAATGGGCGAGGTGAAATGTGTGTAAATATCCGCGGCCAGGCCATAATGGAAGAACTCTTCCTTTTGCAGGCTACCACTTATGAAATACACGGCCTGCATCATGCATCGTGTGGTTAAGATGCGTATCATCGTATTAAAATAGGGGTTATCCGCCTTGACGCATCTATCCAGTGAATGTGCTAGCTCTAACCCGGTGTCCGTGACCACCTCGAAGCCCTGATAACGCGCGGCCTTTATTAGTGGATCGAAATTGGTCATTGGTGGCTTAGGGTGACGACGTAAAACTGCACACTCTGTGAATTCTGCAGCAATATGCTGAGCCACGCTTATATTAGCCAACAACATGAACTCCTCGACCATTGAGTTGGTGTCGCGCATTTGCTTGGCTTCAACCTCAAGCGGCTCATGTGTTTCACTATCCACTTGAAAGCGAATCTCAGGCGAAGCTAAAACCAATGCACTGAAAAGAAAATGTAACTATTATAAGAGAACCAAGAAGCTGTCCTACATCATACCCATTGTCCATTCGCCGCTTTTTTAATATTTTGGCCAGTTGGTTGAGGTAACGCAGCGATTTGGCGATTTCGCCCGTCTGAGTAACATCATCGATAATTGCCTGTGCCTCCTCATAGGTCATGGCACGCTTAGACTTGATGACACTCTTGTGAAAACGTTTAGACAAAATATTCGCATCATGATCTACTTCCCAAACAACGGAGAAAGCAAAGCGTTCCACGCCGCCGACCAGTGAGCAAAGGTTGGAGCTTAATAGCTCCGGCACCATGTCGATGCGCTTTCCAACCAAATAAACTGTTGTGCCACGCGCGGCAGCTTCTTTGTCCAATGCATTGCCTGGTCGTATGAAATGACTCACATCGGCAATATGCACACCCACCTCCAAATTGCCGTTAGGCAGCTCGCGGCAATGAAGAGCATCATCAATGTCCGTACAACCTGGTGGATCTACAGAACAAATATACAAATCGCGTAAGTCTACGCGCTTGGCATAGTCTTCCTCAGTAATAGTCCACGGCATCTTGGGCAAGAAACTGAGAACCTCTTCAGAGAACTTGCAGTGAGGTACATCATGCTCCAGCAAGATCACCTCATTCTCAGTGGCCATGTTGCCCAGAGGTCCCAGAGAACGAACGAAGTGCCCATGCGGATAGCGCGAGTTTCTCGGCCAACTGTCAATGGTAACAATGATGCGTTGGTTCAGCAGCTTGTCTGCCTGGCGCGTTTCGATGCGTATGCGCGGAATCTTGCGATCGGCGGGTACAAAAATATGCCGCGTCGTATCTTCGATCAGACTGGGCTGTAAAATGCCACAATACTGACGCCACTTACGGCGTACAATACCAACGATGCGACCAGTGGGAGTGCGCTCTGCAACTGGTGCAGCTTGCAATTGCTGCAGCATTTCCTTCTCGTCTTCCACTCGCTCTTCACTGGGCACATCATCAGCGTAGACATTCTTCTCCTCCAGCACTATCTCACTAGGCGCTGACCATTGGCTTTCAGGCAATAGTTCGACAGCAACAATGTCCCCATCCACAGCTCGATTAAGGGAGTTGCGTCCTTGTATCAAAATCTGTGAATTATAATAAGATATTAAAAATATATATTTATAATAAGTAGGAGTCGAAAGATAACCTAATTTAAAGAGGTATATAACTTTAGTTAAACCATACTTACATCTTTCTGATAGCTCTCCACATTGACACTGCCTTCGAGATAATTCTCCCTAGATGCCTGGAAGGCACCTTGTAGCAGCTTCTTGTGGCGCAGTCCGTCGAGTATCTCTTTCATACTTAAATGCGGTGGATATTGGGGCAGAGCTTGTTTCTCATTTTGAAATGTCTTGTGAGACAACTTATCGACCAGCAAAGGAAAGTCTTCCAGCGATTTAACATAGTCTGTAGCAGTAGCTACTAAAATGCCCTCAGACACAGCTTTAGCACGATTCCCAGCATCGTCGGTTAGGAGTATAACACGTGTGACAGTGCGTCCACTACGCTGGAACACTTTCGAGTCTTGCGAGGTTTGTAGATGGGAGTCGTACCATTTGGTAGCCATGCGTATGGCGCGATCATTGCGATCGTTGGCGCTCTCGTCTGGTTCACGATCGGCATAGGTGTCCCTGGCAGGTATAGGATTGATAACATTTTAGCTAACAAATTCAGAGAATATACTTACTTGTGATGTTCATTGACAAACACATAAAAATTGCGCGTGCGATCGTGAATAATCTCATTGAGACGCTTATAAATGGATGAGCTCTTGTGCTTCACTTCATTCAGCACCGTGTTTAGTACGATTACATTGTGCAGCACATCCTCCTCAAGCACATCGATTTGATCCAGAACCACGTTGGTATCCAAAACAATATAGTGTGGAAATTTAAAGAGGCTGCTCTTAATTTCGTGACTCGATGTCAATTGGTAGACCTCGTTTTGAAAGCAATACTGACACAGGTCTGAGCCGCAACCAATGTCATCGCGTAGATAGTGCTCTCTAACAATCTTTAATATGTTCCCGCGTTTGGTCTTACGCGTAAATTCGCGTAAAGTTTGCATATTTGTAGAGTAAGAAAGCAACACCACAATTCAATTGCGTGCCGGAATAAGGGGACACATGCAAGTTCAGTCAGGTGTATCGATAACAATCACTCTTCATGCAGTATGCGAAATATAATAGTTTCTTGTTAAAAAAAACGAAGGTATTATATTGCGGGCAGTCGCATTAATTTTAATTGATTCATTTAAAATTTTTAACTAACTAAAACATAAGTAACTATATAAGTTTTCGTAATATTTAACAATTATCTTTAATTCGAAGTTCACACATGTTGCATCTTTTGTACTTTTCAACACTAATTCAAAGAACATTTTGCAGCACTGCTATTGCATTTGTATTTAAGGAGTCCAGCACGTGTACGGGGCACGTTGCGGTGTTTCGTTTAAAATATTTAACGCTTGCAACAACTTATTTGCAATGGTTTCAAATGAGAAAAGTTTTCCGCGCGGCGGAATTGCAAATTTACAAGCAAATGCCGACAGTAGCACATCAAATCTCGTAAGTAGTATTGGAAAAAATAGTTGCAAACATAATAGCTGACACTCACGACTTGCAGATTTTTGGTGCTACACAACGAAAGATTAAGAAAGCACCAAAACCAAAAGACAAACAAGTTGATGTCGAGCACAGCGACCAGTTGCAAGCATTCTCCGCGGAAACACTCACATATGACACACTCCAGGAGCATATGCTCGTGATGGGCGTTGTGAAAGCCACAGACGCCACCTCGTTACAGATTGCGCTGCCCGGTCGAATGACAGCACGCGTTTTAGTCGCCGATATATCTGATGCTTATGGACGTGTTGCCCAATCATATATGGATGGAGAAAGCAGTGAATACCACGATCTCACTGCGCTGTTCAGCGTTGGTCAGATTGTTTATGGACGCGCTATAAAAACATCTAAATCGGAAAATAATCGCAAGTCGTTGCTATTAACTCTTAAGCCGGGTGAAGTGAACAGTAGTTTGCACCATGCCAACATCAAGAAAGGCTTTATTTTCGTTGGTGCCATCGAAGAAATCCAGGAACACGGCTGTGTAATTGAAACTGGCATTGAAGGCTTGCAGGCGTTTGTACCTATCACAGATGCAGCACAAAAGCACCACATCGGTCAGTTAATCTTTTTGAAAGTCAAGTCTATTCAACATAATGCCGCGAAAAGTACCTGCCAATGTGTGAACTTGGAGCAGGATAAATTAAAGATTAAGAGTCAGAACGAAACAAATCTCGACTACATACTACCTGGCAGTATTGTCAAGTTCAAGGTGGCAAAACATCTTAAGAATGGACTGGAAGGGAACATCATGAACGAGGCTTTCAGGGGATACGTGAATGAACATCACTTGGCCGAGGCTCTACAATCGCCACAGGACTACGAACTTAACGAAGAGTATCTGGCTCGTGTGCTTTATGTGATGCCTCTAACAAAGCTGGTATACTTAACGTTTAATTTAGATATAACTGTTACAACGCAACAGCCGGAATTGGATGGCGAAGAGCTGCTGAAAAAGGGCAGCATTGTGGAGAAGGCACGTGTGTTGCGCCATGGCACAGGCGGAATTGTGATGCTGCTCAATCACAAGCATAAAGGACTCATTTCGTACGGTTCCATTAAATCGAATTGCAAGGGTAACTACGACCAGGACGTTGTGCTAGCCAAGTACAGCAGCAAGAGCAAACACAAGGTGCGTGTGCTGGGTTATGATGTCATTGAGTCTCTTTACTATTGCACCGATGATCCCAATGTGGTAAATGAGAAAATGTACACGCTAGAGGATATTCAAGCTGGTGACATTGTTTCAGCGCGCATTGTCAAGCCAGAGCTTAAAATTGGCGGCTACAGTGTTAAAATAGGAAAAGTAAACGGAATCATTGAGCAGCTGCATTTGGTACCGAATACACGCTACGAAGTGGGACAACGCCTGCGCTGCCGTGTCTTAGATATTTCGCTGGACCGAAAGATTTGCTATTTGAGCAATCGCAGCGAGTATCTAAGCAAGGGCATAAAACTTTTGAGTTCTCTCGAATCAGCGCAGCCTGGTCACATCTTTACGGGCACTGTGATCAAGTGTGAGGCCACCTACGTGTTGGTCAAGTTCTGTGGTGGCATTAAGGGAGTTCTTCACAAGCAGCGCCTAAACGAATTGATGGAGACCACCTTTTTCGTAGGCCAGACTACAAAGTTTCGCATTGCTGGACGCAACAACGAACAAGTTCTTCTAACATTGCCTGAGGACAAGTTTCAGCTGGGTGAAATAATTCCCATTGAAGTGACGAATACATTAGATGCTGGTTTGGAAATTAAAATCACCTATGCTATCGATGATCAGGATGCATCGATGACTGGTGATGAGGACAATACAGAGGAGTTTGTTGGCCTGCTGCCACTTCGTTTACTTTCTGACTATGTGGACTTACAGGAAGCACAAAAACGCATTCATCCCGTTGGCAACCACACCGAAGCAGCCTGCATCATGCAGAATATTTTCAGTTTACGTGATGTGCCGTATTTCAGTGAAAATCTAACTAAAGATTGGCAGACCGTGCAGGTGGGCGATGTGCTGCGCGCCCATGTTAAGCATGCGGACGAACAGGTGCTGGAGCTACTGCTGCCCGTGCGCAATTACAACAAACTGGTTAAATTGCACGTGAAGATGCTGTGCTTGCGAACCGTGCGTGATAAGCCGATTATGCTGGCGCCTGATCAACTACTATATGTAAAGGTGATCAGCAAGGAGTCGGAAACTAAAACATTGACTGTGTCCGCCAAACTTACAGATGTGTGGAGTGGCCAGCTGTCTGAGACAGCCAAACTACTGGAGACGTAAGTTAGACATATTTTAATTATTTTTATTTTTATATTTACTGCATAATATGCTTTCAGTTATCTTGAGGAAGTCGCACAGATACGAAAATCATTGAAACGGATGGAGGCACCAATTGCCAAATTCAAAATGGGAGAGAAAGTCAATGTTGTCTTTAAGGGCATTGATTCGGCGACTAACAACTGGGTCTATAATGTGGAGAATGCAAAAACAATAAGTGCAATGATGATTTCCAGCTTGGCAGGTACAGCAACAGCGCCTCAGCTAGGCAGTAAACAGGAGGCCGTCATCTTGTGGATCGATTATGCAAACGATTTATTGCTAATAAGCAACAAGAAGGTGGATATTGAGCACATCAGTAGCAGCAAGGCGCTACCTCAAAATTTTATTGCCAAATCCGGCATGAAGGCCAAAGTTTTGCTTAAACTTGATAGCATTATGGTATGCTCCCTAAAGAAGGGTACCAGCAATCCGCTGATACTTTGTCCGATACGCCTGCATCCCAACGACATGGAAAACTCCGCCAGTGCTTGTGTACGCCAGGGCGACTTCTGTAATGTTGCATTTATACACGACAAGCTGCCTATTGCCGTGCCAGAGACCGTGTGGAAGCTTTGGAAGGGGGTTAAACGTATTGCTGTCGAAGCTGAAGAGGCTCCCGTAAAGCCCAAGAAGATGAAGATAGAAAATAACGTTACAGGCAAACCAAGTCAACAGAAAGTTACAAATGGTAAAAAAACTGAAAGTGAATCGAAGCCGCTAGTGAATGGAAACCAAAAGAGGGGCCAGCTTTTCTTTGAAGACAAGAAACCATCAAAGGCAAATACGTACAAATCCAGTCCATCAAATGAGAAGGCAACCAAGGTACGTTTGCCAGGCATCTCGAGCTTCTGGGACACAGACCTCAACGCATTGAATAACAAGCGTCAAGGAGAAACATCCAGTGACGAAGATGACGACAATGCAACTGGTGTGGCCGAGGCAAGCTCTAGCAAGAAAAAACGACTTAGCGCCAAGGAAAAGGCAAAGGCTGAGGTCAAGGAAGAACAACGCTTGCGCGAAATCGAAGAACGAAATGCAGATCCCAACCAACGTCCAGAAACAATTGATCAGTTCGAACGTCTAGTACTAGCAGAACCCAATAGCAGCAAGTCTTGGATTCAGTACATGTCTTTCCTGCTGTCAAACACCGAAATAGACAAAGCTCGCGACATTGCACGGCGTGCTATAAAAACGATAGCGTTCCGGGAAACCAAAGAGCTTCGTAATATATGGATGGCACTTATTAACTTGGAACTTAGTTACAACTCGTCAAATTTTGATGATGTGCTAAAGGAAGCACTTAGTCATACAGATCCACTTGAAACATACCTAAATCTCGTCGAAGTACTGAAGTCGCACAACCTTAGGGAGCGCCTGGTCAACACATTAAATGTCATACTGCGGAAGTTTAGGACTGACATGCAAGTCTGGCGTGTGGCTGCTGATGCCTACTTCTGGCTGGGAATGGCGGATCGGGTGCAGCCAACATTGCAGCGTGCACTCAGTGTTCTACCCAAAAATCAACGTAAGTTTCAAACAGCGTTTAACTGCATGTCTGAGGCAAAATGTCCTTCATTTAACATCCAACTAAACATTCACTTTTGAAATTTTTAATTTAAAGTCTGATGGACCGTTTCTTAAGCATAATCACCAGCAATTTATATCATTTAAAAATAATTGTTTTCTGCAGACATTAATTGCATCGTGGCCTTTGCGAAACTATATGCGCAAAACAATGATAATGCCATGGCACAAACATTACTGGATGACATTGTCACCTCGTATCCGAAGCGAATTGATATATGGGTATTATACGTAGACATGCTGATCAAATGTGAACTGATTGAGTCCGCACGGTATGAAATTATTTTAATTATTAATGATTTTATTATTAATGATTTTTCTACCTTGTCTCAATCCCATTTATAGAAATTTGCTCGAACGTGCAGTACTCCAAAAGTTGCAGCCGGATAAAATGCTCGTTATCTACAAGAAGTTTTTGGACTTTGAGATGAAGCACGGAACGGAAGCCAATGCGGCTAGGGTTAAACAACTAGCCGAGCAATACGTCCAGAGTCAAAATAAATCGTTTAAATAGGCTAAATAACGAATTGGATCCACTTTTCCGAATTAACTGAACTGTAGGTTTAAAAAACATTAGTGCAGCATACCACACTATAATGAAACTGCATGGTAATTAAAGTAGATCTGTTTTTTTGTTGATACTTTATTCTAACATCTATTTTAAATGAAGTGTGTGATTCTTGGATGCTAATTTTTTAAATATATGTATATTATATATATAGAAATACATACAGTTGGTTGCTGCAACACCCACAGCGCAACTACATGAAAATATGTAGCAGCAGTCTGGAGAGCGTGCCGCCGGAAAAAATAATTAAAAATTTTAAACAATGCATGAAGGTTTTGGGACTTGTGTTATATATAGTGAATATGGTTACACATGAGAACACGATTTCCTTAAGTCTAGTCTGGGGGTGGGGGCTTACTAGCGGGCGTGGATGGCGGTACACAGGACACCTGACGTGTTACAATGACAATGAATTACTCTTACACATTAATCAATAATAAGAAGCAAATGATAGAAAATGTAATTTGCTCATGCAATTATAATTAGTTTATACATAAAACAGTCTTGAGCGCAGCGCAGCTGAAGGCCCAACTTTAATCCTTAAATATGCCACGTGCTTTTGCTGATATCTTACGCACACGTCCCCGGCTGCTGACGCTCACCAGTTGTTCGTCACTGTCTACTGTGCTACTGCCGTCGCCATCCTCTAGGTGGGGCTGTTGCTCGCGTTCTTGGGAGCTATTATTGTTGGTCGCGGCTTGAGCATCGCCGTTGCGGATACGCTTTCGCTGGCTGTGTCCCTCTTGTTGATCTTCCTCATCTGATTGCTCATTATAACGCGGACGTTTCTGATTGCGACCGCTGCGCTGATTACTACGAAGACGATTGGGGCGCCCACGCGGAGCCTCATAATCATCATCATCGTCATCATTGGCAGACTGATCGGAAGGTGCACGACCACGACGACGTTGTCGCTGTTCGCGTCCCTGCGTTACAGTCGCTGCTGATGAAGATGAGGTTTTAGTTTTACGCCGTGTTCGTCCATTGCTGGGTGATACATAGCTGGTTAGAGGCTGATTGTCTTCAGAGTCTGTGGCAGTTGGTTCATTATCATCATCATCATCGTTGCTACCCTGAGAGCTGGAACCACCATCAGTGCCTTCGTCAGAGGCAGCGGCCTCCTCTTCTTCAGGCAGCTCTGCGGCTTGTGCCTCTTCTTCACTCTGGGAATGCTCCTGACTGGTACGGGCGCGTAGTCGACGTGTTGTTGCATTGTTTGTTGTAGAGGTGGGACGTCTGGGATTTGACATAAGAGACAGTAGACGTGAGTTGTTTAGCGGATCGATGCTTGTGTCCAGTTCATCCGCATTACGCTGATGACGCGACAACACGCGTCGAGGTGCGCGAGAAGCCGCCGCTGACTCATTGCCTAAATAGTTATGGTCATGCGCAGCCATTGCTGGTTCCTGCTGAGTGGAGCTACTAGTTGTTGATGTGGCATGCGATCGCGTCATATGCGTGCTAAGTGGCACTGACGGTAAACGTCGGCGCAACGTCAACGGATGCGGAGCTGGTGTGCTAGTTTTTGCTGGTCCAGTGGCAGTTTCTGCAAACGATAAACACAAAATAGTATAATTATAATAGCATTTGAGATCTTTCGAAACTCACTTTGCTGGTTATTGGCCAAGGGCTCATTATCACTGTCATCGTCATCTTCGCTCTCCGCGGCAGCAGTTACAACGGTATTGCGATTTGTACGCAGCTGCCGTGATGACGTGGCAGTAGCAGAGGCACCTGCTTGACCTAAGGCAGCCCGACTAGTCGACGGCAAGTCGTCCTTAGTGGGCGTGGGCGTGGGTAGAATCTGATAGGCGGGAATAGTGAATTATTATTTATTCATATGACTTGTGATTTGTTTTACGAGACATACCTCTTCAGCCTCTTCGCTTTCATCGTCCTCCTCTTCTTCTTCGATATCACTGCCACGCGCCCAATCCATCAGTGCACGTTTTGCACTCTGCCTTGTGGGTCGCCCGACTGGGCCATGAGAATCTGTATCTGAATCAATGATACGACCATTGCGAACGGGCAAATGATAGCTGTGATCATTTTCAGCAGCATTCTGTGATCGGGCGCCATTGGCACGCGTATTTCGTGAGGGACTCTCAACGCTGGAACCCGCCGAAGCTGCGGCAGCACTGGTGCTTGGCCCATTTCCAACGGTCGTTGAACTCTTGCTCTTTGCTGGCCGACCTTTTTTTCTGGGTGCCTGACTGTCCTGAGTGCTATCATCTGGATGGGAATGGGATGCTGTGGTATGATTTTCTTCTTCGGAGCTGCCAAGCAAACGGCGTGTGCGACGGGTTTGGGCTGCAGCCGCCCCACGACTTCCACCAGGTTGCTGACCGTCCTGATCCGAACGATGTCTTTTGTTGTTGTGTCTTCGCTTGCTGTTCACCTTACGCTTGTTACCACCTCCTGCACGGCCTCGGCCTCGCCGCTCATTTGGATTATAGCTTTCTTCAGAATCGTTGGCATTGGTCTCATCATCACTGACATTCTGGCGCGCTGGTCGTCCGCGACGGCGACGTGCCTGCTGCGGTGAGCTGCCATTGGAGTGCGCTTCATCATCCTCATTTTCATCGCTGGAGGCATCCGATGTCGTTTCCTCCTCCTCTTCTTCCTCATCGCTGTCCGAATTACTGCTACTCTCATGGCGGCGCTGCTGCGGGTTAGACGACGATGATGTAACACGATTGGAGCTAGAAATTGCGGTACTAGCAGCTACGCCATTGCGACGCCTATTGCCACGCTGCGGGCCACGCGGAGCTTGTTGCTGTGCCACGCTGTCATCATCATCATCATCGTCGTCATCATCCTCATCCTCCTCGCTTGTGTGTGCTGGTAATCGTCTGGCAGCACCTGATGGTTTCTGTGTACGCCGTGTGGCACGATCCGGTGGTGTTCGTTTGCTAGGGCTGCTGGAGCCACGTCCACTGCTGCCCGATTTGTTCTTGTTGGCGCGTCTACGAGCCGCCTTCCAGCTGCTTACCACCGTTTTAATATGCGACTCGAAGAGCGCACTTAAACGAAGAGTCATTGCATAGATCTGCAATAAAAATTCGATTTATCCCATTAGTAAGAGGAACTCTGAAGCTGAATGGGTTCAATAGGTGTTGAGTTGTGCTGAAATAGTAGCCCAAGAGCAACCTTACCGCTAGATTATCCTATTTAAGTTGATTGTCACGGATCGTCATTCATTTGGTTTAGTTCGAAATATTTGATGGGTTTTGATTGATTCGAGTGATTCGATTGATGGTTTATGAGTTGGGTGGTGGTTAATTTGAAGTTTGAAGGCATGTCAACAAATTGCAAAAGAAACGTTAAGAAGAGATGAGCTGGTGTGTGAGATTGTGGAGTGTTTAGCAGTGCGGGAAATTGGAGAAATAACGAAATACAATTGGGCTTCCACTTTTTGCAAAAACCAATATTAAATCAAATTTTAAGAACTTAAGAACATAATGAAGAATTCAAATTTGTATATATAGGCATTGTGTAAGGGGTCGGTCAAATAGAAAACCATTCTTAAATATCGTTTAAGAATCGATCAACCAAAGTAAAATGACAAAAACGAAAAATCTCGTATGTAAAACTTATAAAAGTTTGGTCAGCATAAAGCGAATATTTTTCTGTAGGGATCTTCGTTTTCGGCTAATCATTAAATACAATGATTATATTATTTAGGGAACGTATTTCATTAAATTTAGGAAAAACCAGATTTAAAGAAAGGTTTAGAAAGGACAGTTTAAGTAGTGTATTAGAATATTCTATTATTTTCTAAAACTAATAAAAAAAAATAGTAAAAATAAAAAAATTTGAATTTTGCATACATTTTTTTTTTAAATTTAAACTACTCAAATTTTGAAATTTGGAAAAGTATTTGTTCGGCTTATTAACGATTGTATTAACCATTAAAAGGCAGTGGCAATAAAGCAATAAAATCACAATTATATTAACGCCAATGACAATAGCGATTGATACGCATTTGGCATTGGTTTGGAATAAATGACGATCTGCAGCAGTACCCAGATCCGGCCAGAGGACTCACCCGTGAGCGTTTATTGGTGTTATAGTTCTTGGAATTGAGGAATATGAGGCGCACATCCTTGGCAAAATCTAATGGATCATCGTAATTGCCGCCCAGCAGATCCTCTTTGACTGTCCGCAGGTCCATCGGTGTGGCAATGATTTCCAAATAATCGGGAAATTCAATAGTATCGACGGGCTCGCGGAATGGCAGTGAATCTGGCCTCTGCCACATCAGATCCAACAGCTGCCGGCAGTCGGAGCGCCAATCGCCATCTGAGCGTATACGATTCGAGCTGCATAAACAGTATATTTTAATAACATTTTATTACATTTCTGGCTCTATTTGGTTTCTTACCGTCGTGTCGATGAAACCCGCTGACGGGCAGCTGCTGCTGAAGTGGTTGGACCGGTGCTGGTCGATGGTACAACATCTGAATCAGCTTCATTCTCCGACTCTGATGAGTGGTAAACGTCAACCAGCTGATGATAAACGGCTGCCACGTCTATCTCATCGGCTTCCCTGTTAGGTTTGAAAAATAAGCAAACGATTAAATTTATTTCGAAAAGAAACAACTTAAATGTCAATAAATTATATATAACTTACCTTATGATACGTAAACAAAGATCAGTCACAATGCGTGCATGCTTCACGATGCTTGTGTGGCGACGATTATACTGCTCCGCATTAGTGGCCAAATACCGGACATCAAACTGAGCCGACGTGATGCGACGGTAGAAGTGATTTTCGAAACGCGACTTGACTGTTGTTAAATCGATGGGATACTCAATTAAATAGGCGTAGTCCGGATATATATTGAGGTCAACTGGCGCCAGAAAGTGTTCCGCTATGGATAGGCGCATCACCTGGAAATTGAATTGGGAAATAATTAAAATGTATTAATTTAATATTATTTTAACATTAAATTTACATTATTCTATAATAAATAGTAGGCAGGGAAAACGGATCGTCTATTTTTGTGTTAATACAATGGTTAGTCTCCATTCGACACTAATACGAAAAACATCGGATAACATTAAAAAATTTTAATTTAATTTTTTAACAGATTCCTTGAATGCAAGATCAGTTCAAAAGACGCTACATTAATCTATGAAAGTAAGGATTGTATAAGGTCAATAAACTCTATTGTTATTTTTGTTTGCAATGCACTGACTAGAAGGAGACGAATCTTGCGATAAATTTATTATCTTAAATTATATTGATCAATAAATATGTTGCTGTGTTTTCTGTTTTTAGAATTATAATTTTGGGCACTTACCTGTTCGAGTCCATTGATTATGCGACGACAAGTGCCGTCTCGATCGCCCCGATGCCACTCCTCGGACTTCGGCTGATATAGAGTGGCGCGTATTTCTTCTGGTAGTACAGGTACAGCGCCGCCCACTTCATCAGGTAGGCGCTGTTCATCAATGGGCTCCATGTCCCAGGGACTCATATATTCGTACTCGCCATTATCCCAGCGTACGCGGAAACACATGAAAAACGAGTCTGGAAAGTCGGCACTGAGTGCATGACGCGACTCAATCTGACCCATCCACCAGCCGTCGCCGATCATGCAGCGGAAGCGATCGCTGATATTCCAGTTGCGCTGCACCGCCAAATCGAAGGTCTGACGCAGTACCAGAAAGTCCAGCACATCAGGCATGTCATGATACTTAATTTTAAATGTAGTGCCCGTCATATTTCCCTCATCATCAATGATGGCCAGCTTCAGGCAGCACAAACGCGGCGGACGAATCTCGTATTTAATGCCAATTACACGCACCAGCTCATGGTCACGTAGCGTACGAAAGTTCCAGGGCTCTGAGCTATGCGATAGTTTATAGACCTTTTTGAGACGCACAGCCTCTAGATAACGCTGATGACCCTGGCGGAAGTAGACAATCTCATCGCCCATTTGAGGATAGTACGGTGCTTTGCGTGGTATTACTTCCGAAAGCCACTCAGCTGGACGGTAAAGCTCTGGAATTTCGCCATTTGGCGCCGTTGGCGGTATTAACACTCGCTTGCGCCCACGCTTTTTGCTGGAGGCAGCTGCATGACCTGGCGTTGCATCATCACTACTGTCATCGGTGATAGTTCGACGACGAGAGAGTGGTTTGCGCTTGGAGCGCTTTGGGGGCTCGAGATTTGGGCCGGGCGTGTCGGCCACCCAGTCTGAATAATCAGAGCTATCTGTGTCTGATTCTTCACTACTATCCTCAAGATTCTCTTCAACATTCGAGTAACTTGTGTCTCCGGAACTGTTGCTGCTATCGTCATCTTCCTCCTCCTCATGTGGGGCGGCCACCGCTGCATCTTCATAGTTGTCTTCCTCCTGACCACGTACAGCACGCGTCCGATAGGCTGGCGGTTGGCCTCCTTGCTGCTGTTGACCGGATTGAGCGCCACGTCTACGTCCAGGCCTTCCACCCCCATTAGATCGTGTATTCCGTTGCCTGCCAACTCCAGCCAAAAGCGCAGAAGCTGCACTGGCCGTATTAATCATGATAGGGCGACGTCGCATTTCACGTTTATATTCTTGCATTTCGTACTGCCCAGCAGAATATATGGTTTGCTTGAGGTTCTGCAGTTGAGCATATTTCATGGGGCGCACGTAAGTACGACGCACAAATTTTAATGGCATTGCTTGTTGTGCAGGTAGGACAGCCAGTAGTGGTTCAGCTTGCAACTGTTCACCCGCTGCTGGCGCCGGTGCTGCTGGCAGTGCTGCGGCCCAACCTTGACGAGGCGCGCCCTCGGCCAACGAACGACGTCCGCCCAACACGTTACCGCGTTGCGGGGTACTACGTGAGGAATTCGAATCGGGCAGTTGATCCTGTCCTTGCCGCATGATAAGTCGCTCGAATGACTGATTCAAAATGTTGCCATCGTTCGCATTCGCGTTATTAACGTTGTTGCCCTGACGATTAGCTAGCGCAGCAATCATGCGATCAATATGCGAATAATTGCCACCTGGTCCATTGCCGCCTGGTCCAATGGCTCCTGCTGCCACACCTCCGACCCCAACAGCAACTGCTGCAGCGGGAGCAGGAGCTGCAGCGTTCGGCGGCGCATTTATATTGTCCTCAATGACAATACCATCGATGCCCACGGTTAAATTGGGTATTAGTTGATCCGTACTGCATCTTTCACGGCCGGGAACATAGCGCTGGTATTTAGTCGGATGGGGATTACCATCAGCATCGACAAGAAATGGTGGGGGCATTAAATGCGGCATTATTTGCGTTTGCTCATCCACTACATGATGATGTGCATCACGTAGCAGCGGACGAAAGTCCGTGTGGAAAAATAGCTCTGTAGGCAACTAAAAAGAAGGGACAGTTAATATAGAACTCATCTTTTAGGTTTCCCTCTCACTTACCAATTTGTACTTTTCTGTGCCAATACCAAGGCCAAAGATTAATATATGGCCATGTGAATCAGTCGCCGCTATCATGGTGCCATCCGGTGACCATTTGGCATCGAATACGCTGCCATGTCCTTGGCCATCGATGTCGTTAAAGAACTGAGCCACGTACACGCCCTGCTCAATATCCCACAGAAACACCTGACCGTCATGGCCTGCCGAAAGCAGCACATGTTCATCCCTTGGATTCGATTCTAGCACATATAGTTCATCCTTGTGGCCCCGAAGCACGCGATGTAGCTTAGCGGATTTTGAATCCCAGATTTTAATCTATTAAACAAAGAATATATATATAGTTGATTTACTAATTATTTCTTTCGGTCAATCTACGCACTGTAAAATCATTGACTGCCGTAATAACATAACGATCAGAGGCATCCCAGGCAACCATTGTAACCTTTAGTTTCTTGCCTTCCTCTGGCTCTGGACAGCTGGAAGAATAATTACATAGATTAACATTAAATCAATTTTCTTTGTTAATATATTTAAGTTTACCTCGGCAGCCTTTCGGTCATGCATAGCTTAATGCTTTTCCACTGTTGCGACTCAAAGGTCCAGATGTGCGCTGTACCATCCTTGCTGCCTGATATGAAACGCAAGCCGCGATGCGACCACTGCACTGAATCGACTGCGTCTGTATAAGCTTCTATTTCCAGTATGCGCTTGGGCCCGTCTTCGGCCATCATGTATACGCGCACATGATGGTCTGCTGAGCCAGCTGCTAAAAACATGCCACCCGGTGAGAAAGTAGTGCACATCATCTGAGCTTGGCCCGGCCTTAACTTTTCATGGTACTGTGTGGGCCTCGGTGCGAAAGTTATCTTTTGGCCACGCGGTGTCGAATACTGCCAGAAGGCAATTGAACCGTCTGTGCTGGTTGTCACCAAATATTTGAGATCGCTGCGTGGCGATGGACAAAAATTAACAGAGGTTATCATGCCCGTATGGGCGGCAAGAACTGCTATCGGTGAAGTTGTTTGCATGTCCCAAACGCGTAAAATGCGATCAACTGAGCCAGCAGCCAACATTGTGTTATCCAAGTTAATTGCAATATCGGTTATTTCGGCGGAGGCTCCGCGCAGCGTAGCCAACAGACGCCCATCCGCCGCAGACCAAATCTTGATAAGCAAATCATCGGCACCAGTGATTATGTAGCGACCAGTGCGATCAAAAAGTACACAATACACCGAGGAAAGGTGGCCAACTGTGCGCCGCAACAGCTTTGTCTTGCGGTAGAGATCTGTGGGCACCAGCAATTTGCGACGAACCAAACCACCATGTTCTCGGCCGTTGATTACTTTGGCTACAAGTTAATAAAAGTATTAATAATTGTTGATTTTCATCGTATTTATTATAGCTACTTACTTAAATTGTGTATGGGCTTTGTGAGCGTTGAGTCTGGCAGTGAAATGCCATGCAGACGTGTGCAATAATCCCGAAGAGTACGATGCCGATATACGGTGTCTTTTGTGCGTAACAAATTTTGACGGCCAGTGCCAAGCAATGAGCTTATTCCTGGGACGCTTGGTGCCAACTCCTTGTCGACTAATGGACCAAGACGACTGCATATTTCTAGCAAATGATTCGGGCCAATATGCGCGTATTTTTGTTCCTACACAAATTTGAAAATTAACGATTTGTCGATATCGATAACTCAACAGTGCGCAGCTGTTCGAGGCGCAAGTACCTATAGCCGTCTTGCTCTAACCTTGACACAGGCATATGGTTACCAACACATAAATACACACAAGCATGCATACATATGCACGTATTTGACTGTGCATGTATTGAAAGCAAGATGTCGGCCATTGGCAGATTGTTATTAAAATTACTATGTAATTGTAATTAATTTATCTAATTTTTCAAAATTTACTACACTCCACTTAAATATGTCATATTTTTAGCGCAATCTCACTTTTTACTTATAACTTATCATTTTTTTGTTACTTTATATTGTTCAATTAATTAATTTATTTATTTAAATAACATTGTTAATTGTTGCATTTAACTAATCTTCATTATTTGCAAAAAAAATATTAGTATAACAAGTGTCTAGTCAATCAATCGATGGCCATGTGACGTCACAAAGCGCACACGCACACATAAACGCAGTCAAACAAAAATTCGAAGACGTAAAATCTGAACACTAATTTCAATTATGCAAGCACAAATCACCAAATTTGACAAATAAACACAACATATCACAACAATAACTCACCAATTCAGCAAATGTCTGTTCATGCTCATTTCCTAGCCAGTCGGTGCGTCGGGGCAGTACCTATGGGTAATGGAAGAAGCGGCATTCAAAATTTGTTATCACTTGCACTTGCTGGGCATCAAAATAATGACGTCGCCGTTGCTGCCGCCACAACCGGGAGCCTACTTTTTACCTACTTTTATTAAGCAGACAAACGACGGTACAGACAGACGGACTTCTCCCGTACTGTCACACCGTTATACGATTCAGTTCAATTTCAGTATAGCTTTGAACTCTGAAATAAGCAGACGGTGTAGGCTGCTGCCGGCTGCGCTACAACAACAACGACGACGACAAAACCAAAACAAAATATATATAAACAAACGCTGCTGAGTTTCTGCATTAAAAATTGCATAGCAGAGGGAAATCCTCAAAGAAAAAAGCATGTCAATTTAATGCGTCACCTCACAACGCCACTCATACACAAATACACTTACCTTCTTTTGCTCTAATTCTTGCACTAGAACCTGAAAATTGAATATTTGGAAATCGGGTTAGTAAAATGTTTGTAAACAAAAGCGAAATTCAAACGAAGAAATTGCGCTCTTTTTGCAGGGCGGCGCTTAACTAAAATGCCCGATCACCAACCTTTGCTGTCTCTTCCAGCGGCCCCGCAGTCAGAAATTTTGAAATTAGGAAGTACAATTCTGCAATAGAAATGGTGGGGTACATATTAAATGCAACAAGTTGTTTGCTAAATGCACATAATTATCATAAAATTGCATTTATTTCTATGCGGCCATTCGCGCAGATTCTGCACTCACACGGGCCCAGGGCACTGAGGCTGAGGCCAGCCAGCCAGCCAGAGGTAGCGTACCTCTTGGCTAGGGCCAAATGGACGCCATATTTGTGCAAATTTATAAAGTTTGACAATACAACGCACCTGGCACTATCACATCATTTAAACTGGGCTGCCTGTTTTCCATTATTACACATTTTATTACGAAATTACAAAAATTGTCGTACTGAAACTCGACTGAAATACTTTTTTCAGCTTCTTCTTCTGTCATACTACGAATTGCCATTCAGGCCACTTCGTTAGGAAAGTCAGTGTGAGCGTTTTTACCCGTTGACCATTCAGTATGTTAAGTAACATGAAAGTAACAATTTGGTATTATTTGACTGTCAAGTTTTGGTCACATTGACTTTGTACTGCAGTTGCTAAAAAATAATATTTCTCGTAGGTTTTTTAATTTTCTCAATGTTGTAACACTTCGGCAAATAGGAGCAAACGCCACATTTAATGCACACAGTGTTTCCCTAGTATAATCGCCAACATGGATTGCAATCTTGGCAGCGAAATTGGGCAGAAGATGCGCGTAAGTTTCATTTTTTCTATTCGCGAAAAATCAATGAACTCGTAATCAACTCTGTTTTATTTCACAATTTAATAAAACACCACAGAGTGCCGTAAAGGCGAAACTGCTCGAATTAGGCACCGGTGGCTCTGCCGGTTTCATAGACGATGAGCTGCCGGACTATGTAATGGTAATGGTAGCCAACAAACGTACCAAGCAGCAAATGAACGCTGAGCTAAATCTATTCCTCGGCGATCAGACGGATCTCTTTGTTACATGGCTGCACGAAGTTCTTCAAAAGCTACAGGAAGTCACATTGCCAGCATCGAGTTGTGAGTTTCCCTCTGAGTTTCATTTTAATAGTGTATTTTAATTTTGGCTTTACTTAGCTAGCGGCAAAAAACGCAAGACACGTCAAGTCGAAGCACCCAAACCTAAAGACAAAGACAAGGATAAGGACAAGGATAAAGATAAAAGAGCCAAAGACAAAAGGGATAAAAGGGCATGTAGAAAATCGGGCGACGATCTGCTCAATACATCGGCTGATGTTACGACAAGATCAGCCGATTCCGTGCCGCCAATCAGCTCCATAACGGACGTTTTTGCCGAGGAACTATTGGAAAAAGCCAAAAAGACGCTTGACATCGATGGCAACCTAAAGGATGAGCTATTGCTCAAAAAGAAAAAACGTAAAGTTGTCGAAGACGATGAGCACCCGCAGTCACAGTCACAGCCACAGCAACAGGCGCAACCAATAGATCTGCAGCAGGCAACAAAAGATTTCGATATACCAACTATATCAGAGATTAGCTCAACTACCACAAGCGGCAATCGGGAGAAGGATATTGCCGAATTAGCGGAAATACAGCGAAAAATCTATGTGGCCAAGCAACATTTGCGTCAAATTGGTGAACTGGACGATGAAAGTGATGAGGGGGAACCCCAACCGCATGTAGAGGATATACTAAGTATACACGAACCGGAAGAATCTGTTGTCAATAACACTACACCAGCTGCAAAAGAAGCCAACTCCAACTCAAACACACGCAGACCAAAGAGTCCCATTGTGTTTAACAGGACGTCCGAACCGGTAGTAGCTAGAGAAAAACCAAAAGCCCAAATTGAAATTGAAGCGCAGCAAAAGTCAAGTGACGAACGTTCAGAGCGTCGCTCGGTGCACGAGCGATTAGGGTGTAAGCCCCTAGTGCCACAACAGCCACTTAAGCCGGATCGTCCGGATCGATCGCGGTCACAAAAAGAGGTCGAGCTTTACGTCCCGGCGCATCGACGCAGCGAGCATAAAAAGGAAGAAAATAAGAAAACAGAGCGTAGCAAGGAACGCAGAGAACGCAACGAAAGGCAGCCAACTCGCCGGCGAGAGCGGGACCGTGAAACTTTACGCAGTCGACGATCGCCCAGTCGCAGCCCAGAGAGCAAATATAAGCACCGAATTGGGTCGCGTGTTATTGTGGCAGTTAATAAGCCTCCCGAGCCATCTGATGATGAGGATTTACTGGAGAAGCCCGTTAATTCAGTTATCAAGATCAAGCCGCGGCCACAAGTTTCGCCACGTCGCCAGGCATGCAAAAATCTGCTACTGCGAGCTGTTGCCGATGCACAACGATCAACTATCTTAGCTAAAACAACGACTTCTTACACATCAGCTGCTGCGACAAAGCAATCAGCTAGCGAAGATGAGCCAGAGATAATCAGCTCTACACTGGGCAAGCGTCGTTCAAATGATTCAACCGGAAGGAGAGCTGGACGAGAACTGTTTCGACACAGCAGAAGGGAGCTAGTGGTGAATGTGCTGCACAGAGATCGCAAGCGAAGGCGGAAGTCGGTCGAGCCACAATCTGAGATTAAGCTGGTGGCAAAGGAGGAGGCTGAAGAGGAGTATGTGCCTAGCTTGAGCGTTGGCGACTATGAGACTTACGTGCCACAGTTGGTTCACAATACAAAGGAAGCGGACATAGATATTGACATGCATGTGGAGAAAAGTACGGTCACCGTTGGTTGCTCATCTCCAACTGTATCGAAAACACAGTTCGTGGTGACACTGAATGGAGACAAATCTATAGGAAATGCCGCTGCTGCAGCGTATCGGAAGCGTCCACGCAAACGTACGCCCTCGCCCCAGGTATCCTCGACCAGTTCGGCAACATTACAATTACTAAGTGTTGAGCCAACTTCAACGACCTGCACTGCGATTTCCTCAACCAACAGCAACAATAGACAAAACAAGTCAAAACGGGCGCGCAGCTCTTCACGGTCATCGCCTTCCACTTCGAGCAACACGCCTCCGCCAAAGCCATCGCGGAGTCTGCGTCGAAGTGAGGTGCTGCGGCAGACGCAGGAAATCAAAAAGATCATCATCAAGAACGACGCTGATGATGATGAGGATGAAGAGCCGGTGCATGCATCACCACGTAAACGCGCAACTAGCAAACGGCTAAGCAGCACCTCCAACCAGGCCGCCTCTTCCTCCAATGACGTTAAAGCGGATTTGAAAGTTCAGCTGGAGGAAAGCAATCGCTCGACGACGCCACCACTTCCACCGAACCTGTTGGACAAACGCAACATTAACCACGAGAAGTCATCAATTGCGCCAGCTACACCGTCGGTAACTATGGAACCGCCCTGTAAGGTAAAGCACACGCCTATTCGTTTCAAGATTAAGCCCGAAGAGGAGCAACAGCAACAGCAGCAGCAAAAGCGTCGCTCGGCCAGTAAAGATCGTGACTCCTCAATTGAGCAACGCCGAATCTCTATACGGAATGCAGAAGATCGGAAGTACGACAATCTGCCCACACGTAAGTCAATAACATTCATAACTATTGTTCTGTTATCCTCAGGAAAATTGTTAAGAAATTCTGTTAATGTAATGTTAAAAAACTAATATGCTTCTTGAAAATTCGGAATAACTAACAGTTCCTTGAAACAGACTGCAGCTTGTTTTTTAGAAAACCAAATTTAAAAAAAAAAACCAAATTTCGGTCGATGATTAAAAAGCGACATCAGTCAGATGCATGAAAAATATGTATAATTTTATGATATTTTCGATGAATGGTCAAAAAACTATTAATATTGCAAGATTCGGTTAATCAACTGGTAATTATTGATGTTTACTGAATAGAATAAAATAAGAAAGAGTTATTTACAGCGGTAACAGGATCGTAATTCTGTTTCAGTCGCATCACGCTCTACTGTTATACAAATGTTAGCCAATGCACTGTAAAGCAACAGTGTGCGAAACTTGGTTGGTTAATCGTACAATGTTAAGTTTTTAACATTTGTTCACACTTAGATATATACGTTTAACAATTTTCTAGCAAGCCAATGCAATTATGTAAATGTAAGCAATATATTTTTTATACATGTGTGTATTCAATGGCCATTAAAAGAACATCTCATTGCTTATGTTTTTCACAGTAAGTGCCGTCAGTGTGGACTCGACTGTTTTAAAGGTGGCAAAGCCGAAGGAGCGCTGCAAGTATCATCCGAACTGCAACAAGCAATTCTGTGAATATTATCACCCGTCGGCGCCATGCAAATCCTTCCCTAACTGCAAATTCGCCGACAAATGCATGTACTCCCATCCTAAATGTAAATTTGACTTGGCTTGCATGAGCATCGATTGCAACTTTGCGCACAGTGGATCGCGTGATCTCAGCCACGTGCAGCTAGTTTTGCCGCCTCTCTGTAAGTGAAATGGGTTAACAATATGCACTTCTATCTTAATGACAATTATATCTTTGTATTGGCAGCGTCGCATGTGATACCTGTGCAAAACTACAAATCGATATCCGCACCGGTGACAGCGACTACGGCAACGACCATGTGCAAATACTATCCGAATTGCACAAAAGTCGGCTGCACCTTCTATCATCCGAAGCCCTGTCGTTACGGCAAGAATTGCATTAATAAGCTCGAATGCATATTCTATCACCCGGAGATGCAAAGCAAATTCAAGTGGGTCGCGTCACTGGGCTAGGGAAGAAGAGCTGGCGCAACTCGAACAGCTCCCTTTCATTAGCATTTACATTTAGAAAACTTCATCATATATTATGATTATCCGAAAGATCTTAATGCCAATATTTGCTTTACTAGGCAATACTCGACTGCATCTTCTATGTAAAGCCAATTTAAATTGGCTGACAAAAACAGTTCGCACAGCTCACTTTCTTTAGCATTTATTATTTAGCAAATTGCATACTATTTTGAGTATCTTTTCTCTCCTATCAACATTTTTCATTAACGAAAAACTATTCAAAAATAGCCTCTGCATTTTTTTACTATGCGAACAATGTTTTGACCTTAAACTAATTTGTGAATTTCGTTTTGCCTACTCTTTACATATTTAATTTTTTTTTTTGGAATCTAGGCACAACATTGAAATATGTCAACTGTTGTCGATAGCAACGTGTTGCATTAGGTGAAAAGGCAAAGTAGTCCACATCTGAACTGTAAACGTCTTATAAGTCGGTGAATAAAATTTAGCAACATACTTGCTATAAATTGGATATCAAAATTTTGTTTTACTTTCCCAAAAACTGATAAGATATTAAGAGTACTGAAATTAATTTTTTTTCCCATCAAATTATTCGAACTCATAAACATAATCGGAGTAATTTTAAGAAATATCATCTTATTGTTATTCATTATAAATACACTTTAAATATTTGATCAACTAAAATTTGCATTCGATTAAATCAATAAATAAATATATATTATGCCAGAGCCCTGCCTTTAAAAGTAGAATACAAGTTTCTTCAAACTTTTTAGTTTTATAGATCATCCGCTATTACCAAAAATAAAAAGCGCACGTCTTCCAAATTAACAAAATTGATGTAGTGAACATTATTAAGGTACGTTTAAAAATTAACCAAAAATATATAAATAAAACAATTTAATTGTTATTGAATTCATTCGTTTATTTTATTTTTATTTATTTATTTATTTTTTTTTTTTTGAAAAAAGTCGCAATATTTAATGTTTGTATAGTACAGTCTCTTAAGTTTACGCTTAAAATTGTAGAGCAAAATATTTGATTTACTTAATAACTACGTACACTTAGTTCTCTTGCTTGTTGTATAAGGCCGCAATATATGATATACATATAGGTGTATACTATATATAAATCATAACATATAATTATACATATATGCATATGTATACGTATATGCTTGCATGCAAAGGTATATAGGATTTTATTTAGCTCAGCTAATTTAGATTAAAATGGGCATACAAATCTATTTACAAAATGTTACTTGTACATTATTATTTCGAAACGTATTTAAAGGCTTTCGCATGGAATGATTGTTGTGTTCTAATTATATTTTCAATTCAATTTTCGGATCAGTGCTTATGATTCAGTGTGCAGCACAACTTTGTTCGCAGCTTTTTTTTAGATATACTTGGTTGATTCTGTTGAATTATATCGAATACTGAATCTAAACTGTAACTATATAACGACTATAAAGTGATTGCCATACAAACTACTTGCTACAATAAATAGAAAGCTGCATTATTAACTAACTAAAGCGTAGTTGATGCCTACGTCCAACTGTGTGTGAATGGGGAGAGTTGCCCTGTGGAAGCCTGGTTGTTGCCTTGCGAGCACCTTATAAAGACGAACTTAGTACAAAAAACTTAGTAAGGGAGCGTATTGTACTTATATGGGCGGATTTTTAAAATATCTCTTGTTTAAATTGAGGCTCTTTTGTTTGGTGTTAACTAAATTAGTCGTTCCTCTGGGGGTGGCTTGAGCACATTGTCCATTTCTAGCCGAGGATTGCAGTACTCCTGAGCACTGGGACTGTAGGTGCCTCTCGTTGCCCGCTTATTGCGTGCCATTACCAAGAACGTGCCCAACAGTCCACCAGCAATCAGAAGCAGGACGACCACCACGGGAATGACAATGATGGCGATGTCTGTCGTCGAAGGTCCATCCTCTTTGGCCATTATCTGCCAATATAAATATATGTGTATTAATGCCTGATGCTTAAAACTTTCACTCCTATTACATACCGGTGCTGTGCAATTCTTGCCCATGAAACCCTCGGTGCAATTGCAGTAGTAGTCCGCCTCTTCGCCGCAGTTCTCTACGCACTGCCCGCCATTGGCGCAAATGTTCAGGGTATTACAGGGATCGGTAAAGTTACAAAAGGCGCCACAGTGGGGCTTCTGGCAAATGCACTTGAAGCTACCGGGCAAATTTATGCAGCGCCCAAGACCACCACAATACTTGACTTCCTGGATGCATTCATCTATATCGTTTTCACAATGCACGCCATCGAAGCCCGTGGACTGGCAGTCGCATTCATAGTCACCCACAAGATCATGACACTTGCCGCCATTCATGCAGGGATTGGAGGCGCATTCATCGATCTCTTCCTCACAAAGGCGACCCGTATAGCCCAGGCTGCATTTACAATTGGGTACCTATAAATGTTACACCATTAGAATTTATAATTCAAAAGCCAAATTAGTAAACACTTACGCTACTTGTCGTTAGACAGAGGCCGCCGTTGAGGCAGGGAGTCAGCTCACAGAAGGGCGTGTCACAAAGTGCACCCTCAAATCCCATAGAGCAACTGCAGGTAAAGTTGTTTCCGGTTTGAGCATCTGTAATTGGCGAACGGTTTAAATTTGCAGACAATACAGTAAACCCGTAAATTCCACTTTGTTAACTATGTCAAAGAGTAGATAGTAACAAATAATTAACCCGGGGATACTCACTAAATCCATTCTCGCAGCTGGAGCCATTGCGACAGGGCTCATTCTCGCAGGTCATCTGCTTGAGAGCACTGCACTGTGGACCCGTGTACTCATCAGGGCAGTCGCAGCGATAGGCAGCAATCAGATCCGTGCAGTTGCCGCCATTATGACAGGGCTGAGCTGCACATTCGTCAATGTTCTGTTCACAGTAGCGACCCTCGAAGCCGGGCAGGCACTTGCAATGGAAATCGGCCACAAGGTTGATGCAGGTGGCATTATTTTCGCAATGCGTGTTGAGGCACTCGTCAATGTCTGTGCCACAGTCATCGCCCTCGTAGCCCGCTTGACAGGTGCACGCGTACTGCTCTGTTGGAGCATCGCAGAAGCCGTTGTTCTTGCAGTCTACCTGGAAGCACAGAATACAGCCCTCCTCGGGCCGTGTCGAGTTGAGGCGGAACTGCGCCTGCAGCTGCACGGATACGTTCTCAGTGTGCGGATACAGTTCGGCATTGGAGAAGTAGGGCAGCAGCAAGTCGCCAACTCGCGCCTCACCCAGACAGCCCTTGAACTGGGATCCCTGCTGCGAGGATTGCGTAGAGCCTCGCAGTTGACGCGACTCAGGCATGCCGCCCAAGTAGACTTGTGTGCTGCTGGAGAGCAGTTCCTGGAATGCTGCCTGATCGATGTCCGTTGAGAAGCCGGGCGTGGGATCTACCATCGATTCCCAGCCCTTCCAGCCACCCTCCAGTTTGCCACCGTGCGCACGCAAGTAAATGCGGCTCCATTCACCATCCGTATTCTCCTTCTCGAAGCGTCCGGACTCGCCGATGTGCAGCTGCGTCAGTTTCCAGGTAACTGTGACACGACCACCATTGACGCCAATTTCAAAGAAGCTATCCTGGTTGTCAATGAAGAGTAGAGTGCCGCCTGCGCGCGTGCGATAGGCGATCTCTATGACCGGCTTCAACAGCGGCTGCTTGGCCACGCCAATCTCATCTGGCAGCTGTTCCTTGAAGTAGGAGAAAGCCAGTGGCGAATGTTCCTGACCCGTGAATGTTATATTGGTTAAGCATTCGTAGCCATCATCCAGATTCTGGCAGACACTGCCGCCGGGACAGGTGACCAGCTGGCAGAATTCAATCTCCTGACAGTCCTTGCCCTTGTAGCCATTTGGACATTTACAGCTGTAGTCGTTCCATGTGTTTCGGCACTCGGCATTGTGTTTGCACGGATTCTTGCGACACAAGTCGTCGGAAACTTCGCCCTGCAGCACCGAGGTGCGGTCAATGCTGACTGCTCCGAATGGCTTGGCGTTCACATTTACATCGGTCACATTCAAGGGATACATCTCGACAATCATATTGAGCGAGCCATTGCTCACTTTAACATCCTGAATGATGCCCTTAAAGTAGTCCTTATTATCCGTGTCCGTGTCCTTGGGTGCCGTGCTACTAACGGCTACGCTACCCTCATCCAGACCCGGCTCGGTGCTGGCTGGCAACAAGGATTCACGTGTTGGCGCCGGACCGCCCAAGTACAGCACCTGTGCATCCAGCAGACCTGTCGTCGACAGCGTCTTGCGGAAGTACTCGGTGCCATTGAGCTTGACCTGCACCAGGGTTTGATTACGCACCACCTCAATCAGGTGGTTGTAGCCGTTGTCCAGCTTCTGACCACCCACCGTATATGCTTCCGGCGTGCCGTTAAACTGCATTTTCACCAGCAGCTCGCCGCCATGAAGTTTAGCTGACACATACGAGTCGCCTACATCTGAGCATAGAAAATATTTTCATTTAGTTTCCCTTGTGTCTGCACTGAAATACTCACTCTTTGTGGGCATCTTGCGGGGATCGCTGCCTAGGTAGAAGACCTGACCCGTTGGCTCGCGCGTGCGTATAAACATGGATATATCCAAAATGGAGCGAATGGCACGTCTGGCCACATCTGTCGTCTCTACAATCACAGCCGAGTGCGTCGTATTCTCATGTCCAAATGTTGCAGCCGTCATGTCTGAGGTATCAGGAGATATGCGTTAATATTATAGCCAAGACTGAGTGGGATCCGTATGCATTCACTTACTGTGCTGGCATGTATGCCCAAAGAAGGGTCTAGGACAATGGCAGGCGAAGGTGTGCCACAGATCTGTGCACTCGCCATTTGAGTGACACGGATTAGGCTTGCATTGCTCCGTGCGAGGACAGCCGCTCTGAACGTACGACAGTTTCGTACTCTCACTATCCGTATCGAGTTCGTTGTGCTCATCGGGAAAGATCCATTTACCATTGACGACAACATCCTGCATGCAGCCCACGAAGCTGGATGGCTGATGCGTAAGATGACGCAGATAAGACTTCAAATTGGGTATGGTGCCGCCCAGATAGGTTAGCGGAAAGGAGGGTTGGCTGTTGTTGGCCGTCTCATAGGAGCCAACTGGAAATATGGCCTGCTCATCATTGGCGGACAGCACCAAGTGTGACGTGTTTATGGCCACGAACACCTTGTGCCAATTGCTGTCGTTCAGCTTGGAGCCAATGAAAACACCTTCCCATTTGTTCAGCAGCGAAGAGTGCAGATTCAGGCGTCCGTTGATCAGCTCCAGGATATAGCTAACCGGTTCGTTCTGCCCGCCAGACGTGCCAAAGGCCAGAACTCCATTTGGCAGCGTTGTCTTGAATTGCAAATTAATGTCGTAGCCCTCGTCTCGCTGCGTCTTCACCGTTATCAGGCTGCTGACAACCATTGATAGAGTTGTGGTCTTCTCACAGGTGTCGCCCTGGAAGCCGTGCTCGCAGGAGCAGTTGAATAAATGTATCGTTTCGTTCACCAAGAAGGGGCGACAGGTGCCGCCATTGAGGCAGGGGCCACTGATGCAGCCAATCAACGGCACAGAACAATTCTTGCCACCAAAGTTGGCGTCACAGTCGCAATCGTAGTCGTTAATCTGATCGATGCAGGTGCCATTGTGACAGGGATTATAGCGATCGCATTCATCGATATTGATCTCACAGTGGGTGCCCTCAAAGCCCGGGTCGCATTCACAGGTGTAAGTGCCGATCTGGCAGGGAAATAGACATAAGTTAAGTGAAGTTTTTTGCTACTTAATGCTGATTCACTTACTCCGTCATTGCAGGTGCCGTGCTTCGTGCAGGGATTACTCTCACACTCATTGATATTGATCTCACAGTTCTTGCCTATGATGCCCGGCACGCACACGCATTCATAGCTGCATAATGAGACGCATTAATAAATATTTACTTGGCTCTGCTTCGATTTCTCGACCTACCCGCTGGCATTCTCGTAGCTGAACGGCTGGCTAAACACTCGCGGCAAGTCCATAACTCTGCTCAGCTGGTACAGCGTGGAGTTGGAGCGTTCCAAGCAGCTGCTGTTGTATTGACAGGGATTGCTTTCGCACTCATTGATATCCTGGTCGCAGTTCTTGCCCTTGTAGCCCGCATGGCATTCGCAGAAATAGTCCTTCACCTGATCAATGCACCTGGCACCGTTCGTGCAGGGATTCGACACGCATTCATCGATGTTCAGCTCACAGTTCTTGCCCTCGTATCCTGTGCCACCGCAATCGCAATGGAAGCCGCCCAGCTCGTCGATACAGAGGCCATTGTTGAGACAAGGCGCCGAGACACAGTCATCGATGTCAATGTCACAGATCCGACCCGTCATGCCCGGTATGCAGGAGCACGTGAAATTGTTAATCATATCAATGCAAGTAGAGCCATTCGAGCACGGATTGCTAATGCACTCGTCTATATCGATTTCACAGTTCTCGCCCTGGTAGCCCGGCTTGCAGTCGCATTCGTAAGCATTGATCTTTTTTGGGTATAAATATATTGGGATTAGTTTTACAATGCCAAAATAGATTATTTTTATTTATTTATTTGATTAACTTTTTTTTATTGTATTTTACACGTATTATTAGGCATATGGAACACTAAAGGGAAGCTGGGGAAAGTCAATTTATTTTCTCAAATTAAAACGGAGATGAGGAACTGGCATAAAAATGTTGAAAATCAGGCGAAAAGATAAAATGAATAATAATAATTCATTTAAAAGTCTTAAAATCCAATTATATTTTATATTAATAATTTTAAGGAAAGTTGCATAAAGGTGGCAACTTATGATTGCACCGGAAGTATGTACAGAAACAAAAATAATTAACTTCGGCTAATAAAAATAATAAATAAAAAAAAGCAGTTCGATATATATCATTTTTTTTAAGTTTGACTTTTGCTAAAAAGAGGTTAAATAAGGTAATTTGTCTATACATATAAATGTCAATTGGTTTTAGGCTCTAAAATCTAGTGCTTGTTATATAGATTTTATGATCAATTCCTTTTGCTTTTTGATTTACTTTAAAAGCCTAAGAGTTAAGCTCTGTTTCTTGAAGCCTCACTCACTTGTCTCAATATCCGATGCTTTCCGTATTTAAAGAAAAACAACTAATTGCATTTTAGTAACTGGAGAGTCTGTGATGTGAAGCTCTGTTCGAAACACTTACCTTGTTGTGGCACGTGGCGCCGTGCAGGCACGGATGGCTGAGGCACTCGTCCACGTCGGAGTCGCAATGGATGCCCGTGAAACCGGGCGTGCAGTAGCACTTGTAGGAGCCCTTCTCGTTCTTGCATATGCCATTGCCGCAGATCTTGGGCTGCAGCATGCACTCGTCCACATCGTTGGCACAGTTGCGGCCCGTCCAGCCCCGCTGGCACTTGCACTCGTAGTCGCCATTGGGCAGATCGAGGCACTCGCCGCCATTTTGGCAGGGCTGTGTGGCACACTGATTGCACACCTTGTTCTCTGGGCAAATGCATTGGTTCTGGGCGCAGATCATCGGCTCCTGGCAATTGAGGGGCGAGCAATTCTCCGCCTTCTCGCAGCGATCGCCCGAGTAGCCAACGGCGCAGTAGCAATGGGTGCCGTTCATTGAGCAGGTGCCGCCATTCAGGCATTTGCCATTCGTGGCATTGCAATTGATGGGCGTCAAGGCCAAGGCGGTGCCGCCATCGCCCGAGCTCTGCTGACAATTGTAACCTGAATATCGAAATATCGAAATTTTGAGGTTAGTTTGCAGTTTTTGTTACCAACTGTACTTAAGCACTACTGCTACGAGTCTATAAAATATTTTTACAGTTAATATAATGCAATAGAATACTAAGTACTACTTGAAATCTATTTATATATATACAGTTAATTTAACGAGGGTTGCAATACAAGTTACAATTATTATAATTCAAGCAAAAGTTCTACACTTAGAATTCGAGTGCGATTAGCTAAATTATTTGAAGTATTTAATTCGTGCACTGAGATCTTTCTACGACTTGCAGTGCAACCCTTGTGTGGTAGTTGTTGTTGCCAAACCTGTGTATCCACTAGCACATATACAGGTATAATTGTTACTATATCCTAGGCAGGTGCCACCGTTCAAGCAATTTTCTTGGGGACATGCATTCAGGGAGGCCGAGCGTTGGTTTTGTGCTAATTGTTGTTTGTTTTGTTTACTTTCTGTTGTTGTTGTTGTTGTTGCGGTTGCTGTTCTTGTTGTGTTGGTTATTGGAGGTTTTTTGGTGGTAGTATAAGTTGTTGTTGCAGTTGTTGTGGGAATAGCTGGGAGTGTGATTAGCGTTGTTGTTGTTGTTGTTGGTGTTGCTTGTTCAGGGGTCGGTGTGGTTGTTGTTGTTGTTGGCAGGCAATGACCAATTGGGCCTACATACATAATGCGCACAGCCATATATACATATAGAGCATAGTTATATTTTGCAGCCAGCCAATAGGGAAATCATTTGTTTGTATGTGTGTGTATGTACATGTGTGTGTGTTAATGCGCATAAAAGTATTATATTATTAATTAGTTAAAAGCGTTTTAAATATATTTAAAATCCAAATGTGTATGAGCTCAAGCATTTTCAAGTTAATCAACTAATTCTATTCAGTTTTGTTATTAAATTTCTATTTCAGTTTGAAAGTCTTAGGATCCGTTTAGAATATCTAAAAATGGCTCTAACTAATCATTTTACAGTCGAGGTATATATGAATAGGCACATCTGAAAGTCTGTTTAAGATTTCTATTTTATACTAATGATGCTTATCCATTTGAAGATGATATATAATGTGATATTTGTAGCCATGCGGTTCTATACTTTACTGATACAATCTTTACAGTAACATCAACTAAAGTTAATGAAAGCTTCTATATGAGGCATATTCAAGCAAGCTCTATAGTTGTGAATAGGTTTCCCATCAACTTCTTTATGGACCTACTTAATTTGAGTTCGCAACGCTTGCGCTTCAGCCACTCGGGTGAGATATAACGCTTCTTCTTGCCACTGGCGCACAGAGCGCTCAACTCTCCGGCTCCAACGCCCTCGCCCTCGCCCTCCCCCAGACCCTCTACCCCTCCATGCAAGGCCAAGTACAATTCAAGCGAAGTTGGCAGCTCCAAAGTGGTAGCTTTTGTTAGATTTAAGTTAAGAGTAGAGATAATCGTTAAAAGATCTCGCAGGAAAGCTAAGCCCAAGAAATGAACGAATTACATGCGCCACACCATGAACCAATGAACCCAGAAAAAGGCGTAGAATCAATTACTCACCCGAAGTTCCTGGCTTACACATACACACGCCGCCAACGCACTCCGAATCGATGGGACACTGCTGGGCACAGCTGGGACCCAGCTGGCAGAGCTCGCCGCTGTATTCGGGCGCACAGATGCACTGGAAGCCGATGGCCTTGTCCACACAGGTGCCGCCGTTGAGGCACCGCTGCGTCTGGCAGCTGATGGGCTTCTCGCAGATGTCGCCATGCCATCCGTCTTGGCACTGGCAGGTGTAGCCGCCGTATGTATCGAAGCAGCGTCCGCCGTTCAGGCATGGATTCTCCTCGCACTCGTCAATATTCGTTTGGCAGAAGGCGCCGATGTAGCCGGTGTTGGTGCAGTCGCAGCTGAATCCATTGATGCTGTCGATGCAGCTGCCATTGTTCTGGCAGGGCTGCGAGGCACATTCGTCCATGTCGATTTCGCAACGGGCGCCCGTATAGCCCTTGGCACACTCGCAGGTGGGGCTGGCGCTGCCGCTCAGCACCACGCAGGCTCCATTATTCAAGCAGGGATTCGACTGGCAAAGTGGATGAATGTTGACCTCAGTCTCGCAGTGCTCACCACTATAATTCGCATGGCAGACGCATTGATAGTCGCCGCGTGAGTTCTCACGGCAGGTGCCGCCATTGTTGCATGGATTCTTGGCACATGGCGATCCATTGTCCTTTTGGCAGTTTTTACCCGAATAGCGAGCCGTGCAGCGACACTCGTAGCCATCAGCATTCGAAGTGCAGGTGCCATGGCCCATGCAGGGATCATTCAAGCAATAGTTGTCCTGCAGCCGGGTAAATGTCTCGTGCTCACTGCACGGTCCATACGACAGCGGACAGACGCCAAATACGGCATTTTGCTTGGAGGCATTCACGAATTGCAGTCCAGGTCCATCCAGCAGGCAGCCCGAGAACGAGTTGCCCAAAATCAATATAGCCAGCTCGTTGCCAATGTCCTGATTGGTAAGAAACTGACTGTTGTACGTCGAGTTAGCTGAAATTCGAACAGGAAATGTGGAAATTAACATTTAACTAAGAACTGATCTCGATGCGATTGAAGCATGTTTAAGTAAAGGCTTTAGACTTGGTTTTACGATTAGAAGTCTCAAATCAAACATGAGTCGATTTGATTTTCAACCTTAACGTTAAGTGAAATATAGGGCTGAAATAGACGTGGATATGCGCCACATTTTCAGGTCACGTAAGTCCGTTCTTTCAAATAAGCATTCTCTCACGCTCAAACACAAGAAATATTGTAAGGGTTTCGACTATTTTCAAGCAATTTTTTAAAATGAAAAAAATTAATTTTTTTAAATTTAAAATATTCATATTAAAAAAAAAATAATATTGATATCTTTTTAATAATTAAGTACAACAAAAGAAATGTAATATTTTAGCATTAAAGCTATAATTGGCAACATATTAAATTATAATTTTAAATATTTGTTTATATTAAATGCAAAAACATAATCTCTCAAACTAGCTACGTTTGCTTTGATTTTAAATTGAGTTTGCTTCAGCTTAATTAACGGCTTTCCGCATGGAAGTGAATTAAGTTTCTGAAATGTTGTGGGTTTTATTTAGTTTTTTTATGCATTGTTTTTTGATTTTGTACAAAAAATGAAATGCTCAAAAATTAGTTTTAAGGTAACGGATATGGAATCTACAAATTTGTATTATAATTTGTTGATTAAAATATATATAAAAATACATATAAAATATAAAAAAATCGTTTTATTTAATACAAATTTGTAAACTTCGTAGATTTGCGTTTACTGACTTTTGGACTGCAATTACATTTTGGACATCATTTCATGGACTGAAAGATAATCACTTACCAAAGATAATTGCCTCACGATCCACATGCAAATAGAGATTGCCGTACTCGTATTTGAACTGCAGCGTATGCCAGCGATTGTCCAGCAGTTGGTAGGGCAGTCTGACATCCAAGCGATTGTTGAGCCCAATCACGGCCGGACCGGCTAGCGAGACTTGTAGGAAATCGTTGAGCACTGAGATTACAATTGAGTTTTTGTTATACTGCTGGGCGAGTATTTCGCCGCCGCGGCACGAGCGGAAACTTATCGCCGAGTGGTCCCAGGTGGGCATCGGCGTCTGCAGGCGCAGATAAGCGGATCCATTGAAATACGCCTCCTTTGTGTGCACCTCCACCGAGGCAACATCTGTCAATGCGGAGAAAGAGAGAAAATTAAGGTGAGCTGCAAATTTGTACAAGGCCAGACGGCCGGTAATCGCATTTGAGTGGACTAAAGAGAATTCGTGGACTTCCTCATTTGCCGCATTTGCTCTTATTGGGCACATGGCTAATTTAGCAATTGGCCCATTGGTTTACTGTCTTAGCGGCGGAAAAGCGAACCAGCATTGACCAAATTAGAAAACTTGCCAGCAAATGTTAATCAATGGCACCCAAGAAACCATTTCGCGAACAACTTTCATTTGCGCTGCCGGCGCAGAATCAGCACGTCTTTCCCCCGCAACACATGTGCGGCAGCAGCCAGCACCACGAGCAACCACACGCCACGCTCATTTCAAGTGTTTTCCTAAAACTTTTAAGCTTTTCAACAGCAGCAACAACAAACAGCACTGAGTGCACAAGCCGTAAAAAGAAGCAAAATCAAAACATAAGCCAGTTTCTTCATCTCTTTGGTTGAAAAAGTTGAAATTACAAGAAAGAAAGTTGTACTTAGGAAGCGATAAGGCAAATTTATAGAAACATGAAAATGAAATTAATGATTGCCGGCTTATTTCTTCCGATTTAAATGCGCTTACGAAATTAATTATAAACTAATTAAATAACAATATTTAAATATGCTTATTGAATAGTATTAGTATAGTTATCTTATTGATTCTTCTTTAGATCTTCAATTGAGAATTTAATAACTTATTCAGCTAAATATGTCAGGGTGCTGCTATTTTGCTTTTTAAAGTCCTCAACGTTGGTCACATCTTGTTCGCCTTGTAATTTTCTTGGTAGCAACAGAATTGAAGATCTAAGCATATCTGGTCAGATCTGGTCATCTGGTCAAAGGTACGTGCCAAAAAGGCAATTTAAACCAGGCCAAACTGAGACACACAAGGCTGCTTGCCCTTAAGCGAACTTCCTGCCTTGAGCGCCAATTCGCCTTAAGCATTCACATTAATTTTGTAAAACTTCAATGTTATAATAATAATTATAAGTTACTGTTGTAATTGTTTAACTAATGTAATATTCTTACGTATTTAAAACAAATACATTATTTTAACTCAGATATATTTAAAAAATATGATTAAATTTAATTAAGATTTAGGCTGTAAACGAGATTATTCGTTAACAATTTTAAGCTTATATTTGTCATTTAATTATCAATTAATTTATGCAAAGTTGATTTAATTTAGAATCAAAAAAAAAACTGTGACTTAATTTACAAATAAAAATAAACTTTTTTCTGAGAAACTAAACCTTTTATTTATTACCCTAATTTTGTTAAGTAAATAAAAATGATTAGCTTTTATCATTCCCCTTAAAGTCTAAAAAGTTAGCAATTTATGAAGTCTTTTTTAATCATTTTATATATTTTTAAAATTAGCTTATCTTTCTTTCTTTTTGCCTTTTTTGTTTGTTGCTTATCTTATAGTTTTCAAGCGAAATACTTGTACTTCATGATCATTAACATATGTATATAAATGTTAATTTAAAAATATGTCTGTGCTTACACATACATATTTCTTGGAGTTGATTTCAATGGCATTGGCTGAGTGACTGTGGCTTTTTATATACAAAAAAAGAGACTCAACAATAAAGTTTGCAGTTTAGAATATGTGCTAAGTGGCTGTCGAAGCGATCTTGTCATAAATCTAAAATTGGCAAAAAACACTTTACATACATTCATATTTTATTATACATACATATATATGTGTGTATGTATTTTTTTACTTTTCTTATTAAACTTTGAACTTTTGGCATGCCACGGCCCTAACTGACTAACAGGGCAGTTGGCTTAGAAACCGCTTAAAAACAAAAAAAAAACAACAAAAAAACGTGGAAAAGTGCATGCAAAGCGTTGACCAGACCTCGAACTGGCCCCGGTAGCCCAGTAGCTACCCTTACCCTTCTACGGCTACACGGTACTCAGGCAGACTATGTGGGAGAGAGGAAGAGGGAGAGGCAGCGAGGGGTGTAGGCCATTATGAGGCCATCGATTTTGTTGCAGCGCTTTTAAAACATTTTATTCGCATTTAAAGGCGATTTCGTTTGCCGGCCAGTTGGAAATGGAGGGCTCTGCACAGAGCTTGAAACGTTTTGCTGTCATTTGGTTTTGGTTTTGGTTTTGGCATTTGCACTCGTCTTTGTGTGTCAGCGCTTTGAGAGCTTCGTGCCCACTCGTTGGTAAGTAAATGAGCCAGTAAGTAAGCCGTAGTCAAAGTAGCTCATAACTATATTATACTCACGTACGAAACGGTGTAGAAAAATACTCAAAAAGCAAACAGAATGCATGTAAGAATGCTGCAAGCCAGATGCTGTCACACCTTGGATACCCTATAATTTGTTATCAGCTAGAATTTGATACAGCAGTAGAGAAAATATAGTTGAAATGTAGCTAAACTTTGAGGACTGGCAATATTATAATATTTTTTTTTAAATTATTAAATAAATAAATATTTAAATTAAAAAAATATCACCTGTCCAGTTACCAGTCGAAATTTAAACTTAGTTTAATTTTAAATATTTCTCGAGCTGAGCTAACTATTCCATACATCCAATTTATGGTCCTTAGGTTTACAGGGTATGTAAATGACATTTAAAAAAAGAGAATTACTTATTATATATGCTGTATGTGTAGACATGCTCTTTTGTATAACAGCATTGGCCTTTTGTGCTTAGCCGTAAATGAACGGAACGGAAATTTCATAATCATAAACGTTTCAAATGCGAAACACAAATGAAAAAAAAAAAGAATTTTTGTTTTCGCATTTTCGTCAACTGTTGCCTCTTGCCTCTTGTTCTGTGGCTAGTGAATGAATCGACAATGGGTCAACAGACACAACGACGAGATCTTAAGTTGAGAGCGAGCGAATTTAAAGTTTTTAGCGGTACCATAAAAGAAACAGTTGTTAATAGCCGCTTTATGCCCTGTAGACATTTAGATTGGGTAAAAAGGGTATGATAGGTTTGCTTCAAGAAGAAGAGTGAAACTCTGGGACTATGAAAACTATAGGCTTCATTTTCTTAGAGATATATTGATGATTACTTCAAAAGAAATATGCTTTGACACAGATCAACAAATGCTCAACGCAACTATATAACATGACTTCATAGTTTCAGTCTTGCTATAGATAGATCTTAGAACTAAGTAAAGCTAATATTTCGCTTTGTCATTAAGGAAGCTTAAAGAGATTTTCTGCAATTTCTAAGCTGACTACAGGGTATCGCCTAGTCGCGCCTTTACTATTTCTTTTTGGTAGCGTCTCTAACTGTCTAGCGACGACTCTTCGAAGTTAAAGTTTAATGATGTCCAAATCACTTTGTGCTTTAAGCTGGGCGTGTCAGATGGTCGCCTCAAAGAAAAATTTAAATTCCCCCAACTTTAATGGGCACAAACAGAATTTTTAGCCAAATAGTCTGAATAATATAATGAACAATTGTCACAATAGCCTCGTTTGACAAAGCATTTCCAACTTTATGTCTAGCTCATCAAAATATGCAGAGTAAAAGGGTAACAGCATTTCGAATCAGTCAAAGAAAGATGTTTCTGCCCAATCTAATATGAGATTGTTCGCTTAGCTGGTGCAACCAGGCGTTGCACGTCTCCAACAGCCATCATCTAGCACGCCTTTGCGAAGATCTATAAGCTTAAATTAAATAAATTATACTTTGTAGCACAATCCATATATGCTTCAAGGTTTGTTTTCTTAAGTTTATTTTATGACTTTCATATTTCATTTCTCAAAAATTCTGACCTAGAAGTTTTTGATAAATTAATCAACTTTCAAAATGCATATAAATTTTCCCATGAGCTGCATACATCTACGCTGTTACACCATTATGAGGCATTTTCCACTTCCCCAAAGTATTTTCACGAATCATTAAAATTCGAAAGGAAAAATTACAACATGCAAGTGGAATGCTTAAAAACTGTGCTAAATACTCGAAGATATATTTTGTTATGCATTGCGCTTGGAACACAATAGAAGCAACCAAATTGTTAGACAAGCTCCTGCCACGCCCACTTCAGCAGAGGCGTCAGACCCAGATAGCCGAGCTCTCACATATGCAAAATTCGCCCAAGTCTGCATAGATGTAAATTAGCTCAGCTTTGGGGCTTTGCATTTGCATTTGCATTGCACTCTGTGGCATGACTAATCAGAGCCAACATATGCATGAGCCAAAGACAACATGGCTCACACACACACTGGCGCATGTCGACATGTGCTTGCTTGACGCGTTTTTGTGAGCTCTTTTTGGCTTGACTCGTATTCACATTTTTGCCGATCTGGCGTTTTCGTCTCTTGTGTTTTGTGCTCTCCCAACTTTCTAAGTCGCTGTTATTGGTTGTTGTTGCGGCAACAGCTAGCTCGCAGTAATCATAGATTTCAGCATTCAACCCCCTCTGCCCAGCGAAGCAGCCACCCACCCTTTGTCCGAAAGACCACAGCAATAAACAACTAAAGCGTTGGCCACGTTTATATAGCCTGGCCGGGAGACATTTGTAGTTACTTCGCTCAAATCTATATATACATATATAGTTAAATATGATACAATATAAACTTAGCTGAGATATTAAAAAACTGTAAGCTTGTGCAATTTAAAGGGCCAAGAGACAACTGTTTTTAAATAGCACATTTCTTCACTATTCTTCTAGCTGACTTTCTCAACAGTTGAACTCCATTTCAGTGCATAGCAGAGAAGTTCAGTTCGAGGCCATGTTTAAGTTGCAGTTGATACATGTTAGAATAAGTCAAATCGGACAACTATAGTATAACTATATATCTATATACGTTCAGTTCTGTTCAGAGCTAGCTATATAAAAATATGTCTGCAAGAGTATTTTCTCTTCGGTTTGCCGTTGTGGGCCTTGTCTGCTTGGTTGGTCATACTTCAATTGTTTAGCCGTTGCTTGCCTCACACTTAGCCCACACACACACATATAGACTGTGTGCTTTATTATTATTGCGGGCCATGTTGTTATTGTTTTTAATTTTTGCTGTAAATACTTTTCAGTTTTTCAAGTTTTTTGTTGTTTTTGTGTAGCAAACGCCTACGAAAAAATTTCATTTTTCGCTGTCTAACTGCCTGTCAGATGCTCCCCAGTTGCATAAATTATTTATGCCGCTTCTTTTTGCTTGTGGGCTCTTACTTTTTAGCCATTTTTTAATTTGCTAACCGTAATAGCAATAACAGCAACAATTTCATTAATTAATTTCTTAAAACGTTTTTAATTGCATTTTAATTGTTGCGCTGCTTTTTGAGTATCAGTTTCAGTTTTCGTTATTCGATTCGGAAAAGTGAAAACGTGTCGCGATTAAAGTTTAATTATAGTTAGTTGATAATGCGATTATCGAAGCTTTGAAAGGCACAGAAGCATCGACATAGAGAGAAATCGAGTCTCTGCTCTGTATATTGAAATATTTGAATGGAATTTATTTATTATTATTTTCAAGTTTTCCAATTTGTTTGCCCAACTTCACTGACAGATTTGAAACCTGTGCAAACGTGTGTAACAGAAATCGACAAGAGACATACTAAGTTTTTCTAAATAGGCATTTTTGTACTATTCTTCAGGTCGGCTCTCTTATCAGTTGTGGAAAAGTTCACTTTAGTGAGTGCCTTGAAAGGAATCTCTTGTTCTGCGCAGCTGCAAACAAGTCTTGTTCTCATTCGACGGCAAACACTTTGAGATTTTTCGCTTTATATTCCACATGCGGTAGTTATTTGTGCAAACACCTTTAAGGTGAGTGCAGCACACAGAAAGCAGTCGTTCTAGTCTCTTAGGCAAATCGTTCCCACGCAACTTCCAAGCATGCTGTGTATATAGACAAGTTTTAAATATTTAAATAAATACGCTGCGTTGCTTAAACTGTATTATTATACAATAGGCAGATGATTATAACAAAAGCAATTCACACATGCGAAGGAAAACTAATTAAATCAGATAAATAATCGCGTCACATGAACAGAAACGCGCTAAAAACGCTGGGGAAACGCGCACAAAACGCTCGCTGTTGCCCACCTTCAAATTTGGGACTGTGCAACCTTTAGTCAGCGGAACTCCACCTCGTTTTTATCTATGTATGTATGAGTTGTTGGGCGAAGGTTTCTGGGAATAGCAATGCGCCCAAAGTGCTTAGAATTGGGCACAAAGTGGAGGCACTGGTGGCGCCGCAGTCAGCGCGGCTCGCCTGGGAACCAGTTTTCAGTGGCAACAGCAACAATTGGACGCAGCTCAGATAAAGCCCTTGCTGTATGAGCGCTCCAGAAGACCCGTTCGGCAAAGTAGCACAAAGCAATGAACTGTTGAAAAATGCCTGAGAATCTTTTCCGGTGACAGTGCCCGGGCCCCGGCCCCGGTCCCCGACCCCAGTCTCAGCCACGGCCCGGAACAATCTGAACAAACACAGTCGAAAACGGTCAAAAGAACGGGCTTGCAACAATTGGTGGGCGTTGCACTGTGGAATGGAAAGCCAAAACTGAATTTCATCAAAACCAGAATACACGAAACACATGTTGAAACCGTCTATAGCCTTGAAGCTCTCTGTTTTTGTTCGCTTGTTTGGTAATATGCAGTGCTGTGCAGTGACTCACGGGTTGAAGAATATGAAATTCGATACGAAAAGCAGTAAAATAATTAAAAGAAAAATGGAACTGGAATGTGATAGATTATGTGTTTCAGTTTCAGTTTAGCTTATCGACTATAAATATTTGGAGAGTGTTCAAAATATTGCCTCATTGTTGTCAGTGTTTTTTAAAATACTTTAAAAAAAAAATATATATATATATAAATAAACTATAATATTTAAAAAAAAAAATGATTAATTTCTACTTATAAACATAAACGACAACTATAACTATATATATTTTGAGAGTGTTCAAATGATTGCTTCATAAGGAACAATCAAATGTAATTCCATTGTTGTCAAAATGTTTTTAAAATACTTTTTTTATACAAAAAAAAAATATAAAAATAAAAAAGAATATTTTTTAAAAATGATTAATTTCTACTAATAAACATAATCAACAACTATAACTATATATATTTTGAGAGTGTTCAAAAGATTGCTTCATAAGCAACAATCAAATGTGATTTTCATGTTGTTTTTTTTTTCAAAAAAAAAATTTTATTTTAAAAATATTAATTTTAAAGTTATTAATTTTAATTTCTGTTCATTTAGTTTTCTATTTCGATTTTTTGTGGGGTTTCCATTCCACAGTGCGGATGCGAACGCTGTCTGGCTGTTGCGGTTGGTTCGCTGCGTATGCAAATAGCTAGAGATAAAACGCAGCTACGTGATGGCTCTGATAAAGACAATGACAATGGCAGCAGCGACATTTAACAACGCCCACAATTCAAACATTTGCTTGCAACTAAAAGCGAAAGTAGCCAGCCACACATTTTCATTATGTGCGCGTATTTTGTATTATTTCAATTTGTTTTGTTTTCCGTTTTCTGTTTTATTTTTAATTTTCATTTTTAATTTTGCGGTTTGCGGTCTTCTCAAGGCGCCTGAAAATCAATGCAGCCGACGCTGAAGCCTGAAAACAGCTAAGGCTGCCCTTTCTTCTATGAAAGTAGAGCTCTCAATGGGATTTTGATAGAGATATAATCTGTTAATGGGATGTCGATTAAGACAACTCAAATTTGATAGATATAAGAAATAATAATTTATTGTTGAATCGGAAAACTTCTTAAACACTCAAAGATACAACATGCATGTTCCCTTGAAGAAAGTTGAAATGTTGCTTTAAAATTATAGCAATTACAACTTACAACACCTAAAACACTACGTGATTCCCAGGAATTTCATGTAAGATTTTCAATCATTTTTTGTTTCATGTATAACAAATTTTTGCTCAATCCAGTCATCCCTTCCAAATGCATTAGTTTTATATGCTAAAGGCAATTCTGAAATGGTTTAGCTCCAAGTCTATATATATAAACATCTAGCTTTAAGTACATGACATAAAATATATTGACGACTTGCACTAATGGCCAGCGTCATGCAACGGTCGTCAGTCGGGTGCGTAGGCTCAGCGGCTGAATGGGACACGCGTTCCGGCCGATTGCACTTTAACACTTGACCAGCGCGAGGGCGAGGGCGACACACCCGCAGCAAGGGAACCACGTCCGCGGCGGTTCCGCGAGGTCACGTGTTGTTAACGCTAACGACGCAGGTAGCACAGGTAATTTTGTCTGCGTGTGTGTGTTTGTAAATATTACCTGCGCAGCGATTTTTCCTCTGAAAATAAAGTACATTTTCACTTTAGGATGCATTTCAATGGAAACCCGACTTTGTTGATCGACGAGACGACGTTAGCTGAGTTTTATGACGAGGCTGGAAAACCAGTTGTTGTTGCTGTTGCATGTCTTCTTCTCATCATCGTAGCGAGGGCTTTTCCCAAGTGCAACTGTTACAACTAGAAACAACAATTGGCCTCCAGCAATAGCGGCTTTATCAAATTACTAAACGCTGTTGCCGGCTGCCTTATGCATTTGTTGTAGCCACGATTACTTTACTTTCCGCTAAGATAAGATACGCACATAACAACAAACTGCGAGCAAATACAAATACATATAAAATGTATTCAAAAGCATGTATTGTTAATAATAAAAAAATACATTTTTGAGGTCGCTCTTTTGCACAATCGCCGCTGATGACCAGCCAAACAGTTAGTTGTACCTTATCTCTCTGGCCCACATACTTTGCAGATTCGCTAATGCAAGCTGACAGAAGTCTGTTTGGTTGACAGATAAGTCTGTATACATGCCCAACAAATATTTATATTATCTTTGCGTCAGGTTAGATTTATTATGGGGAACTGCAGAAAGTTTGACAGCGCAACAACAATAACAATTTATGATTATTAGTTGAAATGGATGTAAAATGAAGCTAAATAATTATGACTAAATAATTATAACAATTGTTGTATGAAAACACGTTTTATGTAAAATAATCTGTGTAAATTATTAAATTTACGAATCGTTATATGTATATAAAATAATATATACCTTTGCAAAACACATTTATGTATTATAAATAACTTATAATAACAACAAAATATGTAAATATATATTTGATAAATATAAATAAATTATTATTTGTTTATTATTATAAAAACTATATATTATACAACTCACTAAATTTTCTTATGCCTTAAATGTAGAATTATGCAAAAATAAAAAACTTTAAACATAAATTATTATAATAGAATCATTTCGGCTTAGACCTACGAAATAAGAGTATGTTGAACTGACGTTTCTGGCAAGGATTTGCAACGGTAAACGCGATAAAAATTATTCATAATAAACAATTCGTATTTCATTGCTTGTTACTCATTCGAAAGCCATTTATGCTCAGGTAATATTATTGAAAGCCCTACACTGACCTCTTTAGGGGTATTGGCACACGTCTCTTTGTAAACAGGCAACAATAAACTCAATTATAACAATAACAAGAACAACAACTACAGCGAACACTCTCCCCATCATACAATGCACTCGAAAAAAGAGCAAATGTGGCTCAGCATAAAATTGGAGCTCTCACAATGGTGTCATATGAAACTTAATGTAGTTATGTTGTTATTGCTCCAAATACAGTTGCTCTTGCTCACTCTCTCTCTCTCTCTCTATCATGCTCACACAAACACACACACACACTAGCAATTGTCAATGTTTCTCTTAGGTCCTGACCATGTGCAGGCGCATGCACACACACAGACTCACCTGTTGCTAAATAAATTAATATGAAGAGAAATATCCATTGGGGCGCTGAGCAAGCGCGCTTGAGCAGCAGCGTCGACATCGCGGTCGACGTCATTTGAGCTGCGCTTTTCGTGCGCGCACGGCACAGTCGCCGCTGCTGTCTCTGCTGATTTGTTGTTTGTTGTAGTTGCTGTTGCTGTTGTGTGACGTGCGCATTGTTGGCGGTTGCTGACGCATAGGCAGCAGCACCAGCAGTCATAGCCATGATCGTTGTATTCGTATTGGAATTCGAGAATTTAAAGTTTTCTTTTCTTTTCTTTTTTTCAAAAGATTGAAGGGTTTTCTATTCACTTTATTTCGTATGGCTTAAAGGAATGCAGCGTACATTGAGCTTTAATTATTTTTTCGTTTGATACTTGTGGTTATTGTTTATTGCCTTTTTCCTTCTTTACACACGTATTGACGCGCGCGTGTGTGTTTGTTTGTTTGTGTGTGTATGTTACTTGCACTTGGCGTCTAGAACAGGTTTAAGTTTTTTTGCTACATAAAGTGCGCGATTGCTGCTGCTTTTATTTCAACACTTTCGCACGCGACACTTTCTAGCATGAATATGAATTTGAATTTGAATCCGAGTATTGAGCACACGGCAAATACTCGCGGATAGAGCTGGCCATTATAGTTTGATTTGTTTGGGTATTCGTAAGAACAAATACACGCACACACGCCGTCAAGCACTCACACAGGCACAAACATAAACGAACGAGCTGGCTTAAATGCTTTTTGTGTTGCTTTCCAGCAGGTATTGTGGTGCTGCTTCTCCTTCTGGTCGTTGTTTTTGTGTGCCCTTTTGAACTGCAAGCAGCATTGGCTGCTCCACCAATACACGGTTGCTGGCTTGCATTGGCTAACACTAACAGTCACTAACACCCGCGCACACCTGCATATAATGACAAAACAAACAAAAGCTTCCGGCGTTCGCTTTAGCAACTAAAAACGTCCAACACGGTCGAGAACAAAATGCGAACTGAATTGCGCGCTCGTTTGTCATGTAGAAGGCAGTCTTTGAGTCAGCCGTGCTCGAGCGCTCACACTTCTCCCTAGCCGACAGTGTGTATGAGCGAGACAACTATTGTCTGTGAGCGAGCTGGTGGGTTAAGTGTATGAGCACAACAGGTAGCCATGGGAAAATCAGAATTGATCGATTTATAATCTCGGAAAAAATCGAAATGCAAATTGTTTATCGGCAAGTACATTGAAACTTTAACGTCAAAACATGAAATAAAATTTTTTTGCTACAATACTAAGTAAAACGCATGAATATATGCCATTTAATTTATATTCTATTCAAAATGAGCAAATAACGACAAAATAATAAACGTTAATTATAATATCTAAGACAGAAATTCGTGTTCAATATAAATAAATTTTACTTTGAAAGTAAATATATTTAACTTTGAATATTGGAATAATTTTAGAGTATTTTCGATAAATATGTTTATTAATAAATTTTCATGTTTTGTCTATGTTTTTAGCAAAATCATTTAAGTTAATATGTTGACTGAAGTGAATTTATTAATAAAATAGACAAATAAGAATTAACATATATATAAAATATATTGTTAACTATGTATTCTATACTTTGAACATTCAATTGAATATATGATATTTTCAATAATATCGATAGGTCACCAACGACATTTTATAACACTGCTTTGTTGATCCAAATAATAATCCTTAAAAACCGTTATAAAAACACGCAGCTTATTTAAATCGTAAGCTTAACAAGACTTTTGCAATTGGCAACTTGACACAAATATGCACATGAGCATAAAACAAACTGCATAATGGTGGTCATAAATCACGCACTTGGATATGCAGCCGTACGCAATGTAAATGAAATACAGGTGATATCACAAAAATTTCTTATCAGCAAAGCACAAAAAGCCGCCGCCAAGTCGGCAAACATTTGAAGGTCTAGGCAAGAGGAGCTGCCGTTCTATACATCTATATATAGCCGTACACTTTATTCGAGCAACAATAGTCTTCGCACTTTGCAAAATGGCAAAGCTTCCACATGCCTTAACAATTGTATTGGTTCTTGTGAGAACAGTGGCTCACGTGAAAGCAGAATCGGATGACGAATCAATCGATTTGTCTGAGATGAGCGAAGCCATTTTTGGTAATCCCGATATGGAAACTACTGGAAGGCTGGTTGACGCACAAGGGGAAGAATCGCTGCAAAATCCTGAAGAATTGGGCACCTATTACGAGGGCGACATACTAATACCTGTTGATTATCGTAAGTCTCGTAACGAGGACAGACGCAATGGACTCCTTGCATTGAGTACACGATGGCCCGGTGGCGTGGTACCCTACGAAATAAACGGAACGTTCACATCGCAGGAGTTGGACAATATAAATCATGCCTTTAAGGAGTACCATTACAAGACCTGCATCCGCTTTAGGCAGCGCACAAAAGAAAAGGATTACATATCCATAACGAATAGTAAATCTGGCTGCTGGAGCAGCATTGGACGCATCGGTGGTAAGCAGGAGGTAAATCTACAGTCCCCCAACTGTTTACGCACCTATGGCACCCCCATACACGAGCTGATGCACGCACTGGGCTTCCTCCATGAGCAAAATCGCCACGAACGGGACAACTACGTGAAGGTGCTGAGCGAAAATGTGAAGCCTGGGCTGTTGGTCAACTTTGAGAAGGGCAGTTCTAAGACCCACTCAGGTTTCGGAATTGAGTATGATTATGCGAGTGTTATGCATTACTCCAGCACAAGTTTCTCCAAAAATGGAAAACCAACATTAGTAGCTTTGCGCAGCCATCCGGATGCTCGGCAGCTTGGACAAAGGCGCGGCTTCTCGCCCAGCGACGTGCGTAAGATAAATCTCATGTACAAATGCAGGCTCTGATTGGATTTCATTGATTTTTTATTTAATAAAACAATACAATAGTATAACAACTACATGTGTAGCATTCTGAACTTATGCTCAGTGATGTGGGAGATTCTTGTTCGTCTCGAAGAAGACGTTGCCCTTCATGGTCAACTCCTTGCAGAGCGTTGAGAAACGTCTGATGGCATTATAGGTGCCGTTGCCACTACCACTGGCCGCATCTTTCATATACGAAACACACAAAAAGTATACACTTATATTTATATATATAATGTAGATATAGAATTTAACAATCTATATCTAGCAGCATGCAGGGTTAAGTATATTTTTAGTATTTATATCTGTCGGGCATTTAAGAGTTACTCCCGCGCAGACGTCATATTTGTTAGTGTGGACGCGCTTTGCAGAGCAGCTTCATCTGCTTACCTGCGCCCACAGCGCCATCGCCAACATTTCCGCACAGATCCATATTCATATACAAAGCCATATTGGTCGTTGAGCCAAGATATGAACGATTGTTGAGAAAGTCTCGTATGTGCTGCACGATCAAATCGATGGCCACTGCAAAGCAAAACACAGTCAGAATATAAGAATATCTTCATTAAAATGTGCATTGTCTACTTTGGCATTTAGCAAAATATCTATTATTGTTATTAAATGATATTTAACGTTGCAACTCAACAAATGAAGCACTTCAATTCAAGTGTGAAAACATTTCTGTCACTTACCTCGTGGCAACGGCGGAACTGCCATGGACCGACTTTTGGTGCACTTGAAACAGTTTCTGTACTCACTTGACTCAGTTATAAAACCCAGGTGCTGTTACAACTAGACTTAAGACTAATAAAAACTATTGTTTGCTTAGTTGGGGATTATATCTTCTGTAGTTATTTTCTACTTATAGCTGCATGTGTGTGCAATAGCTTTTCTATTTTTTAAATATTTTATATATTAAATACATTGTACATGGTTTAAACTATTAATAAGCTATAAAAATGAATTTGCTCGAGTTAATGGTTTTCTAAATAACCCATTTTTAACAACTTAGTTTAACTTAGGTCTATCAAATGTTAGTGTAATACAGAAAATAGTTTGTCTGAGGAATATTAATAAGATCCACTGATTATTATGCAAGTTTTCCAACTCTAACAATTTGTCCTTTGTTTATAAATTTCAATGAACTTTATGAAAAAAAACGAATTATAATTTAATAAAGTGATATTGGGAATATATTAAAACAGTCCAGCAAAATTTGATAAAATTTAATAACAAGAAGCAAACTTTAATTTTGCAAAGGGTTTTAAGTGCTCAACCTGAATATCTCTGTTCCGTAACATATTTCGAATATTTCTATTATTAATAAAGTTAAAAAAAAAAAACAATTTGTGCATACACTTGAGGTATATTTATACATTTATATAATTCAAAACTAAAGTTATTCAAAATTATTCATCCAATGAGTTTTATAATATTAAGTTTGATTCTTGTTACTAAATTCTGTTGGCCTGTGCAATTAACTAAGGTATTAGATTGTTAAATGGTTTAAAATCTTAGCTAATGAAGCACAATATCGAAGCTTTATTATCTTTTCAATTAAATGTTGTATTAAACATATTATTCTTGTTAAGTAATTCTTGTTTGATGTGAAAGAAACATATAGAGACAAAAGGATAGGCATGGCTATATGTTTCCGCATGAATTGTAAATTAAAAATTTTCTATTCCACGTAAGGGTTAGCAATATATATATATATATATATATATATATATATATATATATATCTATATATATATATATATATATATAGTCAAATAATACTTTTGGTTTTATCGTTTTGTAACATTAGTTATACATTTATTTGAGCCCGAGTTAAAGTAAGTGAAACGTAACTTAATAAAAGTTATTTCAATAAGCAATGATAAGCTTACACTTTTTAATATCTTAATGTTAAATTACTTGGTTAAGTGTGATTGGGACCAAAATGCGAATGAAAGCGGGGCATTAACTCTGCCTTGAGACCTGCACTCCACATGTAATCACTTGCGGTTAGAGAAAGCTCAACACATTTGGTTAGGAACACAAATATTATGTTTTGCTTTGTTTTCTTAAGAATTAAAAACAGAATATTTATATATATATATATATTGAGGAATTTTTTTAGTGATCGCGCTTCATGCTGGAGGCCGCAGTTCGAACTGTGTTGTTGTGCTGTGCGATGTTGGTGGCCGCGAGAATTTCTCCGATATGGTGTACAATGAGATCAATGGCAACTGCAAGAAATACATTGTAACAGAAACGAAAACAAAAAGTAGGAAAGAGGAAACGAGAAACGAGTAACGAAGGGAAATGTGGAAAAAAGGTAAATAACGTCAAGCACACTATTATAAAAGTTGTTTTACATCTGTGTTAATTGAACTGGGAAACAGAAATTGATAACAGTATAACCCAAAACAAATTCAAATTCTTTGTAACATAAACTAGATACACGTATATAACTAAATATACGAATATATACAAGAAAACTAGATAAAAGTTTTCAACTAAACACTTCAAAAATTACACAGGAGTGTTTTAAGTATCAGTGTGTGTGTGGTTGTATTGTGTTGTGTATGTGTGTGCGTGTGTGTTTGTGTGGGTGTAAATAGTAAATTAAAATTGTAAATTAAGCAAAGCACGTGTTTTATGTGAGTGTTGGTGCTTATATGTTTCTCACCTGTATTGTCCGCCCCGCGTGGAATGATGACGTCAGCAAATTTCTTAGTCTGCAAGGACGAAATTTGTATTGATAAAGATCCTAATGGTGCTCTGAACAGCTTACCGGCGAGCAAAATTCCTCGAAGGCTGGCTTCACAAACGTCATGTACTGGGTGAGCACAGCGTCCAGATCCCTGCCACGCTCATTGATGTCACGTGGAACTAAAAGATCAAGGCGATGAGTCACTATCTTATAGCAACCATCCTACATACCTCTTCGAGCAAGCCGCGTATCCGAATCAGTATCCACGAAAAGCTTCATGTGAAATAGATCACGTATTTTGGGAAAATAAAATACCAAGATGCCCTCAAAAAGCACCACATCTGCAGGATAGATGACCAGCATGTTCTCAAAGTCACTACAAACAAAGAAATTGCATCGGTATGTATATATATATATAATGTGTATATAACGAGCTTGTTTACTTACAGCGAATTGGTACGGTAATCGTAGCTGGGTATTTTGACTTTGTGACCTTTCAGAATGCTTTGCAGCGTCTCGTACATGAGCTCCTCGTTGAAGGCATCTGGATGATCAAAGTTGAATTTGCTCTTTTGCGCTTTTAGCTTTTCGGCTGGCGTTAGCTCACGATAGAAACTGTCCTGGCTAATGGACACCACCTGCCGCTGCGTGTGATCCATTTCGGCCTGCCCGAGCTGTTCCATTATTTTCTTGCATACTGTTGATTTGCCACTGGCCGTACCACCGGCAACTCCAATAAGGAATGGTGATTTGATCTCTTCGCTGGGTACCGCATCACCGTTGACAAAGCCATCCGATTTTTCTTTATTTGTGTTATCCATGCTGAACTGAGATTGCTGAAAGCAACTAACAGAGAGGAGAGCGCAATTCCGATTGACGATTCGACGATTCCGTCGAAAACTATCGATATATAAAAAACTTTCTAGTATCGTTTTGAGTTCGAATTCGCGAGAAACCTTCCATTTCCATTAGCCGGTAAAAGTTCCACAGCTGTTTGCCGTTCAAAAACAGTGGCATTAACAGCGACATAACATTCATCAGTTATCGGATAACTTTCAGAAATCGAATGAGACAATTGGCGCGCTTTTTAATTATTAACAGATTCTGTTATTTACATAGACTTAGAACAGTGCTGTTTGGTTGCAGCAAGTCTTTTGCATACTAGAAATACAATAACAGGCACCCTGTATTTTATGTATCTGTTATACAAGTTTAGTAATTTAGTTATTTAACTTAAAATTTTCGACTTTAGTACTCCTTTTAAGAGGTTGGAATTATTTTACTTTCAAGTTAAATTAAATATATAAATATATATATAAATATTTACTTTGAACTAAACTAAAATATACAAAATAGAGAGAAAATCATATGAACATAACTGCTTTAAATGCATAGCTTAATGCAATCGGATCATATCGCTTTCTAACAAACATGTGTCGAATCAAAAAAGATGGAAACCACATTTTGGCCAGAACCAGGCTGCAATAATAAATCAACAGAATGTGCCTGCTAATGGGGTATAAATAGCAAAAAGTCCAACGGACTAGACATCACAAAGCTTCAACAAGCTCAAGTATGAAGGTCTTGGTAATATTGGTTGCTCTGGCAGGGATCGCCACAGCCGTGGACTACTGTGCCTTGCCCACATGTCTGGACAAGCATATTGCTTGCAACAATAAGGGTGTAAGTGGTAATCGTTGATCCTGGCTTAAATATGGCGGTAAGCAAATTTATATCTCTTCAGGCTTTTAGCGAGGATTGCCCTAAGGATGTGCGTGAGATTAAGATCGATGCGCATCAGAAATTGATTCTCTCGTTGTTCAATGAGCTGCGCAACAAGGTTGCCGGCGGCAGTATTGAGGGTCTACCCAAGGCGTCTCGCATGGCCAAGATGTCCTGGTGCGAGGAGCTCACTCATTTGGCGCTGTTCAATGTGAAGACCTGCCAATCCTTGCCGGACAAGTGCCGCAGCACCGAGCGCTTTGCATACGCTGGCCAAAACAATGCCATCTTCAGCTATAGTGGTGCCGAATCGGAGTACACCGATGCGGAGATCATCAAGGAACAGATCGAGAAATGGTTCTCCGAGCGGGCTAATGCCTCTCCTGAAATTCTTGCCAGCTTCCCAGAAGATCTGCCCAACAAGGCAATTGGCAAATTCACCATAGCCGTCGCCGAGAAGAACACCCACGTGGGCTGTGCCGCCGTGCGCTTCTCTCGTGACTACTACAACCACTTCGTGCTCACCTGCAACTTTGCCACCACTAACGTGGTTGGCCAGCCCGTGTACACACCCGGCGAGCATGCCACAGCCGGCTGCAAAAATCGCTATGGCGCTGCCTTCGACTATCCCAATCTGTGCTACGCCAAGGAGATCTATGACAACGAAAAAGTCATTCCTGACATTAAGATTAACTAAAAGCAACATGTACCCATATCAATAATCACAACAGCCAATTAAATCGTCGACCTCACCACCCAGATAACTCTTTTTTACTCATGGAATATGGATAGTCTTAGCTCTGAGATCGGGGAGACGTAGTTTGACATCAGCATTCTGAATATTTTGAGAATCAGAAGCAAACAGGTTTTTTACAACTTAAGAAATGAAAAAGGAAAATAGAAAGACAATTTTTAATAACTTAATTATTTGATTTTAATCATATATCATTTACATAGGAGGTATTCATCGTTCAGACCGTTCCGACAATTCGACAGTTTTACACTTGTAAGTAAATATTTAAGAGTTGTTTTTGTTTGTTTAGTCAAACACGCATACGCATTATCACAATCTTACACAGGCATAGAAAACATTCATTATCTTACATTTTAGAATTTGATCTAACAATTTGTCGCCTTGCTTTTAACAATCTTCGTAAATGTATGGTAATAAATATGTGGTACATAATTGGTATTAAAAGTTTCGTCAAAGCCTCTGGCAATGTTTTGGATGGTGTCTCGGGAAATGTGCGGGCCAAATCAATCAAAAGTGCATTAATTATGTAAAGACTTCAAACTAAAAAAAAATGAAATTTGTTAAATAATGACAGATAGAGAACATTAGCTGATAATTCGCGATTTTCGGGGCGCATCTGATAATCCAATAATTCAACTAGATTACGTTTACAACTACATTTAACATTTAGGTGAATAAGTTAATATAGAATGAAGCATTACTTTTCCTTGGGCTTCTTGTCAAACAGGTACTCCTTAGCCATCTGATAGCCGAGTCCAACGGTCAGGCAGCCCACGACTGTGCCCTGTGCGGCGACACGCAGCTGCATAAGGAAAACGCTGGTGCTCATCGTGCCGCGATTCTTGTACTTGTACGCACCAATCAGACCCGCTGCCACGAAGCCCGCAATGCCTAAAAAAAAAACAACCAAAAATTGTATTATAATTGTATTTTGCGAGAAGCCTCGTTTGTTGTTGCTAGCTGATAATCAGCAGACGGCGGCAGCTGATGCACCAATACAAACGCAACACACGCGCCAACTGCGACGTCATTGATGTGTTAATAGTCCACACACACAGCCACATACATACACAGGTGTTTCAATATCAACTGCTATATACCTACACTGTTTAACTGTATTTTACAGTTACAGCATCTTTTTCGCACACTTACGTTCATATACGTTGTTATGATGAAATTAACGCGCTAACTAACGTTATGTCACTGTGTTCTTAATATATACATACTTTTCTACGTATGTATCTGTCTAACCGAAAATCTTCAATTCACTGCGAAGGTCAAGGTATGCATGCTCATCCTTGCACACATACATATCCGATAGGAAAAGTTTCCATGACGTCACGACACAGGAAATGTTTGAGTGTTTGCCAAAACACATGCAAAAAATGCTTAGCTAACAGTCATTTGACTTACCGATCAACATAAAAGGAGACTCCTTGGCTTTATTAACAAACTTGTTGGCCTGCGCCACATCATCTTCAGTTTCGAATATAGATTTCGAACTCATGGTTTTTATGCTTTTTCCGTTTCTTTAGTTGGCCAAAAATTTCGCGGGACGCCAAACTTGTGAGGTCGCTGGTTCGCCAATGAGCGTACAAGTATTACTGAACTTGAACCGAACATTCCATCATTTTATTTAGATTTCATTTCACAAAAATAATCGATAGCAAATCAGCTGTTTTATTGAAAGTAAAAAGGGCGGAACAAATCGTTAATTTTCAATTAACAAGATTTTTATTATTATTATATTTTTAATATTGTTTCATCAGACTATTTTTTTTAATAATTTAAGCCATTTAAAAATTCTTAATAATTATGTTCATTAACATAAAAGCATTACATGAAATGTATGTACTTTTATATAATTTAAACAATTAGCCATATCATTGTAGATTAAGCATCTAATATATGTTATGGGTGAAATAAATTGACCAACACTCTTAATAGCAACAGTGTGACCGCAGTGCGCAAAAGAAAAATCCAGCGCTCAGCTGAGTATTGAGCCATGACATAAGAAGTGAACATTCGTTAAGAGGGGAGAAACGCTGTTGGATTGCCGTAGCCCCAACACAATTCTATTAGTTTTAAAAAATTCGACAAAAAGTACTCACACACCACAACAATCGCAGTAGCAGTGGAAACAAAACGACATCACAGCAATGGCGGGCATCATTTCAATACTAACAAGGCAATTGCCGCGAAACGTGCAAACTGTTGGGCTAAAAGCCGTGCGGAATCATGAAGTAAGCGAATGGAGCAGTTCGAAACGAATAAACATTCGAGCCAGTAGCGAAATAATGAATGGCGCTCCGAGCGGTGGCACGGCCACATATTTCATGTGTATTTGGATCAGTTGTTGTAGTTGCTGGCGGCCGCTAAATCAGCTCATAATGCGATTATGTAATTGAAAGAAAAAATGTTTGCATTGCAATGGGCCGCAATCAGCGTGGCATTGCCACGCCTCTATAAATTATTCACGTGACGGACGCAATCTTGATCATTTTCCCGATTGCACAATATTTACTTTTTCTTTTGTGTATTCATTTTGAGATACTAATGCCATCTTTCACAGCTCCAACTCAGTGCCCGTCAGTATTCCCAGCTGGCAATTGTTGCTGCAGTGCAGCAGCAGCAGCAACTGTTGCGCCGGGAAACGTATCCTACTCTGCGCAGCCATGATGCGATTCGGTAAGATATGATACGAATATAATTCCAGATCCACTTAATTATTTCTATAATTTCAATTCGCAGTGTTTTGGGGTGGCAGAGCTTTCACACCACCAGCAGCATGTGGTCGGAGCAGGTAATCAAGGTGCCGCCGTTTGCCGACTCCATCACCGAAGGTGACATTAAGTATGTTAAACTACAAGCAAGAGACTATAATTCTTGTCTGCTGCTAGCTTATCTCTTGCTTGATTCTAACAGAATTCTTTCTGCCGTTTAGATTTACCTGCAAAGTGGGCGACTCATTCGGTGCTGATGAGGCTGTTATGGAGATTGAAACTGATAAGACAACGATGCCGGTGCCGTCTCCCTTTGCTGGCAGCGTGACGGAAATTCTAGTCAAGGACGGTGACACGGTTAAGCCTGGTCAGGAGCTTTTCAAAATGAAGCCTGGTGCTGCGCCTGCTAAGCCAGCTGGAGCACCCGCTCCAGCCAAGGAGGCACCAGCCCCAGCGGCAGCTGCTCCACCTAAGCCAGCGGCACCGCCTGCTGCCGCACCCGCTGCACCAAAAACAGCACCACCACCGCCACCTCCACCAGCAGCGCGCCCACCACCAGCTGCTCCCCGTGCCGCACCGCCTCCGGCAGCCGTGAGACCCGCTGTGGCCCAGGTGAAAGTGCCTCCAGTTGACGGCTCCCGTCAAATTCTGGGTACGCGATCCGAGCAGCGCGTCAAGATGAACCGAATGCGTCAAAAGATCGCTGCCCGCTTGAAGGATGCTCAAAACACGTGCGCCATGTTGACCACTTTCAACGAAATTGACATGAGGTTAGTTAATTATAAAACCTACTAATGATTTCTCTCATGTGCCTAAATCTCGCTGTCTCGACAGCTATGCCATGGACTTCCGAAAGCAAAATCTTGATGCATTCACCAAGAAGTATGGCATCAAACTTGGATTCATGTCCATCTTCTCGAAAGCCAGTGCCTATGCGCTGCAGGACCAGCCCGTTGTTAACGCCGTCATCGATGGCCAGGTAAGTCATGCCCCTTAATCAGCTGTGACGTATCACCTTATCAGACGTTAATTTGTTTATGTGTTGGCCTATCTGATGAAACGCTGCCGTGTTTAGTCAACTGATATAAAATTATTTTTCATAGATATTCTCTGAATTTTGCCAAAAATAGACTCAATAGCTCAGCAGTATTTACGGTCAAGTCAAGCCCTTTCTATGCTATCGAAATTAACTTTTTGTAAAGTAAATTTCATAAGAATTACTATATTACTAAGCACTACATATATAAACAATTAATATTAAAAATAGGGAAATATTTATATCAAAGGGTGGTTTCATGTATTGAAAATGTCACAGCTTTTAATTGAATTCAAATCTATTAATTTCTGATTGCATTTTTCATTACCAAATAATACCAAATAATATATATATATATATATATGCCATATATATATATATATATACAATATAAATTACAGATTATATATAACCAGTTTAATTAATTATGCAAATGAACTGATTTCAATTGTGAAATCAGTACGATCTGAAAGGCTTTTAAACCAGTTTGAGAATCGATAAAAGCAAACCATTGTATTTAAATATGTATATAATTGCATGTCTTAAATGCAAGAATTATTAAATACTATATTTTGTATCTTACAGGACATTGTTTATCGTGACTATGTGGATATCTCAGTGGCTGTTGCTACGCCCCGTGGACTGGTTGTGCCCGTCATTCGTAATGTTGAGAGTATGAACTATGCGGACATTGAGATAGCCTTAGCTGGTCTGGCCGATAAGGCAAAGCGCGATGCCATCACCGTGGAGGATATGGACGGTGGCACCTTCACCATCAGCAACGGTGGCGTGTTTGGATCACTGATGGGTACGCCCATCATAAATCCACCTCAGAGCGCTATACTTGGCATGCATGGCATTTTTGAGCGCCCCATTGCTGTCAAGGGAGAGGTGATCTATATTCAATTAGTGTATAATTTGGTGTGAATTAACTTTTCATTCACATATAATGTAGGTCAAGATCAGGCCCATGATGTATGTTGCCCTGACATACGATCACCGAATCATTGATGGACGTGAGGCAGTGTTGTTCCTGCGTAAGGTGAAGGCTGCCGTTGAGAATCCAGCCATCATTGTTGCCGGTCTGTAAGGGCAGTCTGTGAAGTCTGTTAGCGCTGCGTCCACGTTGTTCAGATGATATCGAATCTGTGACTTAAAACTGAAGTACAGCCAAATTCATTGTATAAACAAAAACTTTAAATTTCATGTATTTATTTAAAAATTAACGAGTGTCACAAACTGACTTTAATTTGGGTTTAACCATAGCGAAATATACGTACATACATAAAATACACCCATAATAAAAAAATTACGACGTGGACTTGTTTTCAAAACGTTAACCTATCAGATTTACTTCTATGCACATTCAGTAATTTAACGAGCACTGCTAAATATCATATCGTAAATAAATACGATTTCTTTACTGATACTCGCCTAAACCTAACCAGCTGTTTCCCTTTTTTATTTGCTCAGTTTGCTGAGTGGGTACTGTAAATCAATTCCATGTTGCGCAACAGATATGCTTAAGTTTACAAGGTAACAAGGTGAAATGGAACTTACTTGCTATAGCGAAACACTTTAAACTTATCTTCATTCATCATCGTTGTGCGGAGGACACAGTTTAAAAGTTTTATCATGGAACACTTGAGATATATATATCTTACTCAGAAAATTTATATTTGAATATGTTTACTAAGCTATAATAATACTTTTTGCTGCAGACATATCAACTGTCAAAATCAAATCTTGTATAGAAAAATGTACACATGTCGTTGAGAGTTTTTCTCTACGGATGGGTTTGACGAGTTTTACAAAATAGATTTAAATATTCATAAACCAATAAAACAAAAGTTGGTCGGCAAAAAGAGATTTGTTGTTTTTTTAGCTTCTCCTAAGGGTTTTGCTTGGCCAACAAGACGGTTATTGAACGAAACCAATATACTCTTTACACATCGTGAAAGAGTACCGAAAAGTTTGATTCAAATCTAGATAGCTTTGCATTAGCCAAGAACAAAATTCGATTTATTTAGGATTATTTCGTTTGAACTAGACCATCTAGCCAACGATGAGTGTTGCCTCCATTTTTAAAAGATCCTTCCGCCGCGAAATACATATTATATGTCAACGGTCTGGAATATGGAATGTAAGTGCAAGTCCAAGTCCACTTAAGTCAAATCAACTGTATGGCAATTTCTGATTTAGCTCTGTCTTTGCAATCGTCGATGCATTCAGATGGCTGTCAATAAAGTATTCAATCAACCGCATCTGCTCTTGGACTGGGAGTCGAGCCCCAATTTTCGTTTTCAATATGGAATGTGGTAAGAAGCATTCTCATTATTTTCTGAAATTACGCGAAAGGGCCAGGTGTTTGGGTAAATGTAAGAAAGAAGCAACGGGAGAGTTGTGTTGAAAGGAACAACATCCGATTCGATCTAGTTTCTAGTTTCTGTCTGTAAGTCCGTGTCTATCCATCGACTCGTCTTTCTCTTCTGTTAATCCCTCTGTCCTAACTCTGTTGGCAAGTCCGTCTTTACGCTTATTCCATCATTCCCTTAGCAACCTTCCGTCTGCTTGGTGCTCGAATCTCAGTTTTCTGTCGTTTTGAACCGCCGTCCGCTTATCGTGTGTTTCTTTTCGTTCGTTTCTTTGTGTGTCACTCCGTCCGACAATCTGTTTATACATTTATCCGCCCAGCGCTCATGTCTGTCTCTATCTATCCGTTTCTGTCCAGTAATGTTAATGCGTTGGCGTTTCTCTCCATGACTTTCTCTTTTTTCATCTCTCAGTTTTCGAAAGATCGAAAGCAGCAAATGTAATATATTAAATGGCGTTTCTTTAAACATATCTTATTGCAGCTCCCTAGACCGGAAAGGTTTTCACACTACCAACAGCAACTGGTCCGAGCAGGTGGTGAAGGTGCCGCCGTTTCCTGACTCCATTTCTGAAGGGGACATTAAGTAAGTAGCTCGCACGGACTAAAGCAGTTTATACCCCAGGCTATCTTTCGTCTTTCGTTTATAAGATTCACATGTAAAGTGGGCGATTCGTTTGCTGCCGATGAAGCTGTCATGGAGATTGAAACGGATAAGACGACGATGCCAGTGCAGGCGCCATTTGCTGGCGTCGTGACGGAAATTATGGTAAAAAGTGGAGATACAGTTAAAGGTGGCCAGCAGGTTTTCAAAATGAAGCCGGGAGCAGCTCCGGCTAAAGCAGCAGCACCAGCGGCAGCACCAGCAGCACCACCAGCAGCACCACCAGCACCAGCAGCCGCACCAGCAGCAGCCCCAGCAGCAGCAGCTCCAAAGCCTGCCCCAGCACCTCCAAAGCCTGCACCAGCTGCTGCGCCAACTCCTGCGCCAACTCCTGCGCCAGCAGCAGCGGCAAAACCTCCGCCAACACCGCCTGCCGCGGCGCCATCAAAACCCGCCGCTGGCGGTGCACCTCCCATATTGGGCACACGCAACGAAACAAAAGTCAAGATGAGCCGCATGCGCTTAAAGATCGCGGCCCGCTTAAAGGATGCACAGAACACCTGTGCCATGCTTACAACATTCAATGAGATCGACATGAGGTCTGTTCTACTCAACCAAGCATCCTCTGTTTACATATTATGTTCATATCTGCGCTTTTCTTTTAAGCTTTGCAATGCAATTTCGAAAGGAGAACCTGGAATCATTTATGAAAAAGAATGGAGTTAAGCTCGGCTTCATGTCCATATTTTCAAGAGCTTCTTGTATTGCACTGCAGGATCAGCCCGTTGTCAATGCAGTCATTGCTAACAAGGTAATTTCACTTTAAAGCTTTATGATAGGCTACCCTTTTAACTCCTTTTGCTACCCATTATACGTTCAGGGTGCCTTAATCCCATACATTCCATATCTTCGCCTTATTCTTTGTTTTCTTATATACAAAAGAAGATTGAAACCTATTTTGTTTAAATCAATTAATAAACTAAATGTAATACGCAGGAGATTATTTATCGCGACTATGTGGATATCTCTGTGGCTGTAGCCTCGCCCCGTGGTCTTGTGGTACCCGTTATCCGTGGCGTCGAGTCCATGAAGTATGTGGATATAGAGAAAACTCTGGGTGGCCTGGCAGATAAGGCAAAGCGCGATGCCATCACCATTGAGGATATGGACGGCGGCACCTTCACCATCAGCAACGGTGGCGTGTTTGGATCACTGATGGGTACGCCCATCATAAATCCACCTCAGAGCGCTATACTTGGCATGCATGGCATCTTTGAGCGCCCCATTGCTGTCAAGGGAGAGGTGATCTACATTCAATTAGTGTATAATTTGGTGTGAATTAACTTTTCATTCACATATAATGTAGGTCAAGATCAGGCCCATGATGTATGTGGCACTTACATATGATCACCGAATCATCGATGGACGTGAGGCTGTGCTGTTCCTTCGGAAAATAAAGTCCTACATTGAGACGCCTGCTGAGCTAGTAACCGGTCTGTAGGACATCTCGGCGACTATTTGGGATGTGCTCACGTTGTTCAGTTGCCAAATTATTACCAAATTATACCAAATTATTTGTAATTAACAAAGTCTAAAGGACATTTATATTGCATTTTTTCAAACTGTAATTAATTGGTACTCGACTATTAGATACACTATATATTTCCTTCTGTAATTTTCAAGAGTTTTCTTTCATTAATAACTTAAAGAATCACAACATGTTTGTAATACTCCTTTCATCATGCAAATGCTTATAAAAATTATGTTTATATTCAAGAAATCTGTTTATTATTTATTGAAGCCGGCTTAGATATATAGTGAAAAACATGTAGAGGATCGTTAGTCGGCACTATCCGTCGAGAAAAACAGATATTTATATCTCCAAAACTTGATACTATCCATTGAAACTTGACTGCTATCCATTTTTACCGGCGGAAACACAAAAGGACATTGCTAATAGACAGACAGATGGCAGATGGAAGATGAAAGATAGTAGATAGATAAATGGAGCAAGGTATGTATATTACACAAATTTAAAGCTGAACAAAAAAAACATTTTTAAATGTTCCTGAAACGAAGAAATGTTAATATGAAAATTTGAATAAAAGATCAATTGATACTTTTGTTATTTGAGCAAATTGGCTTGTACAATTTTATTGATTATTTTTGTTTGCTTTAGTTTAAGTATGAACTATTTCTAAATGTTTACGAAATGGTTTTGGTTTTGGTTTGGTTTTACATATAGTTTTGTCTTAAATAAGAATTGATGTAAAATGATTCGATTTGAAATGAAATTGACATTTGTTGTTAACTTAATGAGAAATATGATTTGGTTTTAGATCCATCAAAGAGATTGAATAACACAGTTTTTTCTTTGTTTTTGCTTTTAGTTTAGTTACTATACTTTAGTTAATTTGCTTATCACATGTGTAGGTAAGAATGTAAGCCGAAAGAACTGAGAACATTTGACCTATTTGTGTGTAAAATGATGATGGGGAGAATTCAAGTCGAAAATAATATAAAATCTTTTCTAATAAATATATATAGTTTATATGTATATAAAAAATGCGACAATCGTTTCGTCTAAAACATTTTCCACAAGACTGTGCAAAATTAGAAGAATTAACATTTTAGACAAAACGATTGGCATTATCTACATTGATTACCCATTAATTTAGTTGCTTTTCGTTTTTTTTCTTTTGCTTTTGCTAAAATTGTTAATTCATTTTTGCTTTTTTTTTAAGCTTAACTAAGGGGATACAGAGTGTAGTTACATAATTAAATTTACTGTAGTCGTGCGAGAGTATTTCTTCCAAACACTTTTGAAAGAGTTCTTACGGCATTTGCTTGTGTTTTGTTTAGTTATTTGAATTTTGTGGAACTTTCTATAGGTATTACTATAAATTCTGGCCCTGGTTGTTGGGTCTTGCACTTGTCTTCCCGCAAGTACAACACTCTTAAGTCTAAGCAATTACACTAGGTATCCCCAACCTTGTGACCGAAATCTTTTTCTATGATTTGTATCTTTTGCTATTTGATTTTGGTTTTTCTCTCTCTATCTCTCTGCATAGATCATGGGATATTTTGTTTTTTTTTTTCGTTTCTAAATTGATTTTTCAATAGAACTATTGTACAAGATTCCATTTGCTGCTATTTGTTTGTTTTGCTTTCTTCTCTTGATGATTTTGCAGATTTCCAAAATGCATGAAACGCTTCAGTTGGTTGTCTTCCAAATGCTTTTTCAACTTTTCTTGTGTGTAAATAAGATATGTAACTTAATTTTCAGTCAAACTGTCAAATGGTATGGAAAAACGGTATGGTCTGCCTTATATTCGGTTACATTTGCTGAGATGCTTTCGCATCTTGCTGTTTTTTGCTGCTTTTTGCTACTTTTGCTGTTTTTTGTTGCTTTTTTGGGCTTTGGCTACAATGTTGTCGTTGTACAAGTCGGAAATGTGTAATTTCATAAAGAAAGATGGTTTTTTGCTCATGTTGCTGTTTGCTGTTGTTGCTGTTCTTTTTGTTGTTGTTGATGCCAAGTCTCTAGATGATGGTTGCTGTTGTTGTTAGTCTGTTGCTTATGCTGCCGCTTGGCCAGGCAACTTTCGCAATGAATTTCTAAATCAAAAATTTGTCTGTCTAGTGGTCGTTGGGAGTTTTTGACTTGATTGAAGTTTAGAGTTAGAGCGCATATGGGCTACCTACCCACGATTCAGCCATATTTTATTTATTGATAGCAATTATGTTACGACCTCTCGTCTATTGCCAGTAGTTTATATAAATTTACAGTTTTGTTTGATGTGCTTTCAACTGCATATAAATAGGGGGACTGAGTATGCTGATGTTTCTGTTGCTGTTGCTGCTGCTATTGCTACTGTTGTCGCTGCTGCTGCTGATGGGGTTCGAACTTTCTTTGCCAAAGAAAACTAAACTAACCACATGGTTTAATGGGTGCAGTGGATGCTTATTTTGCCTGATATGTGTCTTTCGTATGCTTAAAGTTCTGGCTGCTGGTTCTGTTTCGTTTGTCGCTTTTGATTTTGATTTTGATTTCGATTTGGATTTTGAATTGGTTTTTAGTGAGCTCTGTGTGTTTTGTTGTCTTCGCTGCTGTCAGGCGCACATAATGCGTCCCGAGGACTTCTTAACGTCGCTTTCAAATGTTTACAATTTTGGCTTTGTGGCTTGTGCGTGTGCTTGAGGGATTTTAGCGTATGAATCTGGCTACTGAATTTGTTTTCAATTTCAACCCCTTCTATGCGAAAGTTTTTACAATAATCGTTGTTTTTGTTCGGAATTGTTTTGTTCGCGTTGATTTATCTGCCTTGTCCTATTTCTCTGGCGAGTGAGTAGGCCGCCATTTGTAAGATTTTTGCCAGAAAGTTTGCCAGGACAGTTGCTTGCTCCTTGTAGTCTTGTTTTATTATTATTTTTTTTGTATTCCTCTTGTTTTTAGTATATTACGATGATGATGATGATAATGATGGTTTTTTCTTTTTGTTCTTGACTTTTTGTCGCAGTAAAACTTCCGTTCGTGCTTGTAATTTATAATGCTGCTTTTTGGGAATTTCGTTGCAATTTGTCATCTTAATGTGTAATAATAATTATGCGCCAAAGGGCATCCGAATGCTGCGACTTTTCAGTTAATTTGTCTTTTGCTTTTTTGAATTTTATATGTGGTTTTTGTGGTCGTTCACTGATCTGCTCAGAGTGTTTCGAAAGCTAAGAATTTACTTGAATTGTTTATTTTGTTTTGCTCTGATTGATTTTTGATTTTAGATTTTTGGTTTTGGATTTTTTCATTTTGGATTTCGCTTTAATTTTGCACAGATTTTGTTGCTTGAAATTGAGTTTTTACGAGTTCTAGAATTTGAAATATTGATTTTGAATTTTGATGGCTGGTTAGCGGTCGAATTTGGTAGATTTTGTTATTTGTTGCTTGCCAGACAGAGTAGCCGAAAGTTGAAATTTTGAAATTCTTTGGATTTTTTGAGCTCTAAAATAAAATAATTTTGATATAAATTCGTTATTAGCCGTTTCTAAAAAATAAATAGAGGTTTCTGTTTATCACAATATTTAAAAAATAAAATTTTAAGTTGTTGTTTTTTGTCGCTGCTTTAAAGTAAATAAATAAAATTTTTTGATTTTAATTTCAGGGATTGAAAAGATTCAATTTTGCTACGGAATATTTAAATATTTTGCTAATAATAAAAAATATCACTTATGTATTCCATGTTTGAGTTTGTTTGGATGAATTTGGTTTGAATTTTGGATGAATTTTAATAGATTTTAACTAATTTGATTGCATTTAAATAAACCATTTAAATTTTCATTGAATTTGATTAAAGTAAAATGTTTTAATTTTTGCTTTTTATTTTGATGTTTTAAAAATATACCTCTGGGTGATATTTTTTTATTTCGATACGAAAATTTAGAAAAGTTGTTCTTAAATATTTAAAAATATGAGCAGAATATTTAATTTTAATAAACTTTTTTGTCTATTTAAATTCAAAATTGATTGATTGAGAGTTAATTGTTTTTTCTTCTAACTTTTTAAATTTGTTTCTTGTAGTTTAAAATCTCTAAAGCGCTAAAAATTATGAAGTTTAATTGTAAAATTGATCAATTTGCTCTAAAAGCTTTCACGAAATCAGTTAAAAATGTAAAATCGATTTTTTGAATTATTAAGCGATTGAGCAAAAGGTAAATATGATTTTTTAATATGAATTTTAATATTTTTTGTTTCAAATTTGTAGTTTTTGCATTGTTTTTAACCCTAATAAAAAATTTAACTTCACAAAAATAAATTTGAATTTTGTAAGAAATTTTTATGTTTGTGGCTTTTTGCTTAAGTATCTTGCTCAAGATATGGAATTCTGATCTCATTTTGTTAAAGTTAGCTTTAGATATAGAATTTGAAGATTGATTTCTATAAGTCCAGTATATAGTTTAAAAAAGATTGTTGAAGATAATAATAATCATAAAGGAATTCCAGGTCAGTCTTGTATAGTTCAGGAATATTATAATTTTTCTAAAACTTTTGAATTTTTTTCTAATATTAGCTTATATTCTTTTTATATAATTGATTACCTGATCAATTGTTGCTTCAAAGTGTTGATAGCTGAAGATATAGTCTATGTCAAGATATATTAAAGACAAAGTATATAAAGTATGAATCCTGTTATCTCTTGTTTGTAGTCAAAATAAATTTGTAAAAAATTATTTTATAAAAGATTTTCGTATTAATTATAGAGTTTTTGGTAAGAATGAAATGAATTTGTTGGGGTAAAAGACTTGGATATTTTTGATATTTAAATATTCCGTCAATGTTTCTATTCCTATTTGATTTTGTGTTTTGCTAAACTGCTATAAATTAGCTCAGTGTAGAATGTCTAAAATTGATATATATTTTTGTATTTAAATTTTTGTTGTTTTCATATATGAGCTGCGGAACTTTGTAAGTTTTGTTTAGTTTTTGATATCACACTAATTTTCGTTTTCACTTTTTTGGATTGCTCTCAAATAGAGTCGAAAAAGTAAATTTTAGAATTTTAGAATTTCGTCAGTTATTAATTTTTTTTTAAATATTTGTTTAGATATTGAACTGATTTTGATTTAGATTTTGTTTTTATGATTTTTATATTGATTTTGAAATGTGAGCAAACTTTTTT